CAGGGAGGAGCCTGGCCGAGATGCGGGAGGTTCTACAGGTGGGCGGCGCTCCTGGTGACAATGGGTTTCTTCAGAATACTCCCGTGCTGCTGGAGCATTGCGCTGATGATCCGTTGGTCGTGGTGGAGAATGGGCGGAAGAACAGGGATATCTTGAAGTCTTTTGGGGCCACTGTCGAGTGGAGGGAGTACCCTTCGGGTGGCCACTGGCTTCACTCCCCTAACGGTGTGGACGATATCATCATCTTTCTGAATTATTACTTGGGCGGCGGAGGTGCTGGGAACTCAGCTTCGGCTAATGGTGACGCGATGGATATGTCGTGAGGAATTTGAGTCTAGCAATGGGCGAGTCTGTAGCGAGCATGCAATTCAGTAGACGAAGAGATTGTGTTTCTGCAATATGGCTTTGGGAAACTGCCTTGCTGATTTTTAAAAGTTGTGAGACTTATAGGGAAACCTGATAAAACTGGATTTGGCTGACCGTTTTTTGTTTACGCATCCTGTAAGGTTATAGCAAAGGGTTGTCGAAAATATCGAGGCCATTGCAACACTTTCAGTACAAAGAGGGGAATGTAGCTGTTGTAAATCCAAATCTGCGACACGGTTGAAATTATTCACCTGCGCCTTGGGAGGATGTAGGAGTTGGCTTTATCTCACAATCGTGACGCAATTACTCGATGAACAGGAAGAAGGTGGTGGGTGTAGGGTAACTGGAACTACAATCAGTCGGAGGAACTGATTGTTGAAAGACCGTTTGGCCCCACTTTACGGTCTTCATCGGACACCGGCGAGAAGGCGCTGACTAATAACGGTCAGCACCCACCTCAGGCCTGAGCTCGTTCTGGCTGACTTGCTCTCTGGCATTTGTCGGACACCGACATCTATCAAGTTCGTCCGAATGATGCAGCACTCCCCCGACCCGCGTCGCATTCTCTCGACAAGATGAGCCACCCTATAACCCCCCTGTCCTGCTTCCAGTGCCGGGAGAAGAAACTCAAGTGCGATCGCAACGCCCCATGTTGCGGTCGATGCCAACGCTTGGCCCACCGGTGCGAGTATCCTCTCGCAAGAAAGAAGGTTACGGGGAAGAGGAAGCAAGTCCGGGAGTTAGAAGCCAAGCTAGGTAAACTAAGTCTATGCCATCTCCACTCAAAATCACGCTTACAACTCTCCGCAAGCGGAACTCGAGAGCAAACTTAATGCGGTTCACTCCAACAACCCGCTGTGGGGACCGATCGATGGTGAAGAAGACGCGGTGCTGGTAATGGAAGATATCCACGATAGTATTGAGAACTACGTCTTCGAAGATCCTTCCTTTTCAATCCAGACAACCAGTTCTGAAAGTTCCTCGAACCAACACGCTTCCTCGGGTTTGGCAAAAGAGCTGTAAGGGGCCCCACGAAAATGCGAAGAAGGCTGCTAACATCGCCAAGATCAAACCTATTTTTCGAGAGGCAGAGTCACTGCTCTCCTATGATCCACAGATTCCGATACATGGAATCCCTTTCCCTCCCACCTCAATTTCAGCCGCCACTGTGTCTCCAATGCATTATCATGGCTCTTGGAGCCGACGCCTCCGATAACTATGGAGCAATGGCAATTCCCCTCTACGAGAGAGCCCGGGCATATGCCAAAATGGATGAGTCGAATGTTTGTTATACTTTCATCGATTGCTTATAGTCCGCTAACTATAGGTAGGAAGGGGCGAACCCGATGTCTGTGGCCCACGTCCAATGCTGGGATTTAATAGCCAATTACGAATTTCAGCAAAGCATGTTCTCTAAAGCCTCAGCCAGTTTCTGCCAGAGTGCCCGGATTGCGCAGCTGCTCCAACTGCACTGTCTCGATAGAAAATCCAACCCATCCCGCCTGGACACTATTGAAGTCGAGGAACAATGCCGGACGTGGTGGATAATCTTTATATCAGACCGCTTGATGTGCGCTGCAACGGGACTACCGACCATGATCTACAACAGAGATGTATGGAAAAAGTCACCCCAAGGATCATGAAAGATGAATGCTAAGCTCTATAGGTTGACACACCACTCCCAGTATCAGATGAAGCATTCATCGAGGGACGAGAAGAAGTGACTGGCTCCTTGCAGAGCTCATTGGGAAGTCTAAACAAACATCCGTCCACTACTCTATCCGAACTTTCAGCCAGAGTTTTAGTCGCACATCTAGTGCAGCAAAGCATGGAACACACCAGCTTGGCATCTAAACTTGAAAAATCTCCTGAAAAGGCCACTGCGTACTGGAATAGACACCGCGAGCTGGACAATGAGCTGTCCTTGCTACTGGCCAGGTTGCCCAACGATCTGAGGTCGCATCAATATGCGCGCAGCCAAAGCGCGGCAGCGGTCAATGCCCAAATACACACGGCAATTATGACTCTTCACAGGACGCGGATATGTTTACTTAGAGCGGAACCCCGAAACGCATCCACCGATCAGAGCATTCGGCACAGCCAGGAGCGGGCGCTTGCCGGGGCAGAGGAGATTGCGCATATCCTACGCATGACCACAGATCTCAAAACAACGTTCAAGAACCCAATTACGAATTTTTCAAGTTACCTCGCCTGCCTCGTTCTCATCGAGGACTTTTTGGATAATAATCGTCAACAGAGCAGAGACACCGCTTGCTTCTTATCTTCCATTTTAGCTTCCCTGGGCGAGAGGAACAGCGTTGCAGAGTCACTATACAGTCAAATTCGCGACAACATGATCGCTGTAGGAATCTCGATCCCGGAAATTCAGGTAAGATGAACAATAATCGCTTCTTTAGGTGTTTAGGTTAGAACTGATCTCGTTGAAAGAAATCTCAGGATCGTCCATCGGATATCTTTGAATCGAAAATGGGACAGCTCTTGACAAATGTGGCATTCAGGCTAGTTCACAACCACTCATTGCCCGATTGATCAGATTGTGTTTCAGCGGGTTCAAGCTAGTTACTCATTAATGAAAGGAGTTCTCTTGCCATGGCGCCACCATAAAGTACATGGGAATGGGGGGAGCAATGTATGCTTTGAATTAGGGGTAAAGCGTATATTATAGAGTTTGCCTCTTCGATCCATCAAAACCAGAACAATAACAAGTTGAATCCTCAAGCTTAAAATAGGTAGAAGGTTGCATATCCGAGTCAGAGATGTCAAAGACTACACCAGTTGGTCCTGGTTTACGTTGAGCCCGCCGGTCGGCGCCTCCACGACTCTTCCCCGGGACTATATCAGTTGCAAGCTGTCACTTTACCAATCCCAGCGGTCGTCATTTCGGTCATTATTGTCCTCCTTCTCTCTTTTGTCATGCTCTTCTTGCGCTTTTTGAGCCCCCGCCCCAGCTGTCTGGTTTACTACCTGCTCTGCCGCCTGCTGCCCTTTCGGGCTGATTGTGGTAATGATCTTGTCGAAAACTGCCATGTTGTTAGAGATACAGTGATTTTGTGGAAGATAAATGTGTCACCTACAACCCATGGTATATTAGCTCGCTAGAAAGTCTTAGGAAAGATTAATTAGATTTCGTTGAGTATGAGGCTGTGTTAGAAAGAAAAATTCAAAACAATCAACTGGAAAGGCATGGCTTTATACTTCGGATCCATCGGATGACATCTCACAATTGTGCGCCTTTCTGTATGCCTTGTCGATCTCGATACCATCTTCGATGCACCTCACCAATCAGCCTTCCACATGGCTAAATGGGTTGCCGCATATCATATCTGGCACGCTCGAGATAATTTGTAATTAATACATTTTCCAAGTTTCTTACCCCTATTTGGGGTCATCTGCTTGCTTTCCAGGGCAGTGCCATCATGTTATCTTGCACAGCCACGTCGCTTATATGGTTTCGTCGTCATGCTGATCGCGGCTGAGAAGGTGACAATAAACGCTGGGGTTTACTTTGCTGCCGGGGAGTCTAGTTCGCAAAGCTGCCTTTCGGCCATGCTGGGCATATTGTCATGTTTCTGTGGGAAAATGCGTCGAGAGAAATGCGCAGGAGTGATTAACCCCTGAGCCGTTGAGAAGGATGGCATCTATGGCAGTCTGGGCCACGTTGCTGGACGTGACAGAGCCACCGCCAACAGTTGCTTGCGCTATGACCACGGAGTTATTGACTCCATCGCTGCAGAACAGAACGTATCTAGAAGAGCCTTCACAGAGACGTCACGAAGTCAGGTTGCTGAGAAGGTGCATATTCCGTAGCGATGCTATCCTTGGGAATACTAACTGGCGCCACGACCTCTTTGATAGCCGTGCGTTGATCTCTAGAGATGAGATGGACGTTGATGTTGTGGAATCTAGATTCTGAGATGATCCGGATACCTCAGGGCTGATATAGGTACGGAGGCCAAAAGCTACGCGGGGAGCAGCATTCAGAGTTAGAGCGGAGCGTTGAAAGTCCTCCTTTTGGAGACCAGTCTTGGTCCAACGTGGGTGGTCAGCGTGGAGAGTCCTGACACCGTCATTGAATCTAGCCTGCCCCCCTGCACGAGGCACTACGTGAGTATTTGTAATGTGCCCTTTGGCGTTGTCCTCGCCGGAAAGGAAGGCCAGGTTTCAAGAGAAGGCCACGGAGACGGGCAGATTTCCACCAGCCACGGGGGCCTTGCCTAGAATAGTTGTGAATCCATTCTTGTCCCAATCAAAGAATCTCTCTTCAGTAAGAAGGGGGCTGTTCCCCGTGATGGTGTTCGTTTTATCGAGATGTCGGTTGCCGAAAGGGGTCGCTGGGTGATCTCTGCCGACTTGATGATAACACCATTGTGAGCCGCGATGTCTCCAGCAACAACAAGAATCACAGGAAGGGCAAGTCCAAGAGCGCAGGGGTACGTCATTCTGAGGGTGGTGATGAAGTAGGTGATTGCTTCTAGGACGGCCTTGCTGGTAGAATATCCATGACTTTAAACCCCACAACGATCTTGGAGAACGGCAATGCAGATGCAAGCATTAAGAACAAAGCAGGGGCAAAATTATCTGCAAGATTCTGGATTTTAGACTTCGTGTTCAAGCTAGGACGGATTGGTGCCGTAGCCATCGATGGTTACTGCAACAACTAGATCATCAACGTACTTCAACACAGGCATAGATTTTCCAGTCAGCATTGACCCGTCGATATCGGTGGCGCCATCGATGATCTTTCCGTTGGTTGGCACCCGAGAGTCCGGCAGAACATGGAGTCGGTAACCGTACTGGAGAATACGTGTGCCGATCCCCTGATCTCTTCCCCCCTTGTTGACAAATATAGCCATAGTAGGAAGGATGGGCTGGACAAAGACAGCGGAGATAGCCTTGCAATTAGCGAACGCGACGGTCTGACGCCTAACGAGGATCAGAGTAATTATGAGAGTACTAGTTTCGTTGATTTCAGACATTCTAAGAGGTTTACCCGCCATTTGGAGGCCAAAGGCAACAACGAAGTAGAGGTAGGCAACGGTGATACTGGTAACATTAAGCAAATCTATTTCGATGCAATAACTGTAGAAGAGAATGGAAAATGCAGGCCGATATGTTTCCGGAAGAGCGGTCGCTTGAACGGCTGAACCTAGAACAATAGAAACAATCGTCTCTTCCTTCTTGTCGGTGAGATCCTAGCACCGAGAAAGTACAACGACGGGGATGGTACAGACGCCGTCAAGCTCGTCTTGATAGATTGGTCTCAAAGCCTGCGCCGTCAAGTCTCCGGGAAAGGATCAGCGCAGGGTGGTGCGAGCGCGGGCGTCCTATCGGAGTTGGAATCGAAAATGGTCCTGAATCCAACAGTGGCGGGGTCATGATCAAGCCAGATGGTTTCCTTGCCCAAGACAAAGGCATCAGTCGCTCTATTTGGAGGTTGGAGAGTAAGCTCTCTTTCAAGGCCAGAGTTGCCAGCAACGTTGAGAAGTGGGCACCTCTGAAGATGCGTGTCAGAAGAAGGCCAGATCTACTTATGGCAAGATGAACAGCTTGGTCGGGGGTAGTGACCTTTACGTTGATCGTGAAATCAGCACGGCCTACAAGAGGTTGACTGGAGCTTGATTGACACCAGATGTCATAAAAAGGACACAGGAAAGCTTGACGCCGAAGCTGGTGCAGTCTATGCCTCCAATGGCAACAGACTCGAGGTCGTAATTAAGGCTCTTCTCATTGTCCAAATCGCCGTCCTGGACAAACCCAGTTTCGGTGACCACGGGATCCTGGGCGGGTGCCCTGTGGAGCAACATCGCTTTTAATGATCGTGACTGTCGTCGAAGCCGTGTCTATGATTGTGGTGATTATCGTGGTCAGGAGCGAGCTTCCAGCGAAGTGGATCGGTATGTTATCGTCGTGGTGCGAAGAAAGCTTTTTAGCGATGCGTTTTCGAACAGTGCCGTCGGACACTCTGTGTCGGTGGTGATGGTGATGCGGGGGCAAATAGCCAGTTGGGATGCCATCACGGTTCGGTGTCTGCCAACGGCCGGCAGTTAGCGAGGGCGTAGTGACGGACGGTGCCACTTTGATAACTCGAAGACTGCGGGCTTGTAGCATGTTGAAGAAGAGAGGCCGTTCGACGCTATTGTACGGTAGATGCATCTTGCTTGGTCGAGGTAGCTTACGTACTTCTCGAAGCCAGCCGCCAGTTGCGAGTTGCAGGCCATGTCAGGGGGTTCTTCGGCAGCATTGTGTTCGTGTGGATGGTTTTTGTGCTCTAGAATTAGAGGAGAACCTGATTAGCAGTCCGAACGGTGTTAGAAGGGTCTTGTGGTAGCTGCGTTACTCTCATCATCGCCCCCCCCCCCTCGCAGGGTTTGGCACACTCAACTTGAGCAGCAGTGTAGATGCATTCTTATCCAGAACAGTATCAGCAATCGCGTGGGTTGGGCCCTGACCAGAGAGTTACACCATCAGAGCGGCCTAGTGATGCTGATCGACCATTCCGGTGTTAAGGTGCTCCTCATTTATGTTGATGGGGCCTGATTCGCGCGTCTCAGATTTAATCAAACGGTTATCGTGGATTTCAGAAACAAAGAAAAGTTGGGGAAGTTGAACAAGTGAATTGGGGGAGTAACAGGTATTGCCTGTAATGAATGTCGAGTGGCGCATGTTAGTGGGAGCTTTGGTACCATGAAAGACGTCTGTAGTGGGCAGCAAACGCTCCAACACCAAGACAAAGAACGACTGATAGCTCTAGACCACTCGTAAGCGGGTTGAAACGGTACTTCGTAGAGATTTTATTTATTTTTATCAAGTTAATTAACTGCTAGAACACGATATCCCTAGATGGCCATGGTGTGTCATCGGACATTCGGTAGCTCTAGGGTAGCCTAAGACTCGGAGTGAACTGGATACCTCAGGTACTAAGGAAGAGATCAATGGAAGAGATGGAAGGTGCGGTTTAGAATCTGCTGGCAGTCTGGAGCGGCAGAAGATCCGATGATGTAGCCTGACAATTGGTAATGGTGATCCCGTTCCGCAGGAATGATACTGCTTACAAACGAAACCGCTTGTTAATCACTTTTGCGATCCGTGTGTTTTGCCTTTCCAAGCCCGAGTCCAGATATCCACTTCGCCGTCGGACCAATTTCGATACCGATACGGCATTGTGAACACTTCGGTAACAAAATCCTCCCGGCCTTGGGAAAATGGGACACGCACATATATCTAGTCTCCATCTCCCCGGGAAGTTGTGAACTGTCTCTCTCGTATATTTCTATTCCATTGCATTTGTTCGAATTCATAACTCTGCGCTGTTAGAGTCCCACCCTGCTCTCCTTAGAAGACTAGGATCGCCTATTATCCTCACTTTTGGGCCCCCTCGAAGAAATAAGACCTCTACGATCTCCAATCCGTACAATGTCCGAGTCTAGAGCCCTTCTCATCACCGGCGCCACCGGCCGACAAGGCGGCGCCGTAATCGATGCACTCCTCGCCAAGAACAGCGACGACTTTCTCATTCTCGCCGTAACTCGCACCACCGACTCCCCAGCCGCGAGACGCCTCGCAGCCAAGTCATCTTCAATCAAGCTGGTGAAGGGAGATTTGAATGATGTTCCAGCGCTGTTCAAAGCTGCCAAGGATGCCGCAGGCTGGGTCCCTCTCTGGGGTGTCTACTCCGTCCAGGTGTTCTTCGCACCTGGCGCATCCCTTGAGAGCGAGGTGCGCCAAGGAAAGGCCATGATCGACGAATCCATCAAGGCTGGAGTCCGCCACTTCGTCTACAGCAGCGTCGAGCGAGGTGGGGATAAGAGATCTTGGGAGAACCGGACGCCGGTCCCGCACTTCCAAACCAAGTATGTGCTCGAGCACTATCTTCTCGACCAGTTGAAGAAGACCAAGAGCACAATGGAGTGGACGATCGTCCGCCCTGGGATGTTCATGGACAATCTCGAGCCCATATTCAACATCAGGGCCTTCCTGACCATGCTGCGCCAGATCATGGGGGAAAAGCCACTGCAATGGGTTGCTTGCAAGGACATTGGCATTGCCGTCGCGGAAGCGTTCCATGACCTGGAGGGCTGGAAGGGGAAGTCAACTGGTATTGTGTCGGAAGTTCTCACCTATTCCGAGGTCAGCAAGGCGTTCGAGAATGCCACCGGAAAGCCAGCGCCGACAACCTGCGGGGTTGTTGGAAAACTCCTCAAGTATGGAGTCCCTGGCACCCCCGAGTATGGCACCATGACAGTCTGGCTTGCCAAGGAGGGTTTCAACGCCGACGTGGAAGAGAACAGGAGGTTTAACCCAAAGCCTACGACTTTGGAGCAGTGGCTGCTTCAGAACTGGAAGGAATAAGCCTCGGTAGCTTGTGTCAAGCCAATCTTGCCAGAGGAAGAAATACCATAGTTGGCTTCCCGCAAGGGGATAGCCGCAACCAAATTCAGTCGGATCCAGCCCGCGGTCCAGACTTGTGAATTTCCTTAGATTGTCGATTTCTTTAGGTTTTGCACGGCGTTGATTCACATCAGTCGTGGCACGTTGAATTACTTCATATATGTTTTACTCGTATCTAATATAACTGTCACAGTACCATCCTCTATCCAGTCTTGCATCTTGACAAAGAATAAGCCCTCTTATTGTGAGCGTAGCAATGAAATTTCATTCTGGTCCCTCAGTTGAACTTTGGGTCAAGAGAACCTCGGCTATTTTCTCGTCCAAAAATCTGTAAAAGTCCTCCACTTTCTTCCTTGAACTGTTCTCTGGCGTACTTCTGACGGGCAGGGATTTTTAATACCACAGGTTTGGGTAGCAAAATGGCATCTTGCCGTTGGGCTTTTGCGCAATGCTTGATGCAGCTCGAAGGAGTGCATCCATACCGGCGTAAACGTCTTTGTTGAGTTGCAGACTCTTTTGGTTAGGTGATAGATGCCGTTCGTCTAGTTGCATTGGCAACCCCTCCCGAGTGTTCTTTGCTCGATCTCTCCGTGTTACCCTGATCCTCATTGGCTTCGTCTTGGCCTTTATCTTACGATGAGATTGTCAAGCTGGGCGTGGGGTAGAGGGCATATGCTTCGGCACTCTCCACCGTCCAAATCAAGTTGGGCTCGCTCTGCACCTTTCCTACCATCGTAAATGTAAGGTATCTATATACGCAAGTAAGAAACACATTCGCTCTACCTGTCGTCAAGCCGACGTAGCTCAGCCCTGTGGCCAAGGACGAGAAGGTCGCGACGTTGGAGACAAAGGTGGCGGTCTTCGCGGCGGCGACGAAGAGCCTCTAAGGAATTTGAACTTTGAAATCCTGACCTCTTTTGAGCGGCTCAGGGCGGCGATCCAGGACTCCAAAGCCATCGGCCTACGCGTGCAAGCCTACATTTTCATGGTGTTGGTGTGCCCCTTTAAGGGGTTCGATGTCGACCCTCACCGGGTGGCTGAAATTGCCATAGATCTGGTCAAGTCTGGCGCTGATGGGATTTCTCTTGGTGACACGATAGGCGTGGGCACGGCGTCTTTTCTTCCTCCGGCTTGTCACGTTCTCTACGGTGCTAACTATGGCCTTAATTAAGCCCGCCCGCAATCATTGTGACTGCTGCTTTGGATTATCTCGAGGAAATTTAAATTCTTATGGATTTCGGTTATGCTTTTGGACTTTGGTTGGAACCGAATTCGTCTCAGTGGAAAGAAATATAGCGTACTTCGAGTTGCTTTTGCCGTGGCTAGCACCTCTTCTACTAAGGAACTATTCTGTCAGCTGCAAATCAGTTCACGGAGGTAAAGACCACAGCAAGATGCACAGCAAGACGGAGGAATCCATCTACAACGGTACATGGATGTCGTATTTGCCATAGTCAAAGTGCCGCAAACTCGGAATACTTTCGGCCCAGCCATCGTCGACTTCGCCTAGCTGCCAGTCATCTCCGATGTTGAAGATCCCCGACCTTCCCGACAATATATCCTTTTCCTTCGACTGATACTCAAATGCCAGAATCGGATGCGGAACCCAAATAACTCTCATCCCAGCCCGCCTCCCAGCTTCTACCCCAGCCACGCTATCTTCAAGAACCAAACACTCATTGGGTTGTATGGGCTTCAAGGCAGGATCCAGAGTCGAATTAAGCGAGTCGAGAGCGATGAGGTAGATATCGGGCAGTGGCTTCGTCCTTCCCTCTCGTAATCGCGGATCATCGCCTAGCACCCGCCTCTCCGACTGGAAGCAGGCCAGCAGACGCCTTGTCTTTGGCCTCGAGACTTTCAATTCATAGGAGGTACTCTTGGTGTTGGATGCCAGTGCCAACTCAATCTTCGCCCCAGTCGAAATGTTGCGCGCCCGGCAGAGGTTCGACAAAAGCGCTTCGGCACCAGCCAGTGGCTCGCAGTTAGGAAATCGGTCCTTCATCTGCTCCCCTAGCTCGCGACGAAACTGCTCGCGAGGGATGGGAAGCTGTGCCCAGTCATGGAACATGTCGCTGTTGGTTGAGCCCGCCACGCCCATGAGCTTGGCTCGCATCGACTGGGTCAAAGAGGGTCTTCCGTATTTTTCAAGGAGCGTATTCGTAGCCTCGTGGATGATGTCTTCGGAGTTGATGAGCAGCCCGTCCATGTCGAATATCAAAGCACGAATAGGAGGAAGCCTAGCATCTACGTTAGAGTAGGTCATAACATGAATGTTCGAGGAAGGCGGGCACTTTGTTTCAGGTGAGGCCATCGTCACCAAACTAAATAATAGCGAGCTGTTTAATAGTCAAACTTATTTTCTCTCTGGTGCTTTGGATGCAGCAATTCTGTTGAGAAATAGCCGCTGTCCGTGGAAGTGGCACTGATGAGCGCGTGATAACGACTGGGCCAAATGAAGAGAGGTAAGGAATAGAGAAGTTTCGGCCGCGGTGGTGGAGGGTCAGTTGGCCCACTCTGACGTCCTTCCCCATTGATGAAGGCAAGTAGCTAAAATATCGCATCGTTGTACCCAAGCTCCTCTTATGTAAGGCAGGGACATTATTTTCTTGATAATACGAAACACGATGATATCTTACGAAATCTAGCTCAGCACATATATATTACGACTTAACTGCTTCCATATTATTGTTGAGATTCAATCACACGCTAAGTATATGGCAGGTACTTCCAGATATCACCCTTCAAGCTGCCCAGACTAAAGAGTCATTGCTGGATCAGATCCATACCATTAGGTACTCCTAGACACCTTTTCTGATTTTATACCGACGTCCAGAGTATTCTATGGTATTTGATCGCGGTAGAAAATGCTGCAACGAGACAATTTTGAGGCCAGTGCTATTGCTCGATTCTCAACACCTAGCTAACTCTTACCAGTGTCCCACACTTCGTTTGGAAGGATAAAGCTCGATGCTTGAGGTTGTGGGTTAAGCTTTCCACATCAACCTTGCCATGTATGGCAACATTGGTTTACATCTCGTTGCGCTCCTCCTTAGCTTCAGGAGCCCGGCGGTGCGGGATATATGCCTGCTTAGGACCTGGTGTAGACACGGAATTCTACAAATACCGCGAGGAATACATTGAGCCTGCGTCAAGCTACACCGTTATTAACCTGGAATCCGACTTCAGTACAGTCATCAGCGACAATTCGTTGCCTAATATGGAGTTCCGCGAATTCAAACGCGTCATTAAAACTTTGGGCAGGGGCGGGTTTCGGTATCACTCTGAGATGACCCTGGGCTTCTGGTAAACTTTGAGGAAATCGTGTAGACAGAGACACGGGTGTAACTTCTTGGTCTCGATGATTCAACCCAGCTTAAACTGGGATGCAAAGTAGTATAATCTTGTCCTTAATGCTCCGAGGGTACATTACAAAATCAAACTCCAACAAAAGAACAAACAAAAAAGCAAAGAAGTCTCCTTTTCGAAAAGCTTATTCAATTCCAGCCTTCATTTCTCCCCCTTGACACGCTTCCACGTAGGATGATTGCACATGATCCATCTCGAAGCTTGAACCAACCCCAGCCCCAGGCAGTTGGTACATGTGTTGCCGGCATAGTTGTTAGGCACACGCTGCGTTCCTCGACATGTCCCGCACCGTCCCATACCCATGCATTGAGGGCAAAGGAGAGCGCAGCTGTTGCAGTTAACCCATCGGTTTTCGTCGACAAGAAGGTGTCTTTTTGGCACCCTCCGAGTGGTGGAGCCGCACACGAGGCAGGGCATCGTGACGAGGAGGAGTGGTCGAGGTTTCACGTCGAGGAATAACCGAAGGCAAGTTGATCTGTCGCGGTTCTTGGTCCAAGTAGAAGTTCCGAGTCTCTTGGTGGGAGTGCATGTGCTTTTGGAACGATGTGTTGGGTGTTGTGTGTTTGTTTGATGGGAGGCTCTGCTGGCCGAGATCTGTTGTGCTCAAAACTTAGTATCAGCCTCCCTTTATCTCTCATTTGTAGATGGTATACGAACCAAGGTGAAGACTCCTTCACAAGGCAGAGTGACTCAAGTTGTCGCAGAGGCTGAAGTCTTGGTCTGAAGTGACCTGGTGACTCGCTGTGGGGGAAACTGGGTGAAATCTTCTGTCAGTGAGAAAAAGGCATCATAATCCAGGCACGTGTGACTTAGTACTACCCTCGGTGCTTTGATATGGGAGCACAGCAGTTGCTGGTTGTGGAATTTTGTTTGTAAATCAGAGCACGATAAGTTGTGCCTGTGTGTGTGGTGCGGGAAGAAGTTGGGCTGCGCGCGCGTGGGAGCTGCAATACTCGGCGAAGTAACAAGTCCGCCAGCGTTGCCCCCCAATCACCGAGTGAAAGGGCCCTAGCCCAGACGAAACAGAGCAAGACCCTCACATTCTCTTAGGTATTTTTTTGTTGTTGCCTCTATTTTGCTGAGGGACACATTCTACAAGCGATGAAAGCCGTCTTGTCTTTTAACTAATAAACATTTGCAATGCATTGTCTACCTACCCTTGGTCCATCTTGTTAATGGATAAGGTAGGTGCCTTGTCTTTGATACTTTAACGTGGAACGGCTTGTCGACATTCACCTTGACAAACAATGCTGCAAACGAAAGACAATGGTACATCTCAGTTCACTTACTCCCTGCTATTGTGAGAGAACACTAGGTCCCGTCACTGATTACCTAGCCCCTTCCACGCTCCGTAGATTCTTAGTGTTCGTGCGTCTCCTTACCAGTGTCTACACTTACCTCTTTCTAGGTACTGATCTAGGTAGACCACTCTACAGCCGCCTGGTATCATGATCTTCGGAACATGATATTCTACCACTTACACTGTTATGGACTAAGAGACGGAATCACCAGTTGAGGGACACTTTCCAATTAGGTGCATTAAACATCACACAAAAATCAAGCAATTCTACAGCCGTGGTAATAGCATCATGCATCCGCGTATAGGTAGTCTAATAATAAATGCGTTCACAGACATCATCTGTCGTTGGTCTTCTCTACCGGGTTCCACATATCATCAGCCACCATGGAAATCAGCCACGGCCGGGAAGTGGGTGACAAAACGGTGGCAGATCTGACTTCGTTTCTTATTCATGAATTCTTTACATTAAAAGTGTTCCTTAGGCCTTGTTTTATTTTAGGCATAAAAATACCCTTACTAATGGCCGATCTGCCAGCAGAATAATGTCCGGGTGGAAATTGCTAGGCGAATGATCAGAGGCCAACGAGGCACGTGGCAGCTCAACTCCTCCATAATTCCAACATGCCAAGACGGTTCCAACTGAGACCGAGAGACGAGACACCTCTTTGGGCTCCTTCACGCGCCGTGCAAGCCGCATTTTCGAGCCCATATCCACTGCGGCTGATATTCCAGGGACATCTACAAAATGGCTTTCGTGCGTCACTTCCATGCTGTTGTCTGCAACGAGAAGAATGATGCGGTGCGGGTGACGCTACATTAATTCAAGCCACAGATCCATCATGCTCGCTCGTCTCCCTCTTCTAGCTGCCGGGCTTGTCACCCTAGCCAATCGTAAGTTCAATTGCCAGTCATCACGCTTCTAGCTATGCATGTAGGCTGATCCCATCCGCCTGGCTGGCAGACGTGTTCGCCGATGTGGACTGTAACGCGCCCATCACGATCGGTAACGCCACCGACGCCGAGCAAGTTCGAAAGGCGTGCAAGGTCATTCGTGGAGATGTGACTCTTACCGAACAGCTCCTCGACACCATCAACCTCGACGGCGTCGAGGAGATCTATGGGGATCTCACCCATTACGGATGTGATGCGACTGCCATTATCCGCTGCAAGAACTTCCCCAAGGGCCCGTTGGAGTTTTCCAGCTCTACACTGAGAAAGGTCAATGGTAGCATCGACTTCATGACGTACAACAACCTCGAGAAGCTCAGCCTTCCCAACCTGTCGTACGTCTGGAACGAGTTTGCCGTCCAAGACACGGCTTCTCTCAAAGAGATGGATCTCACCAACCTCGAGTCTGTCTCGTCGTTTGAGCTGGGAACCACAAGTCTCGAGAAGCTGCACATGAACGGCATCAAGGAGCTGCTCCCGGAATCAGGCTACACTGGCGGCATCTACCTCAACAACGCAGGCAAGCTGGACAATGTCGATGCCTTCTTCAAGAACCCAATCAACACATCCGAGATCCCGACCTGGACCCCGGGAAAGGGGCTTCTCCTGAATCCCCCAGCCTTGCGTAATGTGCGCACTCTGAACCTCGGCTGGACGACAATGGATAAGCTCGAGGTATGGGGCACCAATCTGACCATCGTGCTAGGCGGGCCCGGGACGAAGTCCATCTCCTACAAGGAGGTCATCCTGCACGGGGGCGTTCTCGGTATCCAGCGGGCAGATAACCTCGAAAGTCTACACGTCGGCAAGTTCAAGCTAGATACGGACCATGACATCACGGATCTGACCCTCCCCTTTGACACCGTTGACTCTGTCACGCTCTTCAACTCGAGCAAGCTGCGCTCTCTTACCCTACCATCCCAGGCAGAGAACTGGAAGAACCTTTCCCTGACAATCAGCGGTTGCGGGAGCTTGAGACTCGAGTCAGAGAATGGCGCAGACGGAAAGAAGACGTGGTACTGGCCGAAGAGCCCCATGGCAAGCGTGAACATCACCTCTAATGTGTCAACTCCATTCTTGTAAGTGTCCCCCCTTTCGCTATAGCATGCGAGTCATTTTCTCCACTACCCATACTAACGCAATGGCCATAGCGATTCATTCATTGCCAATAATGTGGAAGTGACCCAGTCGTTCTCGGTCAGTGACGCATCGGGCAAGCTAGACTGCGGCATCTTCGCGAACAGGACGCTTCCCTCAGGGTACACATGTGACAAGAGTTCAGGGGCTCCCGTCTTAGTGTCTTTTTGGACTGCTATGGCTGTGCCAGTAGCGTTGATGTATATGCTCTTATAGGTAGTTAGAAGCTAGCCAAACAATATCTTCATGGTTATTTTTTTTTTTTTTTTTGCCTTCGGGCTATCTCTATACTACACTATTCTTTTTCGATTTTCAGATAGCTTGAAGGGGCTTTCAATTTGGCCAAATCTGAGCTCACCCAAAACAAGATAGATAGATATCCTAGAAACAAGCACAAGCCCATCTTTAATCAGATCAATTCCGCCTCAATGACGTTTTCTGCTTCCTTGGACCAGATACCGGTGATCTTCAATCCAGACTTGGCCAGCAGCTCGCGCCATTGGCTTTCTGTCCGCTCCCGACTGACCAACATCCCCATCATAGTCCAGTCCAGGCTAGTCTGCTGCCACGGGGCTCCCACATCATTCAGAACAGCCTCGTTGATGATAACCTTGGAGTGACCCTTGACCATAGCGTCCCGCAGGTTATCGAGAATGGTCTGGCACTGCGAATCGGGCCAGTCGTGGAGGATCAGACGCATGAAGTAGGCCCGAGCGCCCTTGTATTCTTCGGGCATGGGCTGGAAGAAGTCATGGGGAACTGCTTGGATCGCAGAGGGGAGAAGTTTGGAGTCCGTGGCTTCTTGGATCACTGATGGAAGATCCTGCAAAACGAGCTGGCCTTTCAGTTGCTCTCCTTGGGCAGCGTGGAATCCGATGAGCTCGTGTCCGAGGCCGCCACCAACATCAACCAGGAGAGGGCCCTTTGTGGTATCTGAGCCGCCCAACTGCTCCAGAGTGGGGTAGAAGTCGTACCAGCGAGGCCTCATCTTGGCATAACCCGTCATGAAATTGTTAAATGCCGACCCGAGACGCTGGTTGCTCTGCAGAATACCGAAGAATGGTTGGGTTGTTTTGAGGCCGTGCTGGACCGGGCCATCCTCTGCGTTCGTCGGGTTTTGATAATCTGTCTTTGCCAGGAACTCGGGCAGACCGTGGAAGGTTGGAATCATGCCCTCGAAACTGTACGTGAGGCCGCCAGCGATTGTAGGATCTTGTGTGGCGCCAGAGAATGGTGTGGCAACGTAGGAGTCTTGGCCGACCTCCTTGACTAGGTCATTTGCAGCAAGATGCTTCATAACTCTTGCTATTGGTTTATGTGTGGTTAGCTTACATCGTCTATAAGTCGTAGAGCAAAAATAGAGAGTTACTTACCCACGAGAGCCGGGTCGGCTTTGGTGCCTTCTGCCAACTGTACACTGCTCAATGGCTTGTCCGAGAGCTTTTTGAGAAGTCCCAGCTCAAATGCCGTTCTCAAAGCAGCAGCCTTAGTAGGCTCTCCCCAGCCAATCCGAGCCATGACCTCACCTGGATTCTCGAGGCTCGCAATTAACGAGCTGGCAGCAGCGATAATCTTGCGCCTGGCGCCGTCATCTTGAGTCTCGAGAAATAGCTTGCCGTTCTCGGCGATATCGTTGAGAAACGGGGCGGCCATCTTGTGTACGATGCTCCGTAAGTCGAAAGGTAGCTATGGTGTGGGAGTTGTAGGTTGACTAGTGACAGGAGGGAGTTGAGGACAATGGATCCCTTTAAATGGGCCGCTCTGCCAGGAGAGTATCGAAACTTCCGTTCCCTGCGTCGAATGTTAGTGGTGAGTGTGATGCCACATTCCTTGTTTGTCTGCCCTATGAGACCAGCTTAGCCCACATCATGCAAGTTGTCAGAGTCGCTACCAGTAGCGCTTATTCAAGGCTGAATCTAGCGCTGATTGCCCACTATCCGCGCGGCAGACTGACATAATTACCCCGCTTCTGCTGGATGTGTGTGTTCATCCATCAATCGTTCAATGCGATTTTTCACGTGCGCTGCGAGATTGAGTAAATCTGGATGAGACCGAAGAGTCGTTGGTAGAAAATCTCAGGGAATTTTCTTCTACCATGAGCGAGCAATATTGGCGTAAGTCGACAAAGTGCCAATTGCTGAGCGTAGGAGGGGCATCGCCCCACCTGCAGGCGTCTTGCTTACTGCTACCACTGGCTGTGCCACTTTCACACCTCGGCGTCTCATGGACCTGTCCGCGGCCGAGATTTTCTACCGTCCGAGTTGGCGGTGACCATTGTCGGTGGTTTTATCTCGATAAGAACTTGCTGTGCATTGCTCCGCAAACTGTACAATTTAGAGGGTGCTGGCAACGGGTAGTTATCGTAGCCAGCAATCGGCGAATCAAAGTCCATCAACGCTCAGACAGTGACTTGCCTCTAGCTGAAATCGACCATGGCGAGTCTTTCATCAGTGGCAAATAGGGGCGCTGGTGATTAGTCATCCCCCAACGCGTAGCTGATGAGAAGCATCGCTCTTGCCAGTTTAACCGATTTATTACCTCAACCTCACACGACATGGAGGACTCTCCTCGTCCGAAACAGGCCGCTTGCCTGGTCTGTCGGCGCAGCAAGATCAAATGCGATTGGAAGCATGGCGAAGACCGATGCCACCGCTGCGTCCAGCTCGACGTGGAGTGCATCCGGCCTGTCTTTGTCCCGGGTCGCCAGAAAGGCATTAAGAAGCAAGTCGTGCACTTACCTATTCGTCAATGCCTCTCCCCGCATCGTCGCTAACATTGCGCCCAAAGTAAACGCGTGGGACTGGACAAGGCGCTCTTTCAAATTGACGAAGCAGTCAAGAGAGCGCGTTCTGGCTCGCAGACGAATAATGACGACCAGCGCGTCTTGGCACATTTACAACAGCTGCTGGGCCAATTGACAGATGGCGATGATACCAGCTCAGCCCATGTACCGCTCGGTCCTGGCTCTGCCTCATCGTCTAGAATAGAGCACGACTCCGCGATGGACCGCATGACTGAAGAAGGCGATCACTCCGATGAAGAGGATGCCGGCAACGCGGTAGGCGTCCCCGAAATCATCCAGCAGACAGAAGACAGTCTCGCCATTGATGGTGCAGAAAATCCATTGCAGCTGCTAGCCCGTGCTTCGTACAATATCCAACCGTCACCCGACTCTCGCCACGGGAAGTCTCCTCAGTCCGTGCTGGCCTCCGTATCCTCCAAAGATCAACAGCAGACAGAGGATGAGCTTCAAGCGTTTTTCGCCCCTGCTCGTGCAAAGCTCGACATAGGAGGAGACTATGACCCGATCTCCCTTGGACTTGTCAGTGAAGAAGAAGCCCAGATGTTATTCAATTAGTACGTAGAGCCGGCCCTCTCCATTGGCCTCGTGCGATCCAAACACCCGCCTAGTGAGTGCCAAATGACTGATGTTGACCCAGCTTCCACGAGAATCTTGCGCACACGAGATGGGGATTCGACCCAAGGCTTTATACTGCCGAGTTTGCTCGGTCCCGCTCCACATTCCTCTTTACGTCCGTCATGGCCGCCTCGGCTCTCTTCATACCCTCCGGCGAAGGTCTCTCACGACGCCTCTCCAATCACAGAAACAAGCTCGCCCACAGGGTGATTGAGTGCCGATTCAAATCAGTAGAAATCGTCCTAGCGTTTCTAGTCAACATTCCGTGGATGTTCCCGGGCAAGCAAAGCACCGACGATGAAACGTGCACGTACATGTCCTTGGCCACCACGATTGCGACCGACTTGTCACTTCATAAAAAGGTGGTGTCGCCGGAAATGTTTGACCCTATCATAGATGCGGGAGTTGCGCGTGCCGACTGCCTTGACCCCCGTTCGGCACTGGTCATCGACGGCTACCCGAACGTGAATCCAAGGTCGGAGAGAGGGCGTCTGCTCCTTCGTAGTCGGGAAAGGTGTTGGATTGCGCTTTTCGTTCTCGAGAGAGGGTAAGATGGAAAGGTCGGGAACTAGTTCTGCGAGTCCTTGCTAATGATCTGTTTGTTCTTTCGTGATGCAGAATGTCGTTGGCGCGCGGACGCCCCTTTTCAGTGCCCATCACGAGATCACTCAAAGACTGTGACAACTGGCACAGGTCAGAGCTGCGTGATCCCCAAGATGGACCTTTGGTATCTATGGCGGTCCTAAGGAGAGACTTGGTAACAAGAGTTTTCTATAACTGGAACACTTCACTCGCTGACATTCCTTAGGACGGCTTGTTCTCCGCGGTTCGTGCTCTATGCGATAGCTCGCGCAACCCTACAAGCAATGGCGCATTGGTTGCTCAATCGTCCGTCTTTCCCTTCCGTTACAACTAGGCATGTAACTAACTGAACTTGTGACAGAATCGAAGGCGCCATTGAGAGATTCTTTGATCAATGGTTCACAGAATGGGGGACCTCGATCGGCAGGGGACCAGGTAAGGACGCACTCCTGTGGCTCTTCCTAGACGCATTATGCTAATGCCACGCAGATCGCCGTCTCCCCCCATATGTTGAGATTCTCGTCGTTCATACCCGTCTATCCATTTATGGCGGTGTAATTAACCACCCTACCGCTCACTTGGAGGTGAGGAGCTTCTTCCGTACCGCCGGACTCAGCTCCGCGCTCAACGTGATGCGTGTCGCCATACAAGGCGAATCGCAGCTGCGATCTATGCCCAACAACACGGCCATCATGATTTCATTCGCGGCTTGCTTCGCCCTTATGCTTAGTTCGCATGCCAGCGGCGGCTCGGCCCTCGCACCGAGCATCCGGAATTTGATCGAGGAAGCGGCCAGTGTCCTCATCAGGACCGGACGTGTGACCAACCACCGAAATGGACTATCCGTATTGCACGGAAAATATCTCCAGCAACTCTCAAGAAGAGCAGCTCCCGCTGGAAACAATAACATCGCTCATATGGATAACATTGCTACATCGTTGTCCTCCACGGCCACACATCTGCAGGACCCCATGGCCTTGCAGGCTCAAGGTAACGATATGCTGGGCGACCAGTCCTTGTGGTCAGAAACTTTCCAGTTCTCGGCTATGTCGAATGATGAGATCCAGCAGGTGCTGAACCAACCTGGAAATGACTTGGACCCGACGTTTGGCGGGTTGTCGTGGGAGGACATGTCGAATTTCCAATGGTTATTCTGGCCCGAGGTTGGGATATGATGCATAAATAAATAATGAAGTAAACAAATATAATTAAAGTAATCAAATTTGCAAAATTACTCTCGTGGCATCAAACTTGACTAGGTAGCAAAGATGTTGATGGCTGCATCTCAATGGCGGCCTACCCTATAGAAGCCGCCCGGTTGAGTATTCTTCCGGGAGGGTCCCCGGAGGCTGCCCGCCTTCAGCGGAACTTGACCGCTCACTCGGCTTGCAACGGGTATGTTTGGTGCCCCAGAATTACTTAGCGACCGATTACGGCGGGTTGGATGCAAATGGCCTCCTCTCCGAGTGAATTCTAGCCTTTCCGTCACAAAAACGTGCCCTTCACTCGCTAGGGACCAGCCGCTCGCACCTTTTGTCACCTACCATGTCCGCCGAAATCAGCGCCGAGCAACTGGATGAGATATACGCCTTCGCCATCCAGCTCGGCAAGGATGCTGGCAAGATGCTCATGGACGCCGCGGCGCTCCGCATAAACAGCGCGCCTGGCCAGGGCCAGCAGGCGTTTGAAGACAAGGACAATGCGGTAGATATCGTCACCAAAACCGATACCGGTATTCAAATGCCCTACGCTGGCGATCCTTGGTGCTTCTCGTGGTTAGCTAATCCGTTCCATCCCAGACGTCGAGGCTTTCATTCACAGTTCGATATCAAAGAAGTACCCCGATCACAAGTATGTTACATCCTCTGTTTGTCTCGTATGTCGTCGAGAGTGAAACATGGAGGCTTATTGCGATTTGGAACATATCCAGGTTCATCGGCGAGGAGACGTACTCGGCCGGCTCCTCCAAGGACTACCTCATCACCCCGGACCACCCAACCTGGTGCGTCGACCCCCTCGACGGCACCGTCAACTACACCCACCTGTTCCCGATGTTCTGCGTCTCCATCGCCTTCATCGTGTCCGGGAGTCCCGTCATCGGCGTCATCTACGCGCCCTTTCTCAACCAGCTCTTCACCTCCTGCAAGGGCAAGGGCGCCTGGCTCAACGAGACGCAGAGCCTGCCCTTGGTCAAGGCGGTGCCCATCCCGGCCAATGCCCCCAAGGGGTGTGTTTTCAGCTGTGAATGGGGCAAGGATAGGCGGGATCCGGACTCGGAGAAGGGGAAGGGGGGCAACTTGGGCCGCAAGGTCGAGAGCTTCGTCAATATGGCGGTGGAGATTGGCGGACGTGGCGGGAAAGGTGGCATGGTGCACGGCGTGAGAAGTTTGGGCAGGTAAGTCGACCTCATGGTCCAAGAAGAGTCACACTTGGTGGAAACTTGGCACCAAGGACAGAGATCAAGCTGACGGATAATTAGTGCCACGCTCGATCTAGCGTACACAGCCATGGGCGCCTTTGATATCTGGTGGGAAGGCGGTTGCTGGGAATGGGATGTGGCTGCCGGCATCGCTCTCCTTCAGGAGGCTGGTGGTTTGGTCACCACGGCCAACCCACCCTCCGATCCCGCAACAGCAGAGATCATCACAGATGTGAGATTAGGAAGCAGGCTGTATCTGGCCATAAGGTATGTTCTGGACGTTATTGTACGCTTGCTTTGAGTTGAACTCATTGATTAACTATCTATGCAGACCAGCCGGACCATCCGCTACGGAAACAGGGCGACAAGGCCAAGAAAGATTAGTGAGAGAAGTTTGGAAGCGTGTCCGTGATCTGGACTACTCCCGCCCAGGAGCTTGACAGGCCATAGTATTAAGAAGAATAAGGCCGGCGAAGTGGGTGGGCAGGGCTTGAAGATATCTACACGCACATAGAACATGGGCATTATACTATTAGGAGCAGATATGTCAGAATGAATCGAATTAAACCCCATTGTTACTAGTCCCAGTTTACTATTCCCATCGTTACTATTCCCATTTTCACTATTCCCAGTATTACTTTTCCCAGCATCACTACTCCCATTATTACTTTTCCCAGTGTTACTTTTCCCATTATTATTTTCCCCATTGTTGCTATTATATAGCCCCTCAAGCACTGAAATTAAAAAAAGAAGAAATCAACGAACAATCTATTGAGTTTCACGTTAGCTTCAATCTTCTTACAGAGAAGAGGAGAATGGGCTCTTACCGGAAACGTGCACAGACGAATATAGCCTGATCATAATCCTCCATCAAATCCACAGTATTCCCACCAATAAGTAGAATAGATCAAGTGCGAAAGGATCTGTCTCAAAGTTGTTGTCTCTGAGGATAACATCGCTGGAAGCCGGGGCCTACGCGCGGTTGGTCTGACTTCTGGACTCACGCCAAGGCGACACGCACTGGATGAGCTCGGAATCGATGTTTGCCAGGCTCTGGGCTTCGTCGTACCCATCGCTGCGAAACTGGTCCTCAGTGTCCCTCTTCTCGTTCTCACATTTTGCCTCCCTCTCTGCCTCAATCGCCGAGTACCCTTCGTCCTCCTAGTCCGAATAGGGAGATGATGATGTTTCTATAATCTCGAACAGAAACTCGATATCGGCAATGATCTTCCGATGACACTTATGTGTAGAATTGGCGCCTCTCGCCCAAAGGTGCGCGTCGGGGCTGCCGACTCTGTACGCTATCCTGATCTTGCGGTTGTAAGCCGTCGCGGAGTACTCGCCCCACAGAGTGTGGTAGACCGTGTCCCAGAATTGACCCATTCGCAAGCCTTCTACTAGAACGGACGTTTCTAGGATGCTAGGAGTGTGCCAGTCCTCATGCGGACGGACGAGGCCGATTTTGCGTGCAGGGGGTTGAGTGATGAGCATGCGCCTCCAACTGGCGCCCTTGTAGCTGAATTTATCGTGCAGAGATCTACCCTTGTGCTTGTTGACACTAAGTCCTGTCTTCCGCAGGTTCTGTGCTTTATATTTGGTGATGCTCATTCCAGTCTTGACCAGTTTTTTTATGTCAAGCATGGCTTCTTCGCCACTCCCCAATCTGGTGTAATCGAAGTTGAGGGGTACTTTAATTAGAGCGCCGAAATGTTGAGTTAAGAGGGGGTTGAGACGGAATGAGACATCGGCATCAGGATCAGACATGGTGGTTTTTAGATCCTGTGCGAAGAAGAGGTCACGCTGTAGAGCCGGGGACGTGTCGATGTGGTTTTTCCACGCTCTGCAGACCAGGGGAGCGGACGCAATCATGGTGGGCATGTCTTCCACCATTCGCAGGATCGTCTCGAGGAGCTCAGGGGTGGCAAACACCTGCTGGGCTTTGGGCGACCGTTTGTTAGCCAGCCGTGCCTTCTCTCTGGCACGGCTGGCTATGCGCTCGCTTCGTCTCATGGTAGCGGCCATTGTTCCGAAGCTGGGAGGAAAGAGAAAACGAAAAGTGCACACAACAGGCCGTGGAATTCCTTTTAAAGGGCTCCTCACCCCAGCTCCTTCCTCGCCAGCTCCTTCCTCATCATCCCCTTCCTCACCATCTCCCTCCTCGTCAGGTCCTTCCTCGACTAAGCGGGCTGGACTGGGCTCGGCCTTGGATGTTAGGCTGCAACGATTCACTGAGGTAGGTACCTAAGGCACCTACCTAACCACCTGCTTCTTCAATGATCCAGCGTTGACGAACCCCTAAGGTAACTGATAGCTTGCAGCTTTTACTTACATATGACCTACATCTTCAACTGATGGCCTACATACATCTACAGTCTCAACTGATGGCCTACATACATCTACAGTCTCAACTGATGGCCTACGGCTCTAGCGAAACGGCTCTGGCGAAACATTCCGCATTATGCCATACATTACCCGGGCACTAAGACTATTGTCCTGCCTCCTATAAGATTAATGTCCCGCCTACTGCAACAAATCTGCAACTTTCTGCCTCCGCGCTTCCTCAGTCAGGTCCTCTATCTCCTTGGGCTTCTTGGGAGTCTCTCGCCTCTCGACCCGCTTCTCGACGAGCATGTACCTCACATACTCCACCAGCCCAGGAACAGGCTCTGCGTCAAGTCTGCACACCCAGTAGAGCACCTCACTGAAATACAAGTTGGCCAGGTAAGTCTCAAAGTCCATTCCCACCAGCTCAATGGTGCAGCCATGGGCCAGGATCTCCACCTTCTGAGCCTTCGACTCGTCCCTGTCTTCCTGGCAGACGAAAGGGCAGTCCTCTTCTTCATGGGGCACGCACACACCATCCACTTCATAAGGGCACTCATCTTCCATGTCCGTCAGTACGCTGACTATTCCATCTTTGCCTGGTTCAAGGTACAGCATGACACCATCTATTAGATAAGAGAGAAAACCGATGGCGTAGCCGATGCGACCCCCGATCCGCGCCCTTGGGATCCTCAGCAGGCCCCCCGAGGTCAAGTGAAAGGCGCCGGCATGATGGGAAGGGATACGCCGCTGGAGTTCTTCACTCTGCATGAACTTGATGAAGATGGGCGGGATGGTGACACCCACGCGCTCGGCGCTCGACAGGAGGTCTTGAAGCGCCGTGCCGACGAGCGCCGGACCACGATGGTGGCCGGCCATGTCGTCCGAGACTGACTTTGGCAGTGGCTTGAGCCAGTCGAAGTCTCCGTGGAATTCCATGAAGTCCATGTCGAGGGTGCGTCGCCGGCGAGGCAGCTTGATGACGTCCCTGCGCGACAGGCCGAGGGTCTTCCTGACTGGCGAATCCAGGTCCAGGGACTCTAGGCCATGTGGCACGGGGAACCTCTGGCCGAATTCGCCAAAGGCGCGGACAAGATCTTTCCTGTCCTTTCTGGACTTGAAAAGTGGTTTGAGGAGGGGAAGGCATATGTCGGTGATGGGGTGGTTGAAGGTCTTGGCGACGACCTCGAGCTCCTTCAGAGGCAGGTTGGAAAGGATCTCGAGAATTGTCTCATGGGGGAGGAGATTCAAGGTGACCATCTTGTGCTTTATCGCCTGTGGCAGTGGTTCTGGATAATTGGCAATTGATGACAGGATATGATGTTGAGGAGGGATGGAAAAATAAGCGGTCCCATTCTCGGCTTTATTCAGCAGCGGACTCACGTGCTATCAGAGTCGCTGGCCAGTAATATCGTCCCACGACTCTGACCTTCGGTAAAGCATGCACTCTCTATCTGCGAGTAGGTCGTGCAGAAAGGTCTCATCTGACCAGCTCTGATGCAGACCGAACTCCTATCGCTCTCACTGTCAAGTTGACAGGCAACGAGATCGGTCCCATAATGTCTTTGATTGTCGGCGCTATCTGTCTCCCAGCGGATCCTTCGGCAAAGCTAATAAGTGGCCCCTTCTCCTCGTTTGCGGAGTCTCTCCAGCGACCCCGCCAGATAAGCGTGAGGAGGGAGGCGATGAGGCAGCTACCCTGTAGCCCCACACGGCAAAATGTCATCGCCGCAATTTGGCATGCACAAATGTCAACAATTGCCTATTGAGTATTGAAGTCCCAATGTCGAGTTCTGTTTTTATCTGCCTGCGGGCTGACTCTGTACTGTACGGTTCTTTGAAGCATATTTGTGATGCGCTCCACTTTGGTTGAGGGGTGTTGCGGTGTAGCCATTCGAAATAATTGCATTAGGTGTCACACTGCGAAGTAGCTACCTTACCCAGCTACCCTTGCTACCTAACCTAGAGGTCGTCCATGTAGACAGCGGGTGTTTTTTGGGTGTTTTGGGTGCACGACAAGGATCACTCGAAGTGCGCCCCACTCATGTGCGGGTACTCCAGCCAGTCAAAAGGCGAGACAGCGGGATCTTGAGCCAATCGAACGTATGCAAGTGGGGCACGACTACTCCAAAATAGGCGAACTTGCACACCAAACCCTGCCTGCGAAACGACACCAGGACACCTCGGATCGCGCTGCCAAATGAAATGGGTTAAAAAAAAGCACGAGCCATAAAAATACACAGGCTCTTCCCCGGCCACCAGATGAAGCAAAACAATTCAAGTTTTATTCAGAAAAATAGTGCCTTCTTTTCAGCTTTGTAAGAGTTTCTGCCCTTTTTGTTTTTTACTTGCAAAGTCTGTATTGGGTCGGTAAATCTCTATACAAATAGGTAGCGAGTGCAGCGTACGCTTAATCGCAGCCTACAGCCTATGTGCCCCGGTCCAGGCCATACTTGGGAAGAGGAGGGTCTCCGATTGAAGGGAATCAGGTGGCAATATGATCCCGCTCTATCTTGATTGTGTACTGTCTGCAATCTCTCTGCAATAGATTTCAATGATGAATGATATCCTTGAACGTCGTATCGCAGCATTCGAAGGCAAGTTTTTGTGTCATTTTTGAACAAAATTGATCCTTCTCGGAGCTAGCGCTTCATAGCAGCGCGGTTCATGTTCTCGGAGAGGTTCCAGTTGTGGTTGTATTGTTGCGACTACTATGGGTGCTCGAATTGGATTAGCAGTAGCTACATGGGATGTTTTCCTCCTGCAAGAAATGATATCAATAGCTGGGTTCATGACCCTCAAGATTCCGCACAAAATTAAGATTTGCATCATGGTCTACATTGAAGAATAACGGTAGTGCATTTCCGCGATCCCTGGCACAGCCTTTGATGCGATCTAAAGTGCATCGAGTGGCGCGATCCGGTCCCGATGGCTTCCTCGCCAGACCGGCTTGTGTGATAGTTCTTTTTTTATATCTTGGCTGTGAGAGAAGCAATCTGTCACAGAGGTGCAGATACTATAGAGGGGACAGGGGACAAGTATATACGTGTTGCTGTCCTTCGTCGTAATACTGCGTTTAAGATCATATTCTCTCTCAGAAAACATTTCATTCAAAGACAGCTCTCTAATCTCTATAACTCTCTCATCTTTACAGGCTTTCATCCTTGCAAGATTCATTTCATCAAAACTATCATCTCTATGTTCGCTGTTGCCGGCTTTTTTGCTGCTCAGGTTAGAGACCTTGCGCGTTATGAGGCTTTTGAAACCCCCCGAGAAAAGTATCTCATCGCCTCGATGAGTATATAGAGCATCGTGACCTTTTTCGACGCAATCAGGAAGTCTTTTAAGCTTATATTCTGCTACCAACAGCCTCCAGCATCTGTTTACTTGTATGGCTCTGGACGGCAGCTGAAATTTTCCAGATTATAACAGCAATAAATGTCTGTGGCACCTACAATAAAAAAGGGGGATGAGCATATGAATCCATGCTGATGCACGTAGTCAGCGCAAGCCCTAAGACTAAATTCTAGCACGACATTGCGTTGGCCGCTAAACTCTTGGACCATTGTACATTGTACATTAGATAGCTCATCTAAGGACACAATGTCATCGCCGAGAGCCACGCAACCATGGTATATATGGTTCACAATCACCATCACCCTCAACTAACCGGACAGCTAATGAGCTCTTTAAGGAAATACTTATAGAATTGGATCCTTTTGATTGGCCGCAGGAGGTTCTCGGGCGTGCCCAAGCGCCTTCTCTTGGCAACTTGGCAACTTGGCATCTGGGGAATCTCGGCAGGATCCGACTTCAATGACATGTACATGATGTCTGATTGGCTAGTGTACACCTCCAGCATCACTTGCAAAGACGGATGCTGAGGCTGACGACAAAATGGGGAGACAACCGGAGTTGAGGGTTGCGTGTTCAAATGAAGGGCTAGTCTTTAGTCAAGTTATGTAATTGTCGCCCGTTATCGAGAATGAAATGGACTTTGGCCCAGGTAGGTAATTTCCTAATTAGACTTTGCTGTTAAGCTTACGTGCAAATCTCCGGTAAACCGCCTTTGCAAAATGAGTCTGCAGTAGTGCCCTGGGGAACTAGTAGGACGCCAACGGAAATTGCCATAAACCCCCATTACCAATGTATCAGAACTTCCAGATGCGGGAACCAATCCACCATGCCATTTCCTCTCAGCTCTTCGGGTTGAACACTAGGTTGTAGGACCCCGATTCTAAACATGATCGACAAGCCACTTGGGACACTGTCTTCTCCTATCTCACTCCCAAATGCACGTGGCACCATCTTGTACCCCGATTACGAGCGTGTCAGGGGAGTGGATCACACCCTCGACGCAACCCCAGGCCAAGATAGCCCCTTTGCATCCTCCTCACTCATTGGCCTCGCGCGCCGTCCTAACCGAGTTTTGGTCCCCTTTCTTACCCCATGCGACCCTAATGTTGTATTCTGCTATCTTCCCCTCAGTCCCCCACCCTTCTTTCCTCCGCAACCGCTAGACCTCGCTGTCGCCGGCCTCCAGATTTGAGCCCGACGCCTTGCTGCTTGCGTCCCCTACCCCAGGTTTCCACCGCCAGTTTGTCCCCGCGCGCGACCCCCGCGATCTCTGGAGCAGTTTCTTCCCCACAGGTCTCCCAGCCAGCCCATCACGGATTGCCATTATAAATACCTGGGTCAGCCAGGTAGGATTTGCATTCCATCTCGCTCCCCAACAACCCATCCCAATCTCCTCGCAGAGTAACGCTTACCTCCCTCTTCTGCCACCCCTGTTCCAGCCCGTCATCTTGTCATCTTGCAATGGGAGCCTCCATTGACAGCAAGCGCGACCCGATTGGTAGCGATACCAAGGACGGGGCCAATGTTGCGCACGTCAACAGCGTCCTCGAGTATGAGAAGCCCTCTCAGACCGAGGAGCGCGACTGGACTGGCACAGTCAAGAAGACGGACCCCGAAGAGATCGCCCTGGTCAGAAAACTGGACATCTGGATCATGGTACGTTTTTCCCAAGCCGCGAAATCACTACCTCAACCCATACTGACTGTTTTCCAAGCCTTGCCTCTGCTTCATGTACTTCCTCAACTACGTCGACCGAAACGCCATCGCACAAGCCCGTCTGAACAACTTGGAGGAGGAGCTTAACATGAAGGGGTCCGAGTTCAACACGACCGTGTCGATGTGAGTAGCGCGCTTAATCACTCAGGCCTTACGAACCGAGAGCAACCGTGCTCTTCTCAATACACTTGCTTTCCGAGAACCCATTGCTGTGAGGCGTCACTAACCAGCCCGCAGTCTCTTTGTCGGCTATGTCTTGATGCAAGTGCCCAGCAACATGTTGATCACAAAGGTCAAGCCTGGACCTTATATGTCTGCCTGGATGCTTGTTTGGGCTGCTGTTTCTGGTGCGTATTGTGATGTCTAGAGAATCAATTCGTGGTCCCAGACGGCTAACTTTATTCTGCTCAGCATGCACGGCTCTTGTCAAGAACTACGTCGGTCTCCTCGTCTGCCGATTCTTCCTCGGTATCACTGAGGCACCCGTAAGCAATTTGATCTTTCTTGAAAGGCATCTCTGACTAACCGCTCGTAGTTCTATCCCGGTGCTACCTATATGCTCTCCATCTTCTACACCCGCAAAGGTGAGTTGCCCCATCTTCGTTGGCATCCAACTATTGCAATATTCACAAGGCTAATTCTTGGTATACAGAGGTTGCTACCCGCATTGCCCTACTCTACTGTGCACAAATTCTCGCAACCGGCCTCTCTGGCCTCATCGCTGCTGGTGTCTTCCAGATGGACGGCGTCAAGGGACTCTCAGGATGGCGATGGTAAGACCAAACAGTATTAAAGCCCCGGCAGCTGCCCTCATACTAACCGTGGAATGTCACTAGGTTGTTCCTCATCGAGGGTGTCGTCACCGCAGGCGTCGCCATCATCGGCTTCTTCATGTTGCCAAACACCCCCCTGACGACTTGGTGGTTGACCGACCGCGAGAAGGAGCTTGCACACTCCCGCATGGAGCGCGACAAGATTACCGATGCCGACGAGAACGAGGCCTCTGCCTGGCAGGGTTTGAAGCAGGCCGCCTCCGACAAGAGGACCTGGCTCTTCTGCTTGATGCAGAATTTCCACCTGAGCGCCTGTTCTTTCGTAAGTTTCTTCCCCTTGGGCGAGTCCAAAAGATGTACAAGTCGCTAACTTTACTCTAGAACTCCTTCTTCCCAACGTAAGCGCACTTTGATTATGAGGAATGGAAGCGTAACTCACTAACAATTCGTGCCACACTAGTGTCGTGAAGACCTTGGGATTCAACACAACCATCACCCTCGTCTTGACCTGCCCTCCCTTCATCTTCGCGGGCGCCGCCGGCATCTTGGTCGGCTGGAGCTCAGGTAGATTCCACGAACGCACATGGCACATCACGGGGGGTCTCGCCATCTCCATCGCTGGCTTCGTGCTGGCGGCTGCTACGCTGAACACTCCCGCTCGCTACATTGCCTGCTTCATCTTCGCCATGGGTGCCTACTCAGTCAACTCCGTCATCATCGGATGGGCCTCGTCAACACTGTGCCAAACCAAGGAGAAGAAAGCAGTACGTGGATCCCCAACGTCATACAGTGTTTTCACAATTTTTTACTAACTTACCATCGCTAATAGGTTGTCCTTGCCATGACCAATGTTGGCGGCCAGGTATGTATTCCTCCTCCACCATCTCCCATTCAGCAGCTAACCCTCTGCGTAGATTGGCTACATCTACGGTGCCTACCTCTGGCCGAGCAGCGACTCCCCCCGCTACGGGATCGGCTTCGGCGCCTCGGCCGGCTTCGCTTTGCTCTCCATCGTCTGCGCCTGGATCATCCGCTTCATGCTGGTCAAGGAGAACAGGAAGATCAGGGCCTCCAGCAGTGAGCATGTCAACCTCTACGGATACTAAAAGGCTTTTGGAAACATAACGGTGGCTTTTCGGTAGTGGCTGTGATTCTGGGTTAGCCAAATTTTGAATATCAATAAGAAGTCGAACTGTTTCCGTCAAAACTAAGGCCCCCTCCCACAGCCATCCAAGGCGCAAGGCTCCCTGCTGTCCAATTTCGTCTGTAGATGATTCGCCTCGCTCTCTTTGTAGGGTACAGAAATCAATTATTGTGAGAAACCGGAAAGGCGTTTTATCCCATCTTTTCTTTGTCGCCGCCCCGACGACGGGTTAGTCTGTCGACGAGGTGTGCCTCCTTTCAAAATGCCACACCAACTTTGTGTGAAGCCGGGGTTGTGGCGTTAAAAGGGTAATGTTGTGCAAATTAGAATATTGGGATTAATGTACGGAATCTTGATAATGTTTACTGCTGAATTTTACTGAATTTTACCGAATCTTAATGGATTTCACTAAATCTTGATGATTTTTTAGTAAATTCTGGTGGATTTTACCGAATACTGGAAATTTCAAACTAAGTTCTGATGATTTTTACTGAATTTTGGCATTTTTGAACTGAATTCTGATAGTCTTCTACTGAAATTTGGTGATTTCTTGCAAATTTCCAATGAAGATAGTAAATTTAGTGTCGTAATAAAGATAATACTGATAGTGTACATTATTTTATCCAGATACAAGTGATTCTCTATTGTTGTAGGAGTTGCAATTCTTGTGCCTTCCTTCCAAGGTTGGGTCTTGCAGACCTTGCCCAAGGCAGCAAGAATATGCTTCTTTTCCCTTCTATGATTCTGACCACGCTCTCTCTTATGAATACGATCAACAGCTGCAGCCTTGATCAGGTCAGTCAGATGCTATATGCCGTGATGGTGATGAATGCCATCAATGGTGTCTGGTGGCTGCAAGCCGGTAAGTCAGACCTCTTGGGGACTAGTAGTTGCAGCCCTCAACTATGACCTACCGCAATCCAACGGTACTGTGTAGTGGTTCTTAAAGAATAAAGCTAATATCAGCCTAGCTCGACGACCTACTCGCCTACCTCTTGCTGTGCGAACCACATGCAATTACGTAAATACTCAACCTCGATCAGAGCGTCGAACAACTACATCACCATGAATCTGATCTAGAAATCCTTCTCTTAATAAAGGCCAAATTTCGTGTATGCATTCATTTTCTCTCAAGAAATCACTCGAACTAAAAAATCACTCGAACGAACATGCTCCCACAAACGCCGCCGACTCCACGCTCCTCAAGCCACCGACAAACTCTAGACCTCATCCGCCGAAACACAGTGACGCAGACGGCTTCTCCTGCCACGGGTCTCCCTCATCAGCACGCGCCTCACCTTCGCGTCCTGGTGCCATTCGGCCCTGGCCTTCCCCCTCTCCTTCTCGCGCTCCACGGATTCGCCCGCGACGGTCTCGAGGCCCTGGAAGACCATCACATGCACCGCGAGCGTGGCGATCTTGATCGCCGTGAGCGCCTCGGTCCTCTCCAGGGACGGTGTGGCGACCCAGGCCTGCACGCCGCGGACAAAGGCCCTCGCTTGGGCGCCGAAGAGGGGGTCGTCCTCGAGGGGCCAGTCGAACAGCTGCCACTGGGCGTTGTGGGCCTGTTTGACGATGTGGGGGTGCGTCGCCTCGCGCACCTCGTTGAACAGGTCGTGGAGGGACGCCCGCTCGCGCTTCACCCTCTTGTGGTGCAAATGGCGGGCCTGGGGGGAGTGCAGGGTCGAGAAGCAGTCTCGGGTGTGGGCTGCTTCGGCGCAGAGTGCTTCCCGGACGTCTACATCGTACGTTGTATGCTGGGCTTCTGAGATGTGGGTTTCAACCCTCTCTCTTAAAGGGATGGGTGCCTTCCGTCGCTCGCGCTGGCGCTTGGATTCCGCGGCTATCTTGATGAGTCGGGAGAGATGCGACATTCCGACAACGGGCGACGCTTGGGCTGTTTTAGGATCAGCCGTATTCAACGTCAGGAGAGCTGGCTAGCTGTAGATCGAGTTGACGTTAGACTTTTGCCAAGCTGGCCCAAGACAGATGATAATACTGACCGTTTCGGGTGTAGAATATTGGGAAAGTATTTGATGGAAGTCAAGTCTGTGAGCCGTAAACTCCGTTCTGAAGAGTATGGTGAGAGTATGGGAAGAGTGTCTGGGGAAGAACCAGAGGGATAGGGCTTGGAGGGCGGCCATGCTTTTATGCCTTCTGTCATTGTACCAGCACAATGGCAACGAATTTTTCGTGCGAGCCACAAGAAACAACTTTTTTTTTACTTCGACTATCGCGAACTCTACTGTCTTTTGCCCGCGGGAAAGGTCATGCTTGGCTTATAGTTTGTGGCTGTCGGGCGACAGTGTCCGTACGTACATGCCGCTTAAACGACGAAGAGACCCATACCAACATCCGTACAAAGAAGATGCAAGTACGACAGAAAATCCGTCGATGAATAGATCGCTTGTAATCCAGTAGACCCTTTCAAATAGAAGCATGCCACTATCAGCATCGCGCGAGGCCCAGTTGTGACAATGAGGGTGGCATATGGTAGTTGCGGGACGTCGGACAGGGTTTTTGCAACAAGGAACATTAACTCTGTGGCTGTGGAAGTATATGCAAAACTTAACAACTGTTGCAGAGGACTACTGGTACCTGTTGCCGATTTACCCGGCCCGTCAATACACTCAGTGCCACACAAGGTGTTTGGACAGCCAAAAGTCAATACCGCGAGAGAGGAACAACTACCACCGACTGGTTTATTTGGCATCTATATAGCAAGGTACCTACAGAATAACTCCAAGCAAGCAAAAGAAAAGACACAAAACTCGAGCCCGTATCTACAACCAGATCACCTGAGGACCTGTTCCTCCTCCCTCCCGATCTGGCGGGTGTGCAGCCACGGGATCCCGATCGTCGTCAGCTGTCGAAGCTTTTCCATGAAGACGAAAGTAAGAACAGTGTGGGGCCTAGATTACGCCCGGAAAAGTCAAACAACGAGTCACGGAAAGATTTGTTGTGTGGCCGGGCAGTTTACTCACGTTAATCTCAGCCACGCCGGAGTCCACCCCTTCATCAGGAACAAGGCACCCTCCTCGCGCAGCCCTGATCGAAGGACTGCGCCCAGGCCCTGCAAACTTAGTCAGTCATGATCCATAGAAAGAATTTCTCTCGTTTTCGGCTACGTGCCTCTTTCCCGGCGCTCGACTGCAGTCTGCTTTTGATCACATCGGCAGGTGCGCACAGCGTCGTTGCCATGGTGCCAGCCGCAAGGGATGCCGCCGCATGAGTCTTGATATCGTCAGCTAGACCCATGTGCGAGACGAGGTATTGCTTTGCCGAAGAGTATCTACATGTAGGGTTAGTGGCATTCCCAGTTCCTAGACTTGGGTCCCTCACGTTGCGATTTGAGATACATCTGTTCCGTTGTCAGCTCGGCTCAAAGTCAGGCAAACCAACATGCCGAACACTTACTCATGAGCACGCTCCTCGTAATATTGGCACTGAGGCCCTTCCCAAATACCTGCACTCCTTCTTCGCGGATTATTCTCCACAGCGCCTCGATGGCATTTGAGTATCCAAATCTCTGCGATAGTGGCTTAGCACCATCTGCACACATTCTGACCAGAACAACCTCAGCTGGATTGCCCACGACACCTGCGATACCGCCAGCTACACCCGCACAGGCGATATTGGAGCCCAGTGACAGCCTCTTTTGCCCTGTGTATTCCATGACGCGCTGCGACAGAACGGTGTGGATGCCGAATCGTGCTGTCGAATAACTTCCTTGTCTGAGGATTGAACCGGAAAGCCCAGTCCAGAGGGAAGGGATTCCTTCATAACACCAGTCAGCCATTGGATGCATTGCTTGCGTGCCCATCACCTACCATCTCGACCAGCGGAACGGACGATCAAACTGAACATAGACTCCTGTGACTTGAGGACTTGCATCCGGCTGATTGATAAGATTAGCGAGAGCCTGATAACGACGATATCATGAACACTCACTATTTGGTCTGATCCAGCGGATGTGCTGTTTCCATCTGTTCAGCGCTGTCCCAACAACAACTTTAGGGGCTTTACTCACTGAAGCACACGCTCATACAGGCAGCGGCCCCCCTGTATTCCAGAGCCTGTTAGCCATCTCTCGGTGCCAGAAAAAGTGGGTAACAACACTGAACTCACCCCAACCAAAAGGGTTCTTTTGAAGGCATCTTTCCAAACTTCACTCGACACTTGACTTGAACATCACAACTCGACAATCGAGCGACGCGGCCGCGGGATACCTCTCCTGGTTATGGCTCCTCACGGATCCCAAAAGTAAGTGACCAGCCCCGCCCAACACCGATTGCGCTTGCTCTGGGCTTGGCTCGGAGAAGTGGAAACGGCTGCACCCTGCCAACCTCCACTCTGCGTGGGCTGACGTGCTTCAGAGTCATGGGAATGCCGTGGGGAATAATCGCGGCCTCTACTTCTGTGTCCGAGCAGGAATCCCGAGAAATGGCCTTCTTAAATGATGGCGACTGTGCGTGATCGCCCAGCTCGTCCTGCTTGTCCGGCTGCTCTGATCAGAAACCAGGCAAAGATCTTCTGCAATGTCCAAGCTGTCGCCGTCCCTCAAGGCGCTCATCAACGCGCCCTTCTCGCGCCCGGGGCCCCTCCCAGCCCCAGCCCACGCAAAGGAGCTCTTCCAGTCCATCGCCCAGGACGCCTCCAAGAAGAACCTCAGCCCCAGGTCGTGGCTGGCAATCTCTGTGAGTCGCCCAATGCAATGCTTTCCCGGAGTCTGCATATTATTCCATCAATTTGTCAATCCGCTGACATGACCTGACCCTCCAGACCGCAACGACCTTCTCGCTCAACGCCCCCGATGCGCTCCCCATCCTCCACGGCGTCGCCTCGGCGCAGCAGCCCAAGAGCGACGTGCGAGCGGCCGAGTTCATGAGGGAGGTCGGCCTCAAGTGCATCAGCTTCAACGGCATCCCCCGCTCCATCAACTGCCTCAACGCCTTCCACGCGTCCCTCCCAAAGCCCCTCACCGCGCAATTGAGCACGACGCCGAGCCGGCAGTCCACCCCCGAGAACGTGACGGACGGTCTCGCCCGCGGCAGGCGTCTCTGGGACTCGGTGTACCAGCCCTTCGAGGATAAGCTCTACGAGAAGCTGGGCCTCGCGCACCCGGACCTGCCCGTCTTCATCCTGAACCACAACTACGCCGGCCTGCTCTCGGACCCGCCGCAGTCGGAACGGGGGAACCTCGCCAGTGTCGGCAGGGTGCACACGTCGTTGGTCGCTATCTCGTGCCTAAGGGCGCAGACGGGCGTGGGGCCCCAGGTGCTGTCGCACGTCTTTGGGCTGCGGAAGACGCTCGACGACGGCTCGTTCAAGGCGGACCCCGAGGGGGAGAGCGAGGACGCGGTGAGGTGGCTCGCGACGGATGAGGGAGGCGAATGGATCCTCAAGACCATCGACAGCATTGTCGAGGCCATGGGCGGGTCAAATTTCGCCGCGGCACGGGAAGCCAAGCTGTAACATTACCAATCAAAACCAAGTAGAATTATACGCTGATAGAAGCTAAATACAACCAAAATATCACGAAGGATGGTGCCATGACATGTTGTCAAGATCCTCTGCCTCAAAGGGCGCATAAGCCTTGGCAGGTCTGACGCCCTGCAGAGCCGCCAGAAATGGGCTTACAGGCGCTGTAATCGTGCCATTGACGCCCTAACCGCGGCCTTTTGGCGCATTTATCGCCTGTTGAGCCCGGAAATAGCGGCATCGCTCACAAGAAACAGGAAGGTGTTTGCCAACTGCCGATACGTTAAATTGAGGCATATCCGCCGCCTCGAGGCACGAAACCGACCCAAGAAGCACTTATATTCTATATGTATCGTTTCTCATTAAGTTCGCCTTGATTATCCATCACAAATTTACCCCTCAACCGCCAACATGTCTGACAACCAACTCAACTTCCGCGTCGCGACCTTCGAAGACGCCGAGCCTCTCAAGGAACTGATCCAAGCCGCCTTCCGCGCCGAGGACACACGAGAGGGCTGGGTCGGCCTCGCAGATCTCGCGGCAGGCTTCACCATGGACGTCAACGAAGTCAAGGAGCGGATCAGCAGTCCTATAAGCGAGGTCCTCATCGCCTCCAACGCCGAGAACAAGTACCTGGGCTGCGTCGCCGTCTCCAAGCACGGCGAGAACGTGGCCCGGGTATCATGGGTCGCCGTGGACCAGAAGAGCCACCGTGGCGGGATAGGGCGCAAGGTCCTCGAGCATGCGGAGGAGTTCAGCCGCCAGACTTGGGGGGTGAAGACCATGGGGCTCAATGCTCTCTCGACCCGGGGGCCGCTTATTGAGTGGTATGAACGGCGGGGGTATAAGAAGACTGGGGAGCTGAGCCCGTTCCCTGTTGCTGCTATTAACGGTAGAGCGCTACCGGAAGGTCTTTGCTTCGTTGAGATGGAAAAGGAGGTGCAGTGATGTTGGTGGGTTTCCAGCCTCGCGTAAAGGGCGAATGGAGTGTACGCTGAAACTAGTTTTGTTTGTTTGTGTTTCGAGGGCTGAGTATGAGAGGACGTATGTTCTTTGAAGAATAATCCATGTTCGGGCGTCTATAGATGGTATAGAGAACAAGACTAGTCATGTTATTGCCTGTAACTACAATCTCTAAGTATAGTATAACCAATTCACTATTCTTTTCATCCCATTTCCCAATTAATGCAGTGAATGACATATTTTGTTCATTTCTTATATGTAGACTTCCGCCTGTTTGCATCCGCGTATTTAATTCGCTGACATGTAAGTCTATGGTAAAGTGCTCCCTGTCCGGAAACTTAAGTATTGTCTTATCAAACAAACAATGGGTGGCGTTGAACAACAGTGCTACAGATGTCCGTGAACTATTACATGGGCAATCAATATATATGAGCCATATTCTCTTAATACCAAATCTTAATCCACACTATGAGAAAAGTCAGCATAGAAGAACCTCCCGTCGATACCACCAACCCACTAAAATACAGCACGCATTTCACAACATCATTGGCTAAGCTTGCACTATGGCGTGGATAGTTAAGGGACTTAGGGAGGGGCTTGATCGTTTCACCTCCGAAGGAGAGGAGCTCAAACTTTGCAGCCAATTGCTTAAGAATCTGGATTCAACCCTCAGCGCTCTTGAAAAGATTACCGAGACATTGGACACGGCGCCTGGTACCTCCGAGACTCTCAATGATATCGATAAGACCCTCCATTGGTTGGAGGAGTACTGCGATACCTTCTTGGAGAAGGATACTTTCCAGGATAAGTCTCAACGCCAAATGTGTTACGACACTGTTGAGCACGTAATCATACAGATAGAACATATCATGAAGCTCTTCAACACAGCCGATCTTTTCCGATGCGTGTTGAGGGAGGCAGAGGTGTGTTATGGTAACCTCAAGGAATGTGAGGTTGCTATAAAAAAGCTGAGCATTTCCTTGGAGAAGTATCCCGGAACGGCCGAGCCTCAAGCACAGAAGGCACGCAAGTCGCCCCAACAGAGGCGACCCGTACTCGGGACTGCCCCAGGGGGGTTGCCCGGGCTCAGGACTCTCCCAGGGCTACCCGCACTCAGGGCTCCTCCAGGGAGATTATCCGTACTCGTGACTCCCGAAGATCAGTTTCCCGTATGCATGACTCCCGAAATCCAGTTTCCCATATGCATGACTCCCCAAGAGAGGTTTCCCGTGCGCGGATCTCGCTCACATGGGCTACCCGCATCAGAATCACAGGTGGCATCCAAATTTTACACACAGAGGATTCATCCAAATGAGAGCGAACGCGGTTGATTGACGATTTAAACCCTACCTCGCCCTTTGGTAAGCTGTGGAGAAGTGCATTGGATCTTTGGAATGCGCAACAAAGTCTGCGTTGTTTCGCTACTGCTAGCAATAGATGATAGTTTACATGCAAGGGGTTCCTTTGTATTGTATTTGATAGGGATAAAACTCAAATGAAACTCAAACCGCCCATAGCTACACAACATCAATGTCAAGGTCAAACACAACTTAGACTTGATTATGAAAAAGAGAGTGATTTACAATATAATTGAATTTAATTATTTTGCCATTTGCCTCATCGTATTTTCCAATTAACATGGGGTCACAATAAGCATAGTCGTTGATACAAGCATACGTGGACTTCCCTCTTTGTTTTCTTTTCAGTGCCCTTACCAGTCCCATTGTTCTGTAGATTTTGGACTCTATCCACATTCTCATCAGAAACTCAAGATTCATTGTTCCTAAGTGTCTGGCAACAAACTTAATACAAAGAGGTTGTGAATCATCGTGAAATCATCATTATATGTGCGTCAACTTTCTTATTTATTTCAAGTTCCGCTCCAGCTCTGGAAGATTGAATCTGAATAATCCCAACACTGACACGAGGACCTCAGCGATAGCCAGTACGGAAATCTACACGCTCAACACTATGACTAAAACAGCCCCCTACGTGGAGAACTTCCAGCCGCTACACATTACATACACGTGCCTGCGATCGGCTCACGATGCACTGAAACAAATTCGCAGAAATGTGCAAACCAATCCAGATTGCGACGAAAGTGCTGAGGAATTCGACACCTCCCTTAAGTCTGACATTGAGTCGTTGAGTAGATACAGCTTTGCTGTCTTGGCTGGGGGTCCAGATCACTTACTTCATGTTTTTATGGGCACTGCTTGGAAGGTGATCGGTAAGATGAATGACCATAAGAGAGCCTTCAATAAAAAAGAAGTGCAAAAGCTCGCAGAGCGGGAAGAGAGACACTATGATATGAATCTCAACGTTGCCGTCAAGACAATGGGAAAATTGTCACTTCCTGGGGAGAGTGTTAAAGCAGCCCTTGTTCATGGGACGTCACTGAGTTTGAATAAGAGCAATTAAATTAGGCAGCCAATGAGCCGCCTCCTACGGCACAATTAGTCTGAGTTCGATAGAGAATATATACACCGAATGGCTCTAATCTTCGATGACTTTTATACCGCCTCAATAATGTCTAAAGTGATTTGCAAGCAAGTCAGCGTGGAAGAAGATTTATGCATAGGCTGTTCAAAAGCATTTTATATACAATTGCAATGCAACAACATGGTCAACAAAACTCCAGCCTTTTAATTACTCGTAGGTGTTGGCTTCATCCAATTGCACCTCAAATCTAGCATCTGTCTTACTCCTCACTTCGTCAACAGTAACACCGGGCGCCAACTCGGTCAGGGTCAGGCCGCCCTTGGCACGGTTTACTTCAAACACACACTATTTTGGCCAATTAGCAAACGGTAGTCAAGACTAGAGATGGGAGGGGGACTAACCAAGTCAGTGATGATGGTGCTGACGACGCGAGCACCTGTCAGGGGCAACGAGCATTCCTGGACAATCTTGGATGATCCGTCCTTGGCGACGTGCTCGGTGGCGACGACAATCTTGGTGTTGTCTGGGTTGGCGACCAAGTCCATGGCGCCGCCCATGCCTTTGAAGACCTTTCCGGGGATCATATAGTTGGCAAGGTCACCTGTCGCGCTTACTTGCAGAGCCTAGAAAGAAAACTAGTCAATATCACGGTTCTGAGCCACGGAAGGGCATGACATCCTTACCCCCAGAATGGATACATCGACGTGGCCACCACGGATCATGCCAAAGGACTCGGCTGAGTCGAAGCAGGAGGCGCCAGGCACCAAGGTGACCGTTTCTTTGCCGGCATTTACGATGTCACTATAACCAAGAAATCGCTGTTAGTCTACTTGCCAGAATCATTACCGCATGAGAGTCACTTACGGGTCAACCTGATCCTTGGTGGGATAAGGACCCATTCCAAGCAGTCCGTTTTCTGACTGAATCCAGACCTTACGAGAAGATGGAAGTAGGGAAGCGGCGAGCGTGGGGATACCTAGGAAGTAATTGAATTAGCAAAGTCCCGTAAAACACCGCAGATGGCTGCTTATCAGTAAAGGACTTACCAACACCCAGGTTGACGTAGTAACCATGCTTCAGTTCCTTGGCAGCCCGGCCAGCGATCCGTAATCTCTTCTGCTGGGCTGGGCCGACTGACTTGGGATCCACGCCCCCCTCCTCTCTTAACTTCAAAACTTCAATCTGTTTGTCGGCGGTCGATGGCACGATGCGATCGACGAAGATTCCGGGCAAATCGACCTGGTTCGGGTCGATCTCTCCGACCTCAACGATGTGTTCCGCCTCCACGATGGTCAACTTGGCAGCCTTGGCCATGATTGGACCGAAAGCTTTGGTGGTGTATCTATTACCGGTTGTCAGAAGATGGCCCCTTTGAATTCCACAATCACCAGCACGGAGGGATAGCAAGCATACCTGAAAACGCAGTTGCCCTCCTTGTCGGCCTTCCATGCCCTGATAATGGCAACATCACCAGGCAGACTCTCCTCCAACAAGAATGTTCGTCCTCCAAACTCTCTTGTCTCGCGCTTTCGTCCGGCTTGGATGACGGCCCCGGACTTGTCTAACCGCACGGGAATCTCTCCTTCTTGGAGAAGAGTGTCTGTTCGTGAGATTCAAATAGTTAGCATACAACTCATTCTCGCTTCTCGTGGGAAAATGCGCAATTGGCGCTAACTTACGCGCAGCTGTGGGTGTGAAGAATGCAGGGATTCCAGCTCCCGCCGCCCTGATTCTCTCGGCCAGAGTGCCTTGCGGGCAGAGCTCGATGGCGAGTTCTCCAGACAAATATTTCTTTTCGAGGACCTTGTTATTTCCGAGGTACGAGAGCACAAGTCGGTCGACCTGACCCGAGCTGGTGAGGGTAGCAAGGCCGCCCTTTCCTTCCTGGCCCGCATTATTGGAGACGGCGCGGAGGGAATGGAGCGACTCTGGGCCTCGTCGGTGCAGCGCGGAAATAAGGGTATCTGAGGACATTCTGTTAGCGGTTCCCCTGTACTCCTTTCCTGTCTGCTCGAAACTTACCTGCAACACCGCAGAGGCCAAAGCCTGAGCTCAGGATGGTGGATCCGCTTTTCACGTCAGCGACAGCGGCATCTGCGTCCCTGAACAGCTTTGAGTTGTGTTTTACAGCGGTGGCGGAAAGCACAATTCTGGTCGAGGCGAACCCTCGGCGCATGCGCTGGGCCGGGGCTGTTCTGAGTGAGACGCGACACACCAAGGTCGCCTTTGGCTGTCTGCCACAGAGACCCAGTCGGGCCGTCGCAAATACAGAATTCATCTTGTGTCTGATTTAATTGAACTCGTCTTCTGTCTGCGAATTGGATGCCAATGAGGGAACCTTGTCGGCTGGGGAGCTGGCTGGTTTTCTACTGTGCCGCGGCCGGACGAGCTACAGCTTCGGCGCCAAAAGATGAGTCCGTGAGCTTTGGTGGGGATGCTCATGGGACGTCATGCCGAGAACAACTTGAGGTGGGCGCCTACCTAGGTTCCCTACCCTATATACCGCAGACGCAATTCAAAAGTAAAGTCTAACAAGCTCGTCTGGTTGTGACAGACATCTCTCTTTGATTCCATCTATAATATCGATCTCCCCTTCTCAGCGAATGAGAATGGATAAAATCATAACCTGGTGATACACGACCAAACCTGGTGAAAGTCAACTCGATGCCTACCTTGTTAAGTCCAGCATGAAGCGTTGCCACTTCAATTGCTTCCAATGTGATGACTAATCTCTCCGGCCTGCGCGCTGCCAACCACTTGGGACATGACCGAGGTTTGAATTTCTTACAAGCCATCCGATTCGCCGATCATTCCAATTCGATTGAAAAATGGCCACAAAATCACCAGGAACTGTAGCTTCCAGAATGCCCATCTGCGTGCGGATGTTATTTATATGTATAGCAACATTGAACTCCCCCCAAGCGTCGTCAGATACGTGCGCCGTGCATCAGCGCCATGCAAAGCGATGTTAGCCCCAGACTCCCCGGACGCATGTGACTATATAATTGTTTCCATTGATTGAGCAGGCAACAACCCAGTCTTGGGCGAATGGTTTAGTGGTATAATACTCCCTTAGCATGTTCTCGCCTCTTGAGCTCATCCATTGGGAGTGGTCCAGGGTTCGATTCCCTGTTCGTCCATCGCAGGTGGTTTGATTCCACCATTGTACCTTCTTTTTGCATCCTTTTTTTTTTGTTAAACATCTCTCACTGGCATTTTCACATATCAATTTGCTGCCCCCTCTGCACAGATTCTAGGTCCAAATAATGAAATAGGAGTTTTTCAAATACCTGTACAATTAATTATACAAAAATATCGAACAAGCTGCCCTTTTCACGCCGAGCTCCAGTCCGACGACTTCAGCGAGTCCACCGCCAAGAAACCCACCCCGCAAAGACAGCACCTGTGATCCAGTGCCCCCAAGCCCTGTATCTTCGCTCCGGCCCTCCGTGAAGCCACACCACTAGCCCATCGCCAAACCTGACAAGCGAGATGATCCCCAAAAACGCCGTGAGAGCCCTGTCGAGGCCTTGTTGCTGTAGAGCCACCATCGTCGCCCCGTAGGAGATCTCGCGGATCCCCTTGTAGTACATCAGGGGCGACACGAGGCCGGCGGACGCGTCTTCCACGGGACCGGGAGCTTCGAGCGGCAGACCCATGTGCTCGTATTCCGCGCGGGGCCAGAGCGAGGCCATGACGCCGCGACTGACGCAGGCCGCTCCAAAGATGTATGCAGGGAATGGTGAGTACGTTGTCATGTTGGCGGATGTCGTGACTTGGGGGGGAGTTGGTGTGGGGCTTCGGATCCTGGTTCAGCCGAAGCCGAAGATGCGTTGGAGCGGACTGGAGCTTTCACCCGTCGCACTCGGACTGCCTTGGTCGCAACTTGCCTTGCTCGTAGGCAAGATCGGTTGCTGGGATTGCTTTGTCGCCGTCTAAGCGTATTGTGAGAGGTGCGGAGTCGTAGGATGGAGTGTTGATGAGCGCTGATGGTCACAGAGCCTGGTCTCGGCACGAATAGCCGCGCCTGATCCGCCTTTCAATCCAAGAGTCAGCATTCACCAATCACCAAAGGCTCACGCTTGCTCTAGCACCGTTTGGGCAGAGTGACATAAAAAACTGCATCAATACGTCGTGCAGAACCGCCGATTGAAGGCCACTCAATGACCGACGAAATGAAATGAGATCCGATCGTTAGATAATAAATGATCAGCCTTTATAAGTGGACTGTATCGATATCTTGTTGTAGTGTCTACTTGATTTAGATCGATAACTCATCCTTTCATTCGCTTTGGTGCATGAAGTATTATGGCACCCTACAATTCGATGCACTAACAGCTTTGTTTACCACTTTGAACTATGTAGGGGCAAAGATTTGTACATCTATTGCACATTTTAAGGCATTTCTCAAGACCGACTCGCTCTTTGGTCTCGGTCACTCGGGACTGTAGACAAGCCGCGAGTCAATCAGTGCTGTCATGCAAGCAGCAGGCATGCAATATGTCATGAGTCACCACTGGGAGACAATTATAGCTCGCCGTGTATACAGACTATCTCCACACGGATGTAACTAAAACGGCCAAATACGCCAAGATCTGCATGGTTTAACAAACCGAGTTGAGGTACTTTGTCACCCAGCGAATGTCATTTGCTGGGCTGCATATAGCTAAGTGGGTGAGATAAAATATGGCACACCGAAGCTCTTTTTGCGTAATACAGGGACGGACCTCTAATTTGATTAAATACAATAAAAGAAAGAAAAAGAAACTATTCTTTGAGCTTTATTTAGATATCGATTCTTTTACTGTGTTGATTGTTCTGATATTGTGTTCAAATCCAACACTCGAGGTTCTAAGTGTACCATGCTTGATGTCAGTCGCTTGACAGTGTTTGGAATATATCATCATCGCAGGAGCAAGGCCCACCACTGATGAGAGTCTCCGCCCAAAGAGAACTTGGAGTTTAGTAAGCGGCTTTTCACGGACTGCCAGACATGCCCGAGACGATCTGAAAGATCTAGCCGAGACGGCTACGATGATCGTGGGCCAGTCATTCTTCCCGGACCCGCAACGACCCCCAGTTGATCGGCAGTTCTCTTCTCGGTTTCGCGAACGCGGGAAGTGTTCTAATGCCTTGTCGGAAGCACCTTTGCCGAAGTTTCAATGGAATGAGGTTGATATTTGTAGTCGTTATAAGTATGATCAGCTTCCCAGCTCTTATTATGAGTGCCCTCTCCTCCAGAAAGCACCGTCGCTTGCGCTTCTTGATGAGGAGAAACAATTCAGAGACTATTCCACATTGGCTCTTCCATTAAGACCTGGTTCTAAGTTAAGCGTTACTGGATTTGCGACTAGTCATGCATTATATACTCCCACTCGTCCTTGGGGGTGTTTCTTTGGTTCTTTATGCACTTCTTTCCATCGTTCGATCACTGTTTTCATCCACACGAGCTGTCCCCGGGCCGTTCCTAGCCAGGTTCAGCAACCTCTGGTATACTAAAAGGGTGTATGTTGGAAACTTTGAGACAGAGAATTGTGAGCTTCACAAGACATATGGTACGCACTCGACCAAGTTTACAGGATGCCGTCGGATTAAAGTCTAACATGCCTTTTAGGGCCCATCGTTCGTTACGGGCCAAACCGCTTCAGCTTCGACGACCCCGAGGCGACAAAGATCATCTTCGGTCACGGAACCCAGTTTGCAAAGTCCTCCTGGTACGATGCCTGGGGCATTCCCGGAGTATGGAACCTCTTCAACGAGCGCCACATAAAAACCCACGCGCAGCATAGGAGACTCTTTCAGAGCACATACTCCATGTCCAGCCTGGTCCACTATGAGCCTTACGTGGACGAGTGCGCCGATCTCTTTAGCCAGAGGCTGCTCGAGGTCTCCGAGGCCGGCATCGCCATTGACATGGCGCATTGGTTCCAGTGCTATGCTTTTGATGTCATCGGGCAGATTACATATGCGGAGCGGCTGGGATTTCTGGATAAAGGGGAGGACATTGCGGGCTTCATCAAAGCTCTCGACCAGAGCTTCCCATACTCCGCACTTGTTGGAATATTCCCGAGTCTTCACCCCACGTTGTTTGGTTTGGCAAACTACATTGAAGGAAACAGCGGCGTAGGGACACAATACGTCAGCAATCTAACACAGAGAAAGATAGATCAGCACAAAGCTGAGCCAAAGGTCATCCCCGTGGATGGGGACCACGCCGAGCCCTTCGTCTCCAAGTACCTGAGACAGCACACCGATGACCCGGCTAGGTTTACAAAGTTCCACATCCTTACCGGGTGCAGTTCCAACATGATCGCCGGCTCTGACACGACAGCGATCAGCCTCTCGGCGACTCTGTACTATCTGCTGAAAACTCCCCGTTGCTTGGAAAAGCTGCGGACTGAAATTCTCGAGTTCCAGGAGCAGGGAAGGCTGTCCAAGTCGCCGACCTTCAAAGAGAGCCAGGACATGCCATACCTGCAAGCTGTGATCAAAGAGGCATTGCGTATGCATCCTGCTACGGGTCTCCCCCTCGAGCGTGTCGTCCCAGAGGGCGGTGCCACAATCAGCGGCACTTTCTTCCCAGAAGGCGTGAGTGTCTCTTTAGGCTGCTTTCTCTTCACTTGACTAATTTGCACTTACCTTAGACGATTGTATCGGTAAATACATGGGTGCAGCACCGTAACCGCGGTGTTTTCGGCGAGGATGCCGACAGCTTCAATCCCGAGAGATGGCTGTCCAACGATGCCGACAGAGTTTCATTGATGAATCGCTACTGGATGCCTGTAAGCCTTTCGACAGAGCCACCTCCAGCACACTTTTTTTTTTACTGACTCTACATTGCTAGTTTGGCCTGGGCTCTCGGACCTGCATAGGGCGGCACATTTCAATGCTGGAGATGTGTAAACTGATCCCACGGATTGTCCGAGACTTTGATTTCCAGCTTGATGGCAGCATAGCGAATTCAGATGTCTCCTGGAAGACGACGGCTTTCTGGTTTGTGAAGCCTAGGGACTTCAATGTTCGAGTCACTCCTCGCCAAGAAGTTGCCTACAATGAGAAGACGGCTGCAGTCTGATTTCATCTTTTGTATCGCTACTTGATAGTACAGATCCGTAGACTCTGCCAAAATTGCGCACCTTGTGATCGGAATTCCATCTCCGGACCAGCGGATAATACTGGTGTGATGTGATGCATCAGAAGCATGCAACGAATCAAAGCTGAGGTGTGGCCACGCTCCTTTGATCGAACTCATGCAATGGGACCTACCTACTTGAGAAACATCGATATAAGTACCCTGCGACTTGAATCCTTCCCCATTGTTATTGAGGTTACGACCATTGTGTGCGCGTATTGATTTATGCCAACAACCAACAGCACATGCAAATGCAACAGCACATGCAAATGCAACCGTAAGCACATGTGCAAGATAACCAACGGTCGCCTCGCTGCCTCGTCATAATGATGCGGGGAACCCTCTGTCGCAGCATCATTCCCTTCCTCTCATTTACTCACATGCCCGAGGCGCGACAAGATGGAGATCAAGTACACGTCCCTCAACGCGTATCAGTCTGAGATCAGGCTCCTCACAGTCGACCCGGGCAAGCCCAGGGACGAGCTGCGTTGCTCGCTCTCTGTGGTGTCATTGAATGCGAAGCCCATATATGAAGCCCTTTCCTACGTCTGGGGCGATTCATCCATCACTGCCGATATTACAGTCGATGGAGTCTCGCACCCGGTCACTGCGAACTTGAAGTATGCGCTCTGCGCTGTACGGGGACTTTCGAAACCGCGAATCATCTGGGTGGATGCGATCTGCATCAACCGGGAAGACCTCCTCGAGAAGAACAGTCAGATCCCGCTCATGGCACGAATCTACTCGGCGGCCTTCAATGTCGTCGTGTCTATTGGGCCAGGTAGCCCTAGCCTAGACTATTTCGCGGACTGGGCGCATGTCTATCTTTCAAAGCGACCCTTCTCGTTCCGCTGGATCCAGAGGAACGTCCTACCGGGACTCACCCCTTCGTCACGGGCGCAGAAGCGGATTCGGGACGCCAAGTTTGTGCGATCAGAGATTACATTCTGGAAGCATCAGTACTTTCGGCGCATGTGGACGGTCCAGGAGCTTGTCCTGGCCAACAAAACACCCATCGTTTTGATCGGGCAGAAAGCGGTTCTTCTCACGAGAGCCAACGACGACTGGATGTCGTTGCTTGAAGATTGCGAAGCTGCTTATGCCAAAGCCTCCGATAGTCGATTTGTTGGCCGCAGGTTCAAAGAGGAGTTTAAGAACATCCTGGAGCAGGTTCACGCTATGATGGATCCGCCGGCCCTCCAAGAAGACACCATCACGGCCTCTCCACGCCTGGTCCAGATATTCCCTCAGCAGCTAACTGCCACGGCGCACCGGGAGTGTTTTGATCCTCGAGACAGGATCTTCGCCCTGTACCCCTTGTTTCCCGAGCTCCAGGCAACTTACCCTGCCGATTATCGAAAGCCGCCTGAGCAGGTTGTCATGGATACATTGACCTATATACTGGAGCACCACCCCTCCTTCTTCTCAATCATCTACATATGGCCGTTGCGACCACACAGGCTGGAGGATGAAGGCTATCCGACCTGGCTGCCTGACATAACTGGGCGCCAGCCTGATGGCTTCACAGGTTCGGGGTTCTACGATGGTGCCCGGCATGTCCGATCGAGGCCGGTCATCGAGAATAATATTCTGTTTCTTGATGCATGGATGGTCGGCAAATGCAAGGTCGTGTTGCGTTTCGATGACAGGGCAACGAGGAACCTGGATATACTACTCCAATATCTTGACGGAGAAATGGAAGCATCACTCCAATATGACTCTTGGGGCATAAGAGAGCTGGACGGGACGAAGATAAACCAGCGCATATCCTATGCCTGCTACTATCACGATCACGTTGGGCCACCAGAGTTTCCGGAAGAGAATTATCGCCAAGTACAGGCAGAGCTTGAGGCTTGTGGCTACAACGACCTCCCGTGGCAGCGCCTCCCCAAGTCGCTGCAAATTCTTGGGGAGAAGGCAGCGCGCCTGGCCGGCAAGGCCCTCTTTGTCACCCGCTCTGGCATGATTGGGATCTGCTCGGATATGATTGAGGATGGAGACTACTTGTTCGTCTCACCCTCTCTGCGTCAGCCGATGCCGCTCCGGATCCGAGGTGAGTATCGCGATGGGAACGATAGGCGATATGCGAGGCTTGTTGACTTTGCCTTTGTCGACGGTCTGATTGGGGATAGCAAGCACGGTGAAGTGGTGAAATATGTTGAGTCGCAGAAGCTTACAAGGCTTCGTATTGGATGAGAGTGGTGATCTGGGCTAATTTCGCTTGGAGGGAATTGACAATTACCTAGGGCAGGTACCTAGGCAATGGTGGTTTACAGACTGTGATGGATTTCATTTAGCTAGCCTAGCGTGGATTGTTTGTTCTTTATTTCTTTCCAATTTCAAATGGTAGACATGAATGGAAATTCTGTGCCTTGACATCTCTTCTGAGTGGAGCAAAATTGCTGTGCACCCTGAGGCGGGCGAATAATTGTTGTGCCGAAGACCCGGAGACAACCCTCGATGCGAATACAAAATTGCTGTGCAGGAGACCACCGCTGAGACGAGTGCAAAATTGCTGTGCAGGACACAACTCTTGAGGCGAAGGCAAAATTGCTGTGCAAAAGATCGAGATTAAGGCGCGCTAATCATCTACTCGTGGGTCAATCACTCGCAGCTAAGGTTGGCATCCATGATGCTCGGCCCACGTCTCTGACGACCCTCGGGGGAGTGCAAAGTTGCTGCAAACCAAGCAATTTCGAGTCGCCCTCTGAAGGTTGAATTTTCTGATCGGGGGGAATTGGCCCGCGGATCGGGTGGCATTATATCGTGCAGGTTTAGACCTCGTTGATGTCCTCTGTGTAGACGTTAAAGCTACGAGAGCTGTTGACAATCCGCCGTGGTGACGGGAGCGTTTGGTTCGGGTTGGCGAAGCAGGGTTTGGCAGAGTCGGCTTGGCTCAATCAGGTCGAAGTCCCCTAGCTACGGGGCATTGAGGGGCCGAGTGTGCTGTGGGCCAGCCGCTGTGTCCCTGTGTCCACTGTCCACTCGCTGGTCGGAAGTTGGGGGAGGTCCCGATTCCGAACCGGAAGGTGCTCCTGCCTTGCTCTCTCACATCGCTGTACTTGCCCCTGGCCCATTTGGCCCTCTTCTCCCAAGTCCCTGCGATCACGATCATCTCCGCACATGGGATCACTTTATCCGATCTCCCCTCATTTTGATTGATAATGGCTCCCTGCCTGAATCCGTACTTCGGTCAGCTTTCGTCTCATCTCATGGACCCTTGATCCCCACAAAGCACGCACAATACATCACCAATGACCTCGAGCAACGGAGCGCATTCCAACGGCGCTGATGCGACCTTGATCCCACCAAAGGGCGCTTTCATCCCCCTTCTCATCAACGGAGCGGACGTTAAGCATTCGGATACCAGCCGACATTGGACCTTGGATAACGGTGACAACAATGTCGGCCTTTCTTCAACTTTCCAAGGCGCCGACGCAGCCACGGCTCTCCAGGCGATCGAAGGGTCTCAGAAGGCCTTTGAAACCTGGTCTCAGACCCGGGTAGGGGAGAGAAGGACCCTGTTCCAGAAGCTAGTAGAGGTGTGTAACTTGCCAACATCCGCTAATATCGATAACTTCTTTCTCATCAAAGAGTTAGGGTATCCGAAACAATCGAGAGGCGATCAGCCAAATGATCAAAGAAGAAATCCATTGCGACGACCATTGGATCACGATCCAGCTAGTTGTTGGGGTCAGTGTGATTGAAGAGGCGGCAGCAGCAATGAGTTCCGAGGCCGCGGCGGGACAGATTCTGCATTCCATGGTTCCCGGCGCGTATCCCCTCGTGATGCAAGAACCATACGGTGTCATCCTCGGAATGGCGCCGTGGAATGCGCCGCTGATTCTCGGGCTGCGATCGATTGTCGGTGCCCTCGCTGCCGGCAATACCGTCATCTTCCGAGTAAGTGGCTTGTTAGATGCTCCTTTGAATTGAAGTCTGCTGACTGGTATGGCACCCACAGGGCTCAGAATTATCCCCGAGAACTCATAGATTTATTGCGAATCTCATCCGCTGGGCGGGTTTCCCTCCTGGAGTCTGCAACTTCCTTCTTCATCGCCCCGAGGACGCCGTCGAAGTTTTCGAGACTTGTATCAGTCATCCCTTTGTTAAGAAGGCTAACTTTACGGGGTCCACCGCCGTTGGGAGATCTATTGCCGTTACTGCGGCTAAACATCTCAAACCGGTGCTGTTAGAACTTGGCGGGAAGAACATCAGCATAGTACTGGAAGACGCGGATATCGAGAAGGCAGCAGAAGAGAGTTGGGACCATGCCATGATGAATGTAAGTCGCCACTTAGCCCTGTTGAGATCCTAACTAATGCATCGTGCCCATTAACAGAATGGCCAAGTTTGCATGGCTACGGACACCATCCTTGTCCACGATGCAATCATAAAGGACTTCACGGCGGCGATACGCAAGCATTTGGAGAGGCCTTCTTCCCTTAATTATCGTGTCATCACAGACAAGGCCCGTCAGAGAATAATCGAGACGCTAGAGGAGGTTGCTGCTGCTGGCGCCAAAGTAACAACGACAACCGGTGAGCACCCTGCCATTCCTGCAGCGCTCATTGAAGATGTGCCTGCGGATTCCAAACACCATCGCACAGAGTTCTTCGGCCCTCTTCTTGCGGTACAGCATATATCCAGCGAGGACGATGCTGTAAGACTTGTCCACGCTACTGATCACGGATTGTCTTGCTCCATCTTTTCCAAGGATACCCTGAGGGCTGTCAATTTGGGCAGACGCCTGGATGTTGGTGCCGTGCATATCAATGCAGGCAGTGTTCATGATGAAGGAAACTTTCCTCATGGTGGTACAGCGAACAGTGGATATGGTCGGTTTGGCGGGACCTGGGCTGTCAGAGAGTTCACGAAGCCAAAGATGATGATGATATATCAATGACTGTGTTAAGGTGCGGCGTCGCATGGCGCCATAATGTTCTCCTACGGCTGTCTGAGTTGACAGACTTTTTCTTCTCTCTTACCTCACATATCAGTAACGCAAGCAAGGCTGATTTCGGAAAGAGCACTGCCTCTTTTATTGGCGGTTTCGTTCTCACCATTATCTGGAAACACCCGAACTTGCAATATACTGACATATATGACCAAACACCCCCCCTTACTCTTGGCTCGGGTCTCGAAACGCTTGTACAGACTCTAGGGATGAAGCTAGGTGACGTTCCATGGGCCAGAATACTATACTCAAGCCCATGGGAGGCAATTGAGTAATGTAAATCGAGGCACACCTTGACTGCGGTGCGATTCCTATAGAACATGCCAACAAAATGCCTTATAAGCGGAAATTATGAAGGAGATAAGCTCTGATCAATAGTTCTTATCAGCTCGCTACTATAGCCACTATCGCTACTGACAAGATTATCAAGCCTCACTCACAGCAATGCATATCACGGTGGCTGAGATCTTGGGTACTTGGTACCTCTCATGTTACATGTCTCAGGTTACCTTAGTCAGCCATAACATGCAGGTGAGGATGCAGTGAGGCTGCATAAAGCTGCACTTTGTGTCTCCCCGCTTCTCCCATCTTCTCCCCTCTTCTCTTTCATCCTGTCCTCTATTCTCTTACTGTCTATCGACTGAACACACTGACGACCATCTGTGCTCTTCCGCTCACTATGGAGCCCAAGCCAGACCAAAGCCCTGACCTCTCTTCCCAAGGTGATGAGGAACCCAAAGATTTCGGCGTCGAGCCGTTGCGTTACACTGAGCCAGCGACCGTGACTAGGCTTCTTGAAACGCAAGTATCTTCGAAAACCCTTGAGGATGTCATCCAAGAAGCGAAGCAGAAGTCATCCAGCATCTTCGGCAATTATGATACTCTCAATGCCATCCTTCTACGACATGAGAGCCTCATCCAAAGCCGCTGGGCCAAGAAGACGACGGCCCAGAGGGCTACGATTCTTGACCAGGCTTGGCCCGGTATGGCCAAAGTTCACCGGCCTGACCTCATCGCGTTCTACGATAAAAAAAGGCCCTCGCGGCCAGCACGAGTCAAGGTCAAGGTTACCGTCGATGGCTACAAATGGCCGCACATCAACAAGGAAGACTTGACCAAGCCAAGGCCACTGCTCCTGCTGCTAAACTCTCGTGGTAGACACGAGCCAACCGAGTTCGCCGCCGCCGATTTCGAAGCCATGCATCTTGGGCTTGCCACCAGACAGATGATGCCCATCTTCCTCAACGAACATGTCATGATTTTACACAAAATTCCAGACCGAGAGAAGTATGGTACACTCCTTGCGTGGAGTGATCATAAAGACACCTTTGAATGGATGAGAACCAGAACCCAATTTTTACCAGGAGAAGGCCTTTTGATCCTTGAAGCCCAAGAAAGGCTGATGGAATTCCTCGTCACGGTTTGCAAGCTCATTCTTCACGATATTTCTGCCGATGCGCTCGTTGGTGGAGACTCGAGTATCCAGCCAGAGCCCCGTCTTAAGAAGAATGCAGAAATAGCTGGATTCGAGTCACTCACTGTGACGACTGCTGAACGGCCATATCGCCTGCCCGCTGAAATCAATTTTGACCAGATGGAGGCGATTCTTGGAGCTGTCCAGTCCGCCAATGAAGATCATTTCTGGTCGATCCGGGTCGATCCGGGTTACTTTGCTATGAACATTCGTGACGCCAAGGACCACCGCAAGGAAATCCTCAAGGATACAATGGGCCAAGCTCATCCACTCCTCAAAGGGGCCCGCCAAGGCCAAGATACGTTCATCTCTCGCCTGGTCGGATTCATCGTCACCCTTGCCATCGAACAACTGGAAATCTTTACTTGGCTTCGAGTGCAAGCTCAAACAGTACGGTCGCTACACAAGAAATATGAAAGCACGCTCTCTTCAGACAAAGAACTACCTGACGACTTCCTCTCTGCCATCTTGACATTCAGGCACTATCTCGGGCAGACATCTAAGGCATTGTGTGGCCAGTTACAGACGATTTTCCCACCATCCCCTGATGCTCGTAAATACTTTGCTCGGATGCCACCGGGCAATGCGAGTACCCCCATGGACCAGGTCATTCTGAAGCCCGATGCAAAGATGAGCAATCTCGAGGGAGAAATTACCTTTCTTTTTCAGACAATGTGGAGTAAGGACATGGATCAAGAGCTTTCCTTGGTTGGCCTTCCCACCATCATGGACGAGCTCGATCGCTTGATTCAGTCCAACCCTAAAGCGAAGGAATTCATCTCTCCAACAGTTTCAAAACTGCTTGGTGATCTGTCGATTGTCTGTCAATGTCGTAGCCAGATTGACCATTTCTTGCCTTGGGCAAGGGGCTTCGAGCACGAGCATTTAGAACAGCAGAGAGGGATCATGGCGGAATTCGCCAAGACTACAACCCCTTTGCAGGCTGTAGGTCAGAGCATTGACGAAACGAAAATCATGCACCTGGCGAAATTGTGCGATCCGTCGGAGAAGAAGTTTTCGTATCCAACCTCTGGTCGGCGAACCCAGGAAGCTACCGAGACGATGCGACGGGCAGAGGCGACTCTTGAATATTTCTGGGCCCAGATTGATAAGCTCATCCAGAAGGAATGTTCAGGGCTGGACCGCTTTGCGTTTTGGAGAATGCTCTCGGAGCCCCGTCCTGTTCAGAAGACCCCAGAATGGGTTGACCCAAAGTCGACGCGAGCCAAAGCCTCGCAGGTGAACAATGTCGATGCTCCCGACGTGGATTACAGACCATTGTCTAATCTCTTTCTTGGCCACCAAGAGCAAGGACAGTCTAAACATGCGAGAGATAAGGCCAAGACTAAGACCAAGGTCAAGACAAAAGGGCAGCCATCTGAGAAACAAGCCTCTCAAGACGTCGACGTCCAAGCGGCAGCCCCCCCAGTGGCGGATCTACCACCAATCCCCGTCGACGCGCGTTCCCTGAAAGTTTTTAGAATAATGTTCTACAATCCCGCGGTTACATCAACACCTGGAGAGCTGATGTGGAAAGAATTCCTCCACGCTATGATCTCTACCGGTTTCTTCTCGGCTGAGAAGCGAGGGGGATCGGCATGGCTGTTTCACCGGATCGATGAGGATATGAGGAGGGTTCAATTTCACGAGCCTCACCCGGATCCAAAGGTTCCTTTTGAGTGGGCGCGACACTGGGGGAAGATCCTGTATCGGGCGTACGGTTGGGAGGGCAAATTGTTTGTGCTGAAGGAGAAGAAGAGCAACAAGCCATCGGAAGATTTGGTGGCTGCCGATGCATCTTGATTGTGCAGGGGAAAATTGGTGGGCTCATGGACGGCCCGAGGTACCAGTACGATAATGACTTATGACTTTCACAGGAACAGATTGTTTGCTACGTGATGATTTTGAGGGACAGGAACCAGCTTAGCAGGATGTGTTTTAGCTTTATTTGCTTTTAGTACTCTGACAGATTGACTCTATTTGCTTTTATTACTCTGACAGATTGAAATACACCAAGTTTATGCTTGTTCTGAGATGAGACACTCTCCGGCGTGAATACCCAAATGCCTGCAGCCCAAACCTTACACTGCGGAAGACCTGAGACCGGCACAACACTAGACAGTGGCACACAAACCTTCCTCCCTCCATGCAAGGGGTAGCATTGAATCAATGCTTCATGTGATTGCATTGCACCTTGATTCACAGCTAACAAACAAAGAACATGAATCTAATGTTAGCAAACACGCAGTTTTCCTTGTTGCCGCAAAAAGACAAGCTTTGTGCCCTCCCTGGTCCATGCAAGCAGAGAATCGTGAAAGGCAGCATGTCTCCTGACAAACTACGATTGTCACCGTACCCCTCACAAACTCATGAGTTGAACAAAGCCCACCCAACCAAGGAATCCGTTTCCCTTCTTGCTCGAGCCCTTTGATGTGAATAAGAACGCCGGCGTTGCCCCCCAACCCCGAGGCGCTTGTGGTTTTCTTCATACGCATTTTCTGCACAGCTCTATTCTTTATCAATAACTGAAGTTTACCATATCATTCATTTTCATTAAAGCAAACTAAACTCGATAAGTTGATAACTGGATAAAGAACCGACAATGGAAAACACCTGGTCAGTCAGAAGACTGCGCCCACGTGGTCCGGCCGGCGCCGCCACCCCAGCTCCCGCCCCAGCGGTCGAGCCTACTCCAAGCAAGCCGAGCAAGGCGCCAGCGGCGAAGAAGAAGCCCGCGGCCGCCAAAAAGGCTCCAGCTCCAAAGTCCAAGCCTAAGAATAGTCGGACGAAGAAAGAGGTGAAGAAGGAGGAGGTTCAGCCGCAGCAGGAAGAGCAGGAGCAAGCCCGGGATGTGGTTTCAGCCAGGGATGACAGCCAACGGCAGGAGAGGCCAGCACCCCTTTCGACACCTCGTCTGAACCACCCCGTCCCTCGACTGAGTCCTCCTATGGCTCGGTCACCCCCTATAGAGAGACCACCATTCATCAACCTGTCTACACGGCCCAACACAGCCGGTCCGTCTGGAAATAACGAGTCTCCCGTGTGGGATGATGGGCCCATCCGACAGAGTGTTGAGTTTTCACCCGAATCACCTCCCCGAGGAAGCTCATCACACCACGAGTCTAGCAGCGCAACGCTGCAGGATGACACGCCTATCCGGAGGCCAGATTCCAGATTCGGCGTGGTGCTGACGGTAGACACACCGGAGGCGTCCACATTTGTATGGGGAAGACAACCAATCGATGAACAACCGAGACTGGAACGTCAGGACAGACCCTTCGTCGAGGCGGCCCCAAGACTCAGACGCCCGCAACGACCAACCTTTCTAGAGTCGACACCCAGAGTACCAGTGAGCCAGCAGGCCATGGTCGAGCGGGAGGACGAGCTTCTCTACGGGTTGCCCATCCGCCGCGTGAAGAGAGTGAAGCGCTGCCTACGCGGCCTAGTTTGGTTATTCTGCATTATGGTACTCGGTCTCGGGTTCTTGCTCGTCGTCGAGGACGCACACCGGTTCCGCAACCTCGAGGACGGCGAGGAACTGCTACTGCCGGTCCACCAACCCGTCCTGGATCTCTCGACTGTGCTCATGGGCTTCTCCTTGGGTCCAGCTGGCACGGATAAGCTTCTGAGGCGCAGCAATGCGTACATCGACAACATCTGCCAGGGGCCCTTTAAATGGGAAGAGCTGCGGACTTATAAGAAGCCGCCAGGGGAGAGCTTCGAGAAGGAGGGTAAAACAAAGGCCAGGGAAAGAAATATGACGAGTCTCTTCCTGTCGAGTGCGGGCGACGACAGGGGCATGCGAGCAGTGGCGAAGCTCTGCCAGGACGCAAAGGGACTCTCCCAGGCCTTGTCTCGGGCGGGACCGATCGTCGGGACGGCGCAGAAGATGGCACTGCAGGACACGGCCCGGGTGATCGAGGAGATCCAGGCGCGGCTCACCACGACGACGCCTCCTCAAGACGCCGGTTTCCCCGACCTCAAAGGTAGTCTCCTCAGCTGGATCCGGCCGGAGATTGTATCGAACGACACATCGCTGTGGGAGGATCAGCAAAAGGTCATGAATGACTACCTGCTGTCGTTTGACAAGCTCGGCAAAGACGTCACAAAGGCATTCGAGGAAGTCTCAATAGAAGAAGAGCCTGTGTCAAGAGCCGGGACCTCCAACGATGAGAAGCTGATCGGAGGATCTGCAAGGAAGAGGACCGTCCCGGTGTGGAAGAGATGGCTGCGGCACCCACTTGGGTCGTCTCTTGAGCTAGCCCACCTGCTCAAGAACGATGCTCTGGATTTTCACAAGTTATCCCAGGGCATTGCTGACATTGAAACGCACATGTCAGAGTCTTGCCAGAACCAGGACGCCAAGAAGCGACCGGGCTGCCCGTACACCTGGGATAGGTCAAAGGTTGATCGCCCGACTCTGGACCTCGACTTCCACTCATTAGAATCTCGTGATAAGGCTCGGAAGATCGCTGGTGCTCTGGATTGGATCGATCTAGAGCGCCAAGTTCTGAGAACCATCTTGGAGTCCGAGAATCCAAAGGGACCTGGGCTGCTGGACGGAGAGTGCGAGGTTGTACTCGACAGCACAAAGAAGGGCACCGGCGCCCTTATATCAACGCGAGGATGGATCCATCCTGACCCCATTTCAAACAGGGGTCAGGCGTATTCAGCCCTACCGATTTGTGCCCCGACGCGTGTGTTCCGGCCGAGTACAGAGAAATATGATTGTAAGCTGCCGGGGAGCGACGATTACTGGCATGATGTATGGAACATGATGGGCCATACGTTCGGCATGCCTTCTCGCTTCGACACCCAGGTATCATTCAAGCGTGATTCACATGAGGACAGCAACAGTAATCAGCAGACACGAGATATCCTGTGGAGGCACGACCTCAAGATATCGCAAAAGTCTTCTGTGTGGTGGATCGTCAAGGACCAAGTGCCGCATCCTACGATCAAGCGGTTAAGGACATCTTTCTTCTGGGGCTCGTCTCCCCTGCGTGGCTTCCGTCTACCAACCGTAGAACAGCAGGATGTTCGGTTGACAAGAGGCCTGTCGCGGATACGCATATTTCTATGGCAATATCTGTAAGCGGAAATAATATGGGTTTGAAGGAGTTTGGCGCCGAGGCATTGGAACGGTTTTTTTTTGGTGTTGTGCTTTTTTCTTTTTGGCGTTGTTACTAGGTGGATTTCTCTTAGAGCTTGTGATTTTGCGAATAGAATAAGCCCGTTGGGTTAATACAGAGAATATGCTGCGAGAAACATGTTTCCGTTTTGTCCATGGCAGGTAGTAAATGCATTAACACATGAGTGTTCGAAATAACTCGCCAAGCCTAAGTTACCCGTATGCCATATGCTAACAACGCCAGTCAAAGGACGGGCCATGATAGCTTTCCCAAGCCTTTTAGGCCAATATTGACCAAAGGCTTTTGAATTATAGCCCAGATAAAAGACAAGTCGCGGTATATCGGCCCAGGATCCGATGAATGCCAAGCAGAGAGCCCCGTTCGGGTAGGGTATAGCATGAATAGACTCGTTGATGGAATCCTGCCGTGTCTCCGCTGTTCTGGTAAAACCAGCCACATACATCGTCCGACTAAACAGGACCAAGTCGACAGTGAGGGGTTTCGGTAAAGGTAAACCGGAAGTTCGAGAACATCTCCGGCAATTTATCATCCCGGCGCGGTGTAAGGAAATCGTAACTCGTGGAGATGTGTTTTCCCGCTCAATTAACCGCACCGCGGCACCGGCCCTGAAGCCGCAATCCCACCATATTAGGCCTGTTCTGGAAGACGTACGTCCATTGCGACCTAGAGGGAAGTGGCCTCGGCTCAGTATGAAGGTTAGACTTTTCTAGCCGTATGACTCCTTGGGTGTATTAGGAAAGGCTATATCTTTAAGCTCATCGTATTCAATGCGTTGGGTTGGTCGGGCCCTGGCAGCTTCATTGTTGTTAAACTTTATCCTCTTTTCTCATACGTGGCCTCGGCTCGTCCGTTGATATCATAAGTAGAGCACTGCCTTGAGCACACCTCATATTGAATCAGTGATGCTCTAAAGGACCAATCCTTGCCCCACGATCGATATGCGCTTCAATTGTGTCCAAGCGGTACCTTGGTGCCTACTTCTGTCAGGGGCAGCAACCGCGGTCCCTCATCCCCGAAATCAGGTTCCTCCGGGGTTCGTTACGACTGAAGGTGGGAAGTTCAAGTTGGACGGGAAAGACTTTTACTTTGCCGGGTCCAATGCGTATTATTTCCCTTTCTCTGGTGTGAGTGTCAACCGTTGTGTATAATAGAGCAACCGCACGACTGATACTCGTGCTCCAGACGGATGAAGATGTCGAAAAGGGGTTGAAGGCAGCCCGCGAGGCAAAACTCAAGGTATTCCGCACCTGGGGATTCAACGACAAGAATGTCACCTACAATCCCGACGGTCTTCCCAAGTATGGTGACGAGGGTGCTGGAGCCACCGAGGTCGTCTTTCAACGATGGGACAATGGGAATTCCACAATCGACGTCACTCCCTTTGACCGAGTAGTAGCAGCCGCAAAGAAGAACGACATCAAGCTCTTGGTTGCGCTGACTAACAACTGGGCCGACTATGGAGGCTCTGATGTTTATGTCGTGAATCTTGGCGGCCAGTATCATGACGATGTCAGTATTCATCCCGGACACAGCCCCGGGCTTTTCAATACTGACTCCTCATAGTTCTATAAGGTGCCACGAATCAAGGACGCTTACAAGCGTTATGTCAAAGAGTTTGTGACTCGATACAAGGACTCGCCCACAATCTTTGCCTGGGAGGTCAGGGTTTCCCCATATTCGAGCCTCGGTGTTGCATCGATTGATCTTGAACGGCTGACTGGCGGTGTAGCTTGGAAATGAGCCTAGATGTGGCGCAGATGGCGTACGAAATCTTCCGAGGAGCGAAGACGGCTGCGATCCTCATGTCCTCGGCGCTTGGATCTCTGAGATGAGCGCATACATCAAGGAACTCGATCCGAACCACCTTGTAACTTGGGGTGGCGAAGGCGACTTCAACATCGAATCCGATGACTGGGCATATAACGGTAAGAATGGAGGAGACTTCTCAGCTGACATTGCTCTCGACACCATTGACTTCGGCACCTTCCACTCGTATCCGGACTGGTGGAGCAAGACAGTCGAGTGGACAGGTCAGTGGATCAAAGATCATGCCGAAGCTGCTCGCAAGGCCAACAAGCCCGTTCTTCATGAAGAGGTAAGCCTCGTAACTGTGAATTCGCCCCTGCCACCCTGTCGCAATCGCTAACCTTGGCAACAGTACGGGTTCATGACAGACCTGGGAAGATGGCAAAATCTTGGCAAGGTCAGCAACTACTCGAGGATCGATGCCATTGGGGGATGGCAGCAAATTGGTCTCGAGGAGAAGATGTCCGATAGTGAGTTGCCCTCAAGCAAATTTGGCGTTATGGTGGTGATCGATTCAATGTTGCTAACTCTGGACAGTGTACTGGCAGTACGGGTACTCGGGCTATTCGTATGGAAGAAACCACAATGATTCTTTCACCATCTATCTAGACGATGAGGAGGCGAAAACCCTGGTCTACAAACACGCCAAGGATATGGAGAAGTTGAACTATAATAACTGTAAGAAGTGATCAAGTGAGTGACATGAGGAATGAGACACCTGATGAAAAAAACATGCTACTTTCCGAGATGAATAAGTAGAAATTTCGGCTGTATGCAAAGAAATACAGTAACAATATGTACTTTATTATCTCAAGTACATATTATTAGTACTCAATAATCTGATATTATTGCCCGCAGGCTTGATAATAAGCAGCTTATTGTTTGAGTGTCTCAATTTCAATGTCACCCACTTGGTGATCCAACTAGGAATAGCATGGCTTGATGTCCTTTCGATAGATGGCGTAGCCACATGCTGAGGTCGATGTCCTAAATGAGAATGCTCAAGTAAATGGCAAAGGATCAGTTTGTGACCCTTGTCCATGTTGGCGGTGTTTCGACGGAGTGACGACAAACCCCACCCTCCAGCTCTAGAAATTACTATTTTTGTTAATAACTCGATTGGAAGGATGGAGACAATGGCCAGCCAAGAGAACTTGCCCTGAAACCTTGAGCTGAATCAGCACCAGTGACGAACTGTGGGGAAGCTAATTTCCAAGACGACAGGGGGAAGAGCGATGACTTGGTCAAATGAAGTCATCAGCGAGTGAGCTTGCCATTTTCCCTCTTTCAACACTCATCTCTTTGACAGAACTCAACTGTCACAACATCAAGCAAAATGGCCGCTCCGTATAGCACCCGGGAGGAAATCGACGACGCCCATTCGGCACTGACAGCCACCTTTGCCACTGGGAAAACCAAGGATCTTGCGTGGAGGAAATGGCAGCTGAAGCAGCTCTGGTGGCTCATTGAAGACAACGAAGAACGGATTCTTGAAGTCTTACGCAAAGACCTGGATCGCCACACATTCGAAAGCTGTATGACAGACCTCCTAGTTTTGAAAGAAGAGATTCTCGACTTCCTCAAGAACTTGGACAAATGGACGGCTGAAGTCAAGATTGACGCTGGCTTCATTTTTGGATATCTCAGCAAGTCGCATTATCGCAAGGAGCCTCTGGGAGTGTCCCTTATCATTGGCGCATGGAACTTCCCAATCCTCATGGCCCTTCTGCCAGTAGTGCCTGCCATTGCTTCCGGTATGTAATCTCCCATCTAGCCTTCAATAATCGGCGTGAGCCAATCTAACCCAGAGACCAGGCTGTTGCGTGTTGATCAAGCCTTCGGAGCTCGCTATCCACTCTGAGGCCCTTCTCAAGGAGCTTATCCCAAAGTATTTAGACCCAACAGCCATTCGTATTCTGACTGGTGGTGTATCCGAGACCACATACATTCTCGAGAAGCGATGGAATCAGATCTTCTTCACAGGATCCAATAAAGTCGGCCAGTTTGTCGCTGAGGCTGCCGCCAAGCACTTGACACCTACGGTCCTGGAACTTGGAGGGCTGGGTCCGGCAGTTGTCACAAAGACTGCTGATATTGATCTAGCTGCCCGCCGAATCGCCTTTTCCAAATTTGTCAACGCTGGCCAGATATGTGTTGCCGTCAATCACGTTATCGCCGAGCCTGAAATCGTGGACCAACTGGTGGAGAGACTGTCGTACTGGAATGACCAATTCGTCAAGGATGGAGACAATACCATGTGCAAGATTATCAACGCTCGCAACTTTGACAGGCTCGCTGGTCTTCTCGAGAAGACAAATGGCAAGATTGTCTATGGTGGGAAGCTGGACAAGGAGGCGACATTCATCCATCCAACGATCGTCAGGAATGTCACTCTCGAGGACTCGCTCATGTCAGATGAGATGTTTGGGCCGATTCTTCCCATCATCACAGCCACCTTTGAGGAAGCCATTCAATGCATCAACTCGCTCTCCAACCCTCTAGCCTCGTATATCTTCAGCAAAGATGACTCTGTGGTCCAGGACTTCTTAAACCGAACGCTGAGCGGAGGGGTGACGGTCAACAACGTCGTGATGCATTCGTCTGTCCGCGGGGCACCGTTCGGAGGGGTCGGCGGATCTGGATATGGTTACTACCACGGCGTGACTGGAATTGACTGTTTTACTCATAAGCGGACCGTTACCACACCACCCTCATGGCTGGATGGGCTGATGGCTTTCACTTACCCTCCTTATCAACTCAGCAAGGTCAGTTACGTCAAAGCAAAGAACTCTTTGGGATTCAAGAGAGGGGAGACCTTGGAAGACCAACGCAAAGGCTCCTCGGGGGCAGGGACGTGGGCATTGTCCGCGGTAGGCGTCGCTGTGGTGGCTGGCTTGTATCTGAGTCGGTCCCAAGGGCGCGAGCTCGGAGCTATTACGAGCTTTTTCAAGTCGTAGTGTATCTTAACAGTGTTGTGTTGTCGAAACAAGGGAGGGTCGAGACGATGGAACATAGGGGGGTCGTTACGAAACGCTCTGGGTTTGGCATCGGCCACGTATTTTTAGTAAAAATATCGCTTAGTTTCTCGGTTTGCCGAGGCAACTATATAAATCGAAAACCAGTCTCGTGCCTTAAACCCTCTAAATCAATCCATCAGCGCCGGGTGTCAGGTGGAGATCAAATTGCTGATACCAAGCCCGTCAGAACAAAGAGGATTGCCTGTCGCATCCGTTCGGGTGATCTGAGATGGCGGAGTGATTCGAGGTGAAGTCTGGAACCTGCTGAACTGATCTATTAGTAGTGTTAAGTGAAAGCGCGCGATATCCAACGCTCGGCACGGAAGAGAGCGAGCTTTGGAGCTAGGCCAGCCGATCTGACTCTTGGAAAACAAGCTGATGGTCTATCAGAAAAATGGGGCCTAGTCGTCTTCAGTAATGGGAGGGCCGAATAGAAGCTGCATACCGTTGAGGTCTAACGCTTGCTGAGAACGGTCAGAGATTCAGCATGGGTACCAGGGAAGAACTTCCAATCCGTCTATCCGTCCTCGGGAAACAGGTTATCGTTCGATCTTGCTAAGCAGCGACGGGGTCCGCGATATCTCGAGGGGCATCGTGTTGAATAAAGGGCGTCATTCGCAAGGAAACAAAATCTTCTATGTCCTTCCAACAGCGTGGGAATCTGACGGAGACTAATTGGTTCCAGAGTTGAAATTTGAGGATTGAGGGTTGGGCGAGATAGAATTGGGAAGGCCAAGGAATGGAGCAAAAGAGAGGTTAGCGGCACGCTTCAGTTGAATCATTATGTACGTAGCTTGGCTCGGTAATAGACGGTTGACATTGTTGATATTGTATTGATATTGTATTGATATGGTATTAAAAATCAGCACTGGAGGCTTTAGGTGTGCCATATTTATGTCAGTCACTTGCCTGCCTCAGCTAGGGAGTGTTTCCAATCAGAGCTATTGAGGGATTCACTCCAACAAGACTAGACTTGACTGCGATACTGCACTCATGTCAGATGTCAGACGGCCACGAAGGATGAGTGAAGAGTAAGTTCGTACATTGCCAAAATTCTTGAACATGGCTGTACTGATTTCCTTTTAACCCAATTACTTGGCCAGATGGTAGATGGTGAGGGTAAGTCTCTAAGAATCATGTGGTAGGCTCTCGTGTAACTAAAATTACGTACGACAGTTCGAGTTTGAAGTTAAAAATAGCAATACAAGATCCCAGACTCGACATCTCAGCAGAATGAATACCAATGTTAACAGAAATAACCTATAATGGATACCTTCCAGGGTTTCAGACTACGTCTGACGTTGAAGGCCACGAAGTGGCACGGACTCCGCTCCGACAGGCCCATGGAAACCCATGTTTTCCTAGCCGCACGTTCCGCTTAAGCTACATTCTTGGGCAAAGCCATCGACCATGTTGCGAACGCGCAGATGCATGTCGTCGTCATCTTCATGGGGCTATCTGGAGTCCCCACCGCGGAGTCCGTGAAGCGGCTGAATTATTCGGCACCGCTATGCGACTAGAACGACAGCCAAAGTTCGCGAAGCTAACTCGATACGAGCAGGCAGAGCCCTTGCCACTCTCGGGCGTTACCAGATTTTACCAATGCAAGTGATCATAGTCATAGCCGATGACATATACCCTTGCCATAGCATACTCTCTCTTCCTCAAATCACCACACATCTCTTAGTAATCCCAGTTGTACCACAGCTCCAAAGTGACCAAACAAGCTCTAAGTCACTAACCATGATGTAAATTCCGGTTTTAGCCCTGCTCAGATGTGGAAATCTTTCCAAGAGACCGAGCTATTCGCTATGTCGTCAGCGTTCGAGAAAGCAGAAGCTGACAACTTCTTGACCTTAACCTGAAAGCCAAGACACATATACTCTATGCTCAGTCCATTTCCGGATTGGTCTCCTAACTCGGATCTTCGCAAGCTTCGCATAGCCCAGGTCTACTGGCATGCCAAGCCACACACCGGGTAACAGGGATAAACCTGGCATTCCGTCTCTTCCGAGTAATGAGATCCTCAGTTCCTAAATTCCTTTAGCCCTATCAAAGAAGATCGGCTTGATATCTGAAGCCTCCTAGAGGGTACTGAACCCAGGGGTACAGAAAACCGAGATTCACTAGATTACCGGTGCAGAGAGAGACCGTTTCAAGTGGAGCGAGCGCCCGCAACACAGCCACGGGTCATTACGAAGTCCCTATTGTACCTTGTAAGTATGGGAGGGGAGGAACAGTTTCGCGCCCATATATTTCAAGAATGCTGTCAATATATAAGCCCAGTCGTGGTTTATACACGCAAGAGAACAATCCAGTTAGACTCTTGATCAGCCAACACTTAGGATAACAGTACACATCGCCATATCAGTCCATTTATCTTTCGACATGGCGACTTCAACCCTGCCAGACGGGTTGATTGCCTTTGGGCCTGACGCGAACTGCACCCTTGCCCTCTGTCCCCTCGAAACCAGCCTTCTCCAATACCGCCCATCCTTACCGGCTAGCATTACGTTCATCACCGTATTTGGGCTTTCCCTCTTGGTACATGCAGCGCAGGGGATTCGATCAAAATCTTGGGGGTTCATGTCTTGCATGATAAGCGGGTGCATCTTTGAGGTTGTTGGCTACATCGGCCGTATCATCATCAACGACAATCCTTTTGACTTTGGCGGTTTCTTAATTCAAATCAGTGAGTACATCTTTCCAAGCCTTTACTAGGTACGAAAATCTCATCTCACACGCTTCTAGTCTGCATTACAGTTGCCCCCGTGTTCTTCTGCTCCGCCATATATGTTCTGCTGTCTCAAGTGTATGTCGGATCCCATCATCATCAAAAGGGCAGCAACTAATCCAAGCATCCTCAGAATAAATCTCCTCGATCGATCGATTTCGCGCTGCGACCCCCGGCTCTTCTACTGGATATTCATACCCTGCGACATCGTGTCCCTTGTGCTCCAAGCAACCGGCGGCGCTTTGTCCTGTGTGGCCTCGACCAAGGCTGACATCGATATCGGCGTAGATATCTCATTAGCCGGGCTCATCTTCCAGGTCGTCACGCTGACCATATTCTTCTTCTTATTTGTCGACTACATGATCCTATGCTGGAGGTCAGGGCCGCGAGAAAAACTCACTAGACGGTTGCTATTTTTCCTTTTGTTCTTGTCGCTTTCGGTGCTCTTTATTCTTATCCGGTGCGTCTATCGCATCGTTGAGTTGCATGAAGGCTACTTTAGTGAGCTATTCCGAGAAGAAGTTCCTTTCACCATACTCGAATCAGGGTTGGTTTACACCTTGATCCCGCTACTGTTGCTGCGCCTTTGCTGATTCGTCACAGTATCATGTCGATAGGTGTGATATGCCTCAATATTGGCCACCCCAGTCTCGCTTTTGGCCGTCAAGGGTCCAAGAAGATGGAGCTGGATCCGACTGACTCTGGTGATTCTGCCTACGAGCTTACAAACCGCCTTGCAGTTAGCGCTGTACTTGCCGCTGCCGAGGAGCAAGACACAAACAACGATAGTAGAATGGAGCGAAAACGGTTTTCACGAGGATTTGTCAAAAACTTCCCAAAGCTTTAAAATAGAGGAGTTCAGAGCAGAACCATCAGCTGATGAGAGCCATTCAAGTGGGTGACAGGAGAAACGAGACACCTAATGGAAGTGTGGTTATTTATCGACTACTTTTTGTAATAAATGGAGAAACTCAGCAGTATAAAAACAAAAGAAAATAATAATAAATACAGTATTATCTCTAAGTATATTATTAGGACCCAATAATCTCATAATACCGGTCGTAGATTTGAAAATAAGCAGCTTAATATTTGAGTGTCTCCATTTCAATGCCACCTACTTGCCACTCAGCAACGATCAATATGTGGAATGGCGATTCCTTGTTATCGAACTACCCAGCTGGGAGTCATGTTGGAAATTGTTTTTGTAGAGTTGGTCTTTCTTGTTTAATCCCTCTACAACAAAGCACCAAGTCCTATCCTCCTATGAATGCTCCATCATTCCTTGCTATACCACTACCCAAAGCCAACTGGTCCAACTACTCTCTGGGCTCGCCCCAAATTTCAATGTGGGTTACCTTCATGCGAATGATGCGATCCCCGGCCTGGAATGAAGCAAGCCCGTCGTCACGCAACTGTAAGGTATCGCCAAAACAAAGAAGGTTTCCATCCACGCGGGGCACGCCCTCGAAGCGTACCATCCTTTGTGCCGGGCTGAGCATAAACACATACGGCCGCGCGGGATACATGATGGTGCCCCGGTATTCCAGACGGTCGTGCACTGCATCAAGCTTCGTAACGGTGAGTTGGCGACCAATCTCGTCATCCAGGTCCACCGGCGGGCCGAGTTCAGCATCTTCCACCTGTTTGCGGATCTCGAGCTCGGCGGGCAGCGGGATGAAGGAGCCAAAGATGATTTCTTCACCTGAGCGGGAGGATCCCTTGACCGCCAAGACGGTCAGATCCGGCATGGACCGCAGCACGTTCGCGAGAACCTGCGCGCTTGGCCGGACAGAACCCCTCTTGGACCACTCGTGGGCTCGGTCGAAGCTTTCGAAATACAGGTCCATGTTCACCATTGAGGCCAATTGGCTGAGGCGGGGCAGAGTCATGAAAGAATCTCTCGGGGGCGTGGGAGCCTTGTAGCAGAAGGATGGGAATGATGCAAATCCCGCGAAGACGGCTGAGAGTAGTCTGTGCAGCGGATCGAAGAGAAAGGGCATTTGAGGGAGCATGTCGTCAAACTTGCCCCAGGCGATGACGTCCGAAGACTCTTCACAGAAAGATCTCGCAACCGCGGTTGCAGCCTCGCTGAACAGGGCCGGGTCCGTATTCTTGCCCCCTTCCCACCGAAACTGCCCAGCTAAGAGGAAGCCAACCAGTGCAGTGAATTGATCTAGATCTATTGCAAGTCTATGAAGCCTGAAGCGGTCCTGCTTTGCGACCAAATCTTTGGCGGTTTCGAGAAAGTCTTCACGGCTTACGTTTCCAAAGGGGAGATACCTGTCCTGATCATACTGGAACATGTGGAGCACGTCCAGGACGTCATTGAACATCTCGTCCCCGTCGTCACAATAGTTGGTATACAGCCACTCCATTTCCTCAAAGTCAGGCTCGGGCACATCAAACGCGTTGCGGATGGCCCTCTGTCGATCTGCATCCGGATCACGAGCGCCGCGGTAGGTCTCGGTGGCCAGACTCTGGAATAGGAGTCTTCGTTCGTCGGCTGGGGTGCGAGCGCGACCTCTACTATCACCTCCCCTGACTCTGATGTTGTCCCGCTTGAGCCACTCCAGCCCTCGGTATATCTCACCGACAGTAAACGACGTCCGCAGCTTGTCCTTGCCGCGGGGGTAGAATGGCGTGCGACTCAGGTAGGCAACGATCTGGAACGCAAATCGAGCTAGGTCAAGACATGATGATGGTAGTCCGCCCTTGTCGAGGAGAAGCTCAAGGAATTCGGCTTCGGTCAGCTCGTGTTCTTTGGATGGAAAATGGCGGACCGCAATTCTGTCAAAGCCAAAGTAACCCTCCCCCAGGTGATCTAGAATGTAAGAAGGCTCAAGGCGGCCTTGTGACTTCCAAGTCTTGATTCTATTCATGGCGCTGTGCATGATGAATCAAATTGATGGGAGTCGAAAGCTACTGGTGATGGTCGAAGGTTGAGGCACGTAGATTCATTAGGAACGCGGGGAGCACCGTGCGTTGTCATCCAATCAAAATGTTAGGCTTACGAACAGAGATAAAATATTGAGGAAAACCCAGGATAAAAAATGTATTATTATTCTTCAATCGAAAAATTATTATTGGCTTATTTTCCAGCGTACTTTTCTCTTATTGAAGCTAGCAAACAGACAGTAAAGTGTTAAGTTGTTGAGGGTCCAGGGTAGTTTGGAAACCCAATTTGATGCCTAAGAATTGACGAAAGGGTAAACCCCGGATGCAAGGCTGAGGCGTCCAAACTCCAGCACACCACTTTGATGCTTGGGCGGCCTCAGAAGCATGATACTGACTGGCTCGAGCAATGTTGTGGCATCCGTCTCCTGCCAACCCTACCGACATCCCTTTATACCTAAAGCGCACGAAGCGCCCGCTACGATTTACGCGTCACGATCGCCCCCGAACGCCTCCCCGCCGATGCTCATGGAGGGAAGCTATGGGGAAGTTCAGTCGGTCGGTGCATGCCCAGACTGGCCCTCAACTGCTCATAGCACTGGGTCTACGTTCAAGTTGAAACAATAGATCGTCGTCAAGAAGGTCCGCCCTGGCCGAGATCGGAACAAGGCCAATGAACGAACCGATTCTCGACATACTCGAACGTTATCCCCTGCCGATGTACATTGTCCGAAGCTTCTATCGAACCGAGCGAGCCGAATATGCCACGAGTGGGGTTATTGCATCCCTTCTCAGGGAGGAACAGCAGAGAGATGAGTCATCTCAGCGGCTGATCGGGGTTGCGGGAAGACAACGCCTGGAGCGTTGTCTCCATCGGCTAAAGCGGCTCGGCGCTGCTACCGCGTGGCTTAAAGAGCATGTTCCTACCCACTGCGACATCCGTGATCGGAATATGCTCTTGTATCCCGCTAGACGCGTGAAGCTGGCAGAGTTTGACCCTACGAGTAATCGAGGTCTTACACCTCTCGGACGTGATTCGTGTGACAGGGTATCTTGAGGCGGTGAGGGAGCCTCATGCGATGAGGCATGAAGATCGAGGTCTCGGGCATTCCAAGCCAAGAGAGTTGCGTCCTCGGACAGGCTTATGATCTGTCAGGGATGCGCAAGGTTCCTCAGAAAAGAGACATGTTGACCTTCTAAATCATCCAGTAGGTATATACCGTATTATTATAGTACAACGAACGGCCTAGCTCATTCTCTGGGTCACGGAAGCGTAGACGAGTAACTGCCGGCGCGAGCCCTAGATACACCTCCTCAATGTCCATTATCTTCTGAGTCTTCAAATATAGTCTATCGCGAGTAACCAGGTATCCCCGTTGAAAGATGAAGATTTAGACTATCCTGGCTGCCAAGAGCTCCTGCAGCATCCAAACAACCATTCAGATTCATCAAACAGCTTTTCTGGCTTCAGACCATTGACTTGGGGGTCCACATCAGCGAGATACGCAAAGTAGACTGAGGAATCTTAATAATACTTGAACATGGGATTTAGGATTTGACAGCACAGCGCTTCACGTCTGGTCAAAAAAGTGTCATGTATCGACCCAGATATAATCCAGCCCCTCCTCCAATGCCTGTACGCAGGCTGATGGTATTTTCAGACAGCTTTGCGTGTTTACAAAGGCAGTGGCCTGACCCTGAAATCCATCAAGAGTGATTTGCTGCGTCTTGCCATTGGCAGGGCAGTATTGTGTGCGCCAGCTGCTTCTGGATGTCATCGAAGCGCTCAAGTTGGAGCCTGTGGGTGTCGATGAGGCGCGTCACAACAGTACGTAAAGCCAGAGACATGACTTTCAACTCTGCCATGCCAGTTAATAAACTTACGCACGCTTTGCCGACGCTTTTCGCTGACTCCTCGTCGCAAGTCCAAGTACCAGCACTGACTAAAATAGTAGCGTTTGCGTTAGATTTCGGGGACAAAAAATCTGCAATGGAAAACACCAGACCTAGAATCTCAACATGAATGCATTGCGAGTACAACACGACAGAAACGTTGTAAGAGCAAGTGTAGCGCAATCGAAGTGAAAATATTCTATTAATTTTGAGCCCACCCCAGGTAGGCCTTCTTATTTCCCGCACTAAACTCCTATCCGGTTGAAGGGCAGCGTACTCCTTCACAATTACACAAGCGCAGCTCTACAAGAGCCATCGCTTGCTCTTCTTAGAACCCTTGCTGCTGCTCTTCTTGGAGCCTTTGTCAAAAGCACTCGCATCAATTGGTCTAGGCTCGGCGACGATTGGCCCGCCAGTAATTGACGTAGCAGGCTGACTGCTGCCTCCCGATACTGCAATAACAGTCGCGCCCTTGCGCTTGGGCTTTGGGCGATCAGTAGGAGCTCGCTTGCTCTTCTTAGAGCCCTTGCTGTTGCTCTTCTTTTTGTCGAAAGCACTCGCGTCAATTGGTCTAGGCTCCGCAACGATCGGTCCGCCGGTAATTGACGTAGCAGGCTGGCTGCTGCCTCCTGATACGCCTACAACAGTCGCGCCCTTGCGCTTAGGCTTTGGGCGATCAGTAGGAGCTCTCTTGCTCTTCTTGGAGCCCTTGTTGCCGCTCTTCTTTTTGTCGAAAGCACTCGCGTCAATTGGTCTAGGCTCCGCAACGATCGGTCCGCCGGTAATTGACGTAGCAGGCTGGCTGCTGCCTCCTGATACCCCGACAACAGTCGCGCCCTTGCGCTTGGGCTTTGGGCGATCAGTCGGGGCTCTCTTGCTCTTGCTGCTCTTCTTAGAGCCTTTGCCTTTTTTATCAAAAGCACTCGCATCAATTGGTCTAGGCTCCGCAACGATCGGTCCGCCGGTAATTGACGTGGCAGGCTGGCTGCTGCCTCCTGATACGCCTACAACAGTCGCGCCCTTGCGCTTGGGCTTGGGCCTTGTTGGGTCCCGAGCCATCAACTCGGAAAGCTGAGACTCGAGATCACGATCGTCGAGGCTGACATCTTCCAGGAGGTCCCGAATGGCAAGTCGAAGAGCAAGGTCGCCGTCGGCTTCAGATCGGAGCGCAACGTCACCGGAAGGCAATGGAGCACCCAGAGCCGACTGGGCGAAGGCGGCCAGGAAGACAGAAAGGATTGAGAATTGCTTGGAGGAAACCATCTTGAAAGAATAGAGGGAAATAAGAGGAATAAAAAAAATTAATAGAATAGATAAAAAAAAAGAAGCGAATAGAGACCAGCTCTAGTGTTTGAAGAATAAAAGATGAATGTTTTTTTGGGGTTTTGTGATGAAGAGAGGAAAACAGCTTTTGAGCCGGCGAATGGCTTCTTTATATACCTTCTGTAGCACCCACCTACCAACAGTACCGCCTTTTAAAATACTACACCAAATTTAGTAGCAGCCGGGATCGCGATGTTGGTAGAGCGACACTGTCACCAGTTGGTATTACATATGGAGCTAGGACCAACATTTGAAAAATTTCAAATGCCTTCCTTCCCCATCTATATCGCCGACTGCATGGTAGGTACCACGGAGAGCATCAATAAAAGAGCTTTTAAACCTCTAAAACACAATGGTAGGTACCGCAGGATTGGTTTATTCTTAATGACCGTCTCTCAATAGACGAATCTTTAGAGGAGCCTGCCATCAATGCGGCAGTGAACTACCGGCAGGCGTCGCTAATCGCATCCTTCAAGATCCATCGCGTGTGCAACATGGTCCAGGGGTTCCAGTCACTTCGGGGAATCCCTCGGCGTAGTAACTACATAGGTGGTCTTACGTTGTGGCCCCATCTCCTTAACAGTACTATGTATGTGATCAAGAGACTGTGCGTACTACCTGTATGCATCGGAATAGCCGGTGTGTTGGTACCATCGAAACTATAGAGCGTATTCCTTTTGAGATAGCATTGGAGTCTGCTACTCTGCGAAAGGGCTCGTACTTGTCTCCAGCCACCTGCCACCCCTTATTTCCCTTCTATTGGTGAGATAGGAGGTCCATGATCTCGCATCTCTCCATGAACATCATCTTCATCGCTAGGCCGACTCTCGAATTACCACACCAAACATGGATGATGAAGGATCCAAAAATTCCTGTTTGTGGCGGAAGGCCGCATAGGAGGTGCTATGGGCCCACAACAGACAGATTTAGCAACAAGAAATTATTCGCCCGTCGCAGTACGTAGGTCGGAGGCTGGCTGTTTTTGGTGTTTCTGGTGTATTTTTAGCGGTCGCTACCTAAGGATCATTCGGCGTACGCTCCACTCCTACCCGTTTTCAGCTAAAGACAGGTGCCGGTAGAGCAAATCTTTAGTGATTTACCTGGTAATAATCGTTTCTTCATTGTGTCGAGTTGTCGGGCCCTCGCAGCTTCCATTGCTGTTGGACCTTACTATTCTCTTTCTCTCACCTACATAGCTGGATTCTATTCTCTGATTAGTCTCATGCTCTGGTGACATTCCTGCATAGCACAAAGTACGGTCTCCTCAGTTGAAGCGTTGGTACTGAGCTTGAGGCCCACTACACTAGCTTCCCGGGATTTGACCCTCTTACAGTAGCTAACTTCAAGGAACAAGGTTCTTCGTGCTTTGTTGATATAATGGCATCAATTCATGACATATCTGATGTTTTATAGGCTATCTCTATGTGAATCAAACATTTTTCATCCCGCATAGCATCATTCCCAGCATACAGAGTTCCGTTCCTTAAAAGCTGTTCTTGTATGTGGTCGAGGTCTCATCACCAAAGGTGACGCTGACATTGTAGTTGACAACGGTCGTGGTCTTGGATGCGCCGTACAAGCTGTAGGCTCCAGCCGTGACGAAGCCCGGGCCCTTGGCAATATCGGCAGGGAAGGTGACGGTCTTGACGACGGTCTGTCCGCTGGGCAAATTGGACTCATCTGCAAATAATTGGGTCAGCAACAGGGTTCAGAGGACTAGTAGAGTGCATCCATGGGCGACGTACCAGGTCCGAGGTAGAAGGAGTCGAGGAGGTTGGTCAGAGTGCCGGGGTAGGCGTTTGTTGTCGCATAGCCGTAGGCAATAGCAACATCGTCGACTCTCTGGATGTAGTTTTCGCTGACGATCTTGAGATCGACAGTGTCTCCCGGCTTGATCGTCTCAGGCACGCTGATGCCGGAAATGCGGGCTTGGGCAGTGGCAGCCAGAGCGGCGGCGGCGGCAGCAAGAGAGAAGCGCATTTTCGATGAATGTCCTAAGACGTTGATTATAGATTAACTGATGAGTGAGTAGGGACTGATGTTCGATTGATGTCAAACCGGTCAACAGAGAAGGCTCACCGTCTTCTTTATAGCAGAGACCGTTAGTGATGTGGGCCGCTATAACCCAGCTGAGACGCTCCCTGGGCCTCGTGTCCCAAACGCTACTGTGGGAGTGCCGATCTTTGGACCAAGCGGGAGATGGATTGATGGGGACGCATCATAGCCTCTCGAATACGAGAAGTTGCTGCAGGTCCCTAGGGGGTTCACCAATAGGATGTCGTTTCAGCTGGTCGATCAACAGCCATAGTGGTGCCATCACAGCCGCTTCGCAGTATGCATAATGAAGGCGATATTGGAGTTGACGGTGAGAAGCCCAACATCCCACGATCAATGGCTGCCCATACAGAATACAGATCACAATACAGATCAGAATGCTAGGTTGTTGTGTTGTTTGTCGCCTTTGGTTCGAATGACTTACAAAAGTAGTCAGCAATTGAGATGATCCAGATCAGCTCGTATTTCCTCTTGTTGTGGTTGAGCTACACATATATTGTCATCATGCACTGCCATAACGCCATCATCTTGGCCATTGCCTCATTGTGGGCTTCGTATTTTGAACATGCTCCAAAGCGGAAGTGAGTGGTATTATAACGCCTGGGCTAAGAGCATGACACTGATGACGAGATGCGGCTTTGTCATTTGATGTCAATTTGTTGAGTGGCTCGTCATGGCCAAGACTTTGCGTCTGACCGGCTAAAACTCCCGACATCCTGGTCAATGACGCCCAACTTGACTTCGATGTTGTCACGCGGCAAATTGATCACATAACTTAGTTTTAGTTGATAAAAAAAACAGGGGACTGTACATTGTAAAAACGCAACAGAATGATCTGGATCTCTTGCTGCCAAACCTGTCTGTTGTGCCCCCATAGTACCTCCGTGGTCTCCCGCCACACAACAAGTGGAGGACCCTTCTCCAGGTCCAGTATCCCCAATCGCTCAGGCACCGGCAAACCGGCAGATCTTGGGCACTATGGTAATCCGACCCTTTTACGACACCCTAAAGTCGTAAAGAACTTCATGGATCAGCAAGCAATTTGTCCAATAACAATTCCAAATGTATCGCAACTGCTTATAGCGTCTAGTTAAGTTGTCCGTATTTGATGTGAGGCTAGGGAGGTAGGTTCGACAAATGACTACTGGGCCTAGTATGGCGATTCTTTCGCCAAGACTTATCTACGATAGAATGAAGAGAGGAAGGCCTCCCTCGCAATTTTCCTCTTCGGTAGCTTTGCGTGTGCTGGTTTCAATCCTCGCGTACCTGGAATTGAGAAAATCGGCACCTTGTTATAGAAGGTCAAGACACCATGGACTTCACCGCTGGCCAGCCCATCTTCTAGTACTTTGCCGCCGAGCTTTATAGGGGGCCAAAGGAATAAGCTACCTATCCCAAGTACGGGCAACGCTCCTTTGCCATCATCTTTGAGTTATTCGGGGCACGTTCGTGAGGTACCGTGGGCTTACGCATCAACATCCCTGCGCAATTCCGGTAGTTGATTGTGGCTATACTAATGACCCTCTCGATCTAGAGGTTTTGCCGGACTTCCGATTCGGAAACAAAGGTATGATGATCGGCGTGGGCACTGAGATCGTCGTCAAAGGTTCGTAGCCGCCCGAGGCTTCGTATTATAAACTCGTTACGCGCAAAGACAGGAAGCCTTTCTCGAGGAAGTAAGCTACCGCTTGCAAGTCAAAAGTCCGACATGGGTAGAGATGTTATCTTACTGCTTGCATCGACTCTCATGGTTCGGGCACCTGAGCCATAGAGAGCATACAATATCAATACAATGTCAACACAACATCAACAATATTAATGAGTAATAAAAACAAGAGACCATCATCGGGATGAATTCATTAAGCTACAAGAGAGTTCTCCTTGAGTCGTGTCTAAGTTTGATTGAGAAAATACACTAGAGGTTTGAATTTGATGCTTCGTCAGTAGATAATTCATTCGCTATGGTTAAGTAAGAGTTGACTTTCAGCTCTACGATACCAATGAATACGTACGTATGGTTTTTCGGGACGCTTCGCAAACTAATTGTAACGAACAGTAGGCTTAACACATTCTGATTAACGCACCACTAGCTAATCGACGCAACTCAGGCGTGCTGACTGCAGCTTCGCCAACGCGAAACAATAATCATCATCCGCGTCTGAACTACTCATTGAAACCTACTTTGGAAGAAAATTCACGATCAAATTTGGCACTGTAGGTTGGGTTGCAATCGTAGTTACTAGCAACTTATACTTGCCATGCGATTATACTATGTAGCTTTGGTGATTCCAAACGTCACCAGCATCTGATCAATGACCGCGAGATTACTTCAGACCGAATCTTTTCAAATCGTATCCACCGCTTTCCTTGACGGCCGTGATATACGCTTCCCGGGACTGGATTTTCGAAGCCCACTCGGTCAATTTGGGGTACTTCTTAGGGTCGATGTAGCCTCTCTGAGAAGCCGTATCAATACCAAAGCTCATGTTGAAATCAGCAAGGCCAAGCTTCGCGCCCGAGAACCACGGCTTCTCATCAGTGAGAGACGCCTCCAGGAGATCAAAGAAGTCCGAGAGCTTGGTCTTGAAAAAATTAACCATGGGCCCGATGACGAGGCGCATCAGGCCCGAGAGGCCAAAAGGGAGCACCATCAGCAAAGTCTCGAAGGTCACAATTTTGTCCACACCCGGGGAGAGTGTCATGGTGGCAAACCCCTGGAAATACATGTCGCGTCTCTGATCCTCCTTGGACTCTGGCTCCCAGATCCCGTCGCCGTACGCGTCGCTGAGGAAGCCCAGGATCAGTCGCGCCTCGGTGAGAACCCCGGGCTTGAGCTGGAAGACGGGCAGGGACTCGTCACGTTTGTCTGCCCATTCTAGAACGAGGATGGGTGATTGTCCGAGAGGGAACACTTTCTTCAGCTCTTCTGGAGACTGTCCACGGGCCCGAGGGTACGTCTTGAGATGGAAGGTGGTGCCATTCGATGCCTTTAGCTCCTCGAGAGCCCATAGAACGCGGAGTGCACCGGAATGGTGGAGGTAGTGGAGTGTAGGGATGAGATCTTGGGCCATCCTGCTGGTCCTGGGAGATTCGCCGAGAAGAGAAGGATTCTTGATAACGTTCAGTGGCGTCTTAATTGAGAACAAAGCCGGTATTTGTCAGTACAATTGATGCCAATGAACATGAGAATCCTGTTGCAAGAATTATGACGACGAGTTGTGGGGATAGAACTCAAAAACTGTTGGTCGGGCAGAATCAGTTAAGGTGCACATACACGTGATCAACGTGTTATACTCACTCGAATTCAGATTAGGCAGGCAAGAATTTGGGTTAACTGAGATGGATAAGATGACCAAAGGGGTTACAGCTTGCTTCTCTTAGCTCCATATATAACGTACATTGATGATAGTGTCGCTCTTTCAATGTCGCGATCCCGGTTGCATACTAGATTGATGTTACTAATGATAACAAATAATAACAAAAACGGACTGAAAGATCATTAATAATGTTTATTAGATAGTACCCATCAGAAATCAGCCCAACATAATAAAGCCTAGAGATTCGTCTCCTGACCAAGAACTTGAGAGGACTGTTTTTGATGTATAGGATGAAGGAGAGAAACAACTTGGAATCCCGAGAATCCATGTATCAAGCGATATTCGCACAACGTCAATAACGCTTTAAGCATGCTTTAGAAGCCTTATCAGCCTCTCCCATCTCCAACGCGATGCGCAGTCTAAGTCGCTGCACCAGGCGACGCGGTGGAGCTCCTCGTCGCCGAGGATACCCCAGGATTCCGGGTCAAGCCTACATAACCAGGAACATCCAGTTAAAAAGAAATTAGGCCTTGGACGTAGGGCTGAGTAATAACTCCCATTGAAGGAGTCAATTTTGAGATAAACGGCTGAGCCATCGCGCCGCCAGCGATATACAGCTAGGCAAATATTACAACGATATTGATGTCGCAACTCATCAAGCTGTTCCGGCATGAAACGTGTTACGGGGCTTGATCTTTTCAAAGTCTTGCAGCGGCAGCAGGAGAGGCCGTCAGATGAACAGCTATGGTTGATCCAAGGGTGGTTGTCGAGGCACAAGCAACGCGCGGGATTGAAGGCTAACAACAGTTGGCCATCGCCAGCCCGGACATGTGGACATAGCATCGTGTCCAGCAGGTACGCTTTTTCCGTCAGCCGCTTATGTAGCATTTCCCGGGTCACAGGGACTGCGAGGCGATGATGGAATAGGAAGACTTGTGTTTCATTTCTCAACCTAAACCATCCGTCGCCGCCGGCGTGGGTGAACCGCACACGGGGCCTTTCGCGTCCTTGACGAGCCGTGGGAGAATTCTCCCCGCGGACGTGCCATGTAGAGTCATGTTCAGGGTGCCTACAAGTTTTTATCCCCTCTTTTTCTCCACTGGATTGGAAATTCTGATTGAACTCCCAGTCTATGGACATATGAGCACAGACCGGTGCTTTTCCTTCAACCAAAACACAGACCCGCGTTGCGCAGGAGGTGGCCCTCTGTTGCGGGGAGAAGAGGAGACGTTTGTGCGTCCTCTTACAATGAGAGCACCAAAGTGTAGTTTGCAGAGTCAGTAGAGCCTTTTCGTATCTACCGTCCTCTCTAAACCGGCGGCAAGGGCCACAGAAGCGGTCGCGGTCTAGGAGGTGGTTGACCTGCTGCCGTAGAGCAAGCCGGGCTTCAAGGGGAAGGTTCCAATTCCTTGGTTCGAATGGCGGCCAGATCTGGACATCTCTCCAGTAACTTGACTGGTTAGATATTTGGGAAAACAGCGCTTGATCGAACATAATTCTCAGCAATAGACCGCACGTACGCATGGCCATGGCCTGTGATACGTAGTCCAGGTGGTTCAAAATTTCCAATAGGAGTTCTTCTGGAACTTGGTAGAATCTGCAGCTCGCAAGATTGGCCCGCCGGGCTGATATCCACGCTGGTTCGTCTACACCCATGTCCAAAGTAGGATACGATGGGGCACACCGCTTCTCGACCTTATGCGAACGCTTTCGTAGTTCAGTCGTGACTGGGACATGGTGAGGCCTGTGTTTAAAGACTTCGACCCAACGCCCAAGGAATGCTAGAAATATTGAGGCTCTAGGCATCTTAGGGTGGCAAGAATACTGGACAACGCTGTGTAGGCATTGAACGACGTTGGTTTAGAAGAGATGGCGATGCACAGGAGTAACAGGGGCTGCCCCTTTTGTCCATCATTGGAAAATTTGGCTGAAGTCCCAGGTGGCAGCTCTCGGAGGGAAAGCTTTGTTTCATATTTACTTTGGTGGCTGGTCTGTGTTTTGGGACGGCGCCGAAGTTACGATGGTGATATATGTGAATTCAAGCCTTAAGTCGGTATCTTAGATTGCCAACAATAAAAGCTTTGTATACTTACCTTAGTATAGGTCAAAAAGGTTCTACCAAAAAGACTGTGGAGGGAGATGCACTTATTAACAAAACCGTTATTGGCAAGAGCGATGTGTGTAGCCCTTGCTGTTTATCATGATTTGGTGGTGCACATGCGGTTTCCCACTCGCACCTTCCTCGTTTCCACGCTGTTCACCCTGATTGATCACTTTCTTTTCACCCTAGATGAAGTAGGAGCAATCTTCGACCTTTCACCATTTCAACGGGGGCGGCTACGAGGACAGGTGTATGTGTGTACCTTTTCTTCTACCTAGCCATTCTCTTCCAAACCTCGAAATCTTGTTCAAATCTAATTCTTCCTTTGGAGCCAGTTTCCTCTCAGGCCGGTTCGCCCACGGCACAGAGCGTTGCTCCTGCTCCCGTCTCGACTGCGTCGCCCAAACCCCAAACACCGACAACACCGGTCTCTGGCCCGACTGGCTCCGTTGCTCCAAGAACGACAAATATTAGGCCGTCCCTCGCCTTTTGAAACGCGTCTGCCTTATCCAACATTCTGTTTACCAACCCACCTACCTACCATGGCTGCCAATACCACTGACGCAGAGTCCATCTGGACTAAGTTTGCCGTCCCAGTATTCACTGCGTTGAGTTGGTCGGGCCCTGGCAGCTTCATTGTTGTTAAAGTTTATCATTCGTATTCTCCTACGCAAACGACCGGTGTCATCATTGGGATGGTTAGTGTCCTCAAAACGCTTTTCTTTGGCTACAACAGTTACAAGCTGTACGTATTGCCCAAATGCTTACAAGCCAGGCACTATTCAAGTCTGCGGGTTAGTTAACCATCTCTTCGATCGACAGAAACGATTCAAGAGGTGTGATCTCCGCTGTCGTTTCCGGCATCATCGCCGCCTCCCCCTCTCCCAACTCCCCTAGGAGTTGGAGCCTATCCAGTCCCCAGGAAGCAGGCCGGTGGTGATGCCGACGTTCAGCTCCCACCCCCACCGCCGCCTCTTACCCCTCTTCTCCCACGGGACTTGGGCCCTGTATTGGCACGCGTCCAGTCCCGAGGAAGCAGGCCGGTGCGGATGCCATCGTTCGGCTCCCACTCCCTCCGCCGCTTCTTGTCCTTCTACTACCTGGCTGGAGGTCCCCCCGGTCGATGGCCGCGTGGACTTCCCCGGCACACTTTGCGCTCCCACAGTGCTCGACGGACATGGAGAACTTCGACGACGCAAATAAGATTGTTTGCCTCTTCAACTTGACGACCAGCGTCCGCCTTGACGGCACAAAAACAGGGACTGCAGACTCACCTCGATAGAAAGGTTCTGACACTCAGTCACAATAGTGCTCCCTATTGTGCAAATTATGGGCAGATACCGCAACGCAATAACTACTCAATAATTCATTATTACTACAAATACACAAGTAGTCAAAGAAAGGGGACGTCGAAAACTACCCCGAAACCGTCGGGTCCAAATGAACGCGAAGGCAACATGGCCCCAAGCCAAGCAAATGATGTCGATGGGCGGGTCTCGTCTCCCAGGCGATTTCAGGAGACGCATGGGTAGGCATCACATGGCTGAGATGACCAAATACGTATTATCGACATCAACACAGAATCGATTAACTTCACCACACTTTAGCAGGCCTTGAGGTCGGTTACCCTGGGTACGCTATGAGGATTTCAAAAGGCTCCCTGCGTGCGTTTGAGCGCCATCACCAAGGGGAAGGAAGTTGCAGAGGTAGCGATGAGATCGTAGCCCCAGTATTCACTGAGTTGCGCACCACCGTTCACAGGAGTTAGATTGATATAATTTGAATTGCCTTCAGCATTACTAGTGTCTACGTGGACATTAGCACGAGTCAGGGACCTCATCTTTTTAGGAATAATACTAAACACAATAATAAGAAACTTAACGGTTATTATTCTATACTATTTGGCTTGATATTGTATTTATTCATAATCGATTGTATTGATATCGTGTTAATATCATGTTGAAATCCAATACTGGAGGTTCTAGGTATGTCATATTTCATGTCAGTCGCTCGTCCGTCTCAGCTATCAGTCCAAAATGGCGAGTTGGTAGAGGGGCATCGCGTAAATGCTCTGGCCCCAAGCTCCCCAACGAAATCATAATCACAACTTGGTACTTACCTATCTACTTACTTTGGGCAGGCAAGAAGAGAATCAGCAGTCTCACGTGCTTGAACATTTGGGTGACTAGATCAGTCGAGCCCCTCAGCTTTCGGACATGAAACCAAATAGAGCCAACCAGATGCCTCAACGAAAGGCAGTATAGAATGTATGCGCCATGCTTCTCATGGCAGGCAACACCTCGGCCCATCTGCTGTCGGAGTGTTTTGAGTCCTGGGTAATCGTGGTAGTCTGTTATCCTCAGTTCTAAAGCGAAGAGGACTTCCAGGCCCTTTCTTGATCCGAGGCCCCGTCAAAGAGCTGATACGATGACTAACCCATGCCACTGGAATATGTCATCTTGTTTAAGTCTCAAGTTTCCCTCACCACCTATCTGCTCGAAGAGGGCGCCAATTTTCTCCATTAGTTAGATAGAAGCCTTGCTTCGCCGTGTGGGCGGGCACTAGCTAGAAAGATGATCACACGGTTCACAACAATCAAGTTAATTAAAACAAAAGGCCGAGCAAGCCATTATATTGGATTTCATTATCTTCTTCTCCTTCTTCTTAAAGTAATGCATGGCAATTCCAGAACACCAAAACTCTTTGACCTTGCTACTTAAGTTGATTGTCTCAAAACGACTACTCAAATACCATAGCAACTACCCCACTTCAGAGAGAATGAGCCTAGGAAGGGTTTCTGTTGATCTGCTGGTAGAAGCGCGGGGGTCCTCTGATGCCCCCCCTTGAACGTTGATCAACCACACGTTGGTCAACCGGGCGGTTTCTCCAAAGCTGCCTGTAGTACCTCATCTGCTCCTTTTCAGTCATGAACGGCGGGCGCTCAGTGCTTGCCGTTTTCCAGCCCGGCTTGCTGAGCGTGAGCGGGCTGCGATCCTCGGGAGCGGTGATTGCGTTTTCTCGAGCAACCGGACTGGTCTGGTCCCGCTGCAGACGAGTCTCAGGGAGAAACGTCAGAGTGGCAACGTAAAAGTCGATGACACCCTCGAGTATCTCGTCGCGCACCCACCTGAGGCGTTCCCACCGGCTCGTGCCCCTCCAACGGCTTTCCTGTTGCTGAAAGGCATAGAGGGCCACGCCGTCCGTCCTGCGGAAGAACCACTTCTCCATCATCTGCCTAGCGATCTCATCAACCTGGTATCTCTTTCGGTCGACCGATTCGAGCTCGATGTTAAACTCGCGGACACTGGGCGGCATGACCTGGGAGACCCCCTCTAGCCAGCTCCCACTGAAGCTGAGCGGCTGATCATGCTCCCAGTCCCACCAGTCGGTGTGTCGGATGGTCAACGTCACAATGGAAGGGTTGAGCTCCGGAACGGCCAGCACCTTTGCCAGCGCGCCTTGCTCGAGCATGCACATCTGAGCAAAGACGCGAAGGTTGGAGATGAGAACCGGCTGCTGCTCCCGCTCCCTCATGCTCTGGAGGCTGAGTTCCAGTCTGGTCAGCTGTCGGGAGAATTCGTATCCTGGCGGGGCACGGTTTCTATTCGCCACGGCATAATGGACCTGCTCGTGGAGGCGGAAGGGGAGGAACCAGCACTCGCTGTAGATGGCTTTGCATGTCAGGACCAAGGCCGTTTCGGTTTTCCGGGGTGCGAAATACGAGGGGCGCGTGTAGCAGGACCACGACTCGTAGGCCTTTTTGGGATCCGGGTTTGGATAGTCGCTCAAGGCGTAGCAGAATATGTTGAACCGGACCTCTGCGGGTAGTTTCCTGAATAGGAGCGAAGACGGCTGCGGATCGATGCGCGTACTCAGTATGCGTTGGTGCACAGGGCGATATGGGTATGGGGAGACGGTGGCCATTTTGTCGGTGCTGCTTCCTGTCTAAACAAGAAGAGTGCAGAGGGGGCACAATTCATGTCGCGAAGCGGGGAGTGGGATATAAGCAGTTGTTCAGAGCGAGCGTCGGTATGGTCCAAGCAAGTAAGGCAACAATGCGTCGGTAACAAGTACAATAAGTGCAACGGTGATGTAACACGCATGCTGCAGGCTCACTCACAGAAGTTCCACTCAGGAGGTCAGTTGGCCTCACGCAGTAGCAAACGGCAATGCTTCCGACCCCTTGCTTCCTCACAGCCAGTAGTTTTCCGCCCTGCCAAGCTGAGATCTGCCCCAGGAGACCACGTAACGGCATCTCGTTGGAAGGGTCAAGGCAAATCGCACAAGCTAAATGCAGCGCCTCACGCAACGGCAAACTCTACTGTGAGCGCTTATGCGGGGTAAATTAGCTTTTGACACCCTCTTCCCGGGCTGACTGGCGAGCCGAGTCACGCCATCCTCAGTTCAATGCTGCCTTGGCGCGGACAGCTGCGCGCCGTGTTGTTGGTCGCCGAATGTGTAATTGTGCATGTGAGCAGGGGTACAAGTCGGTGATTTTTAGCGATTGACCCTCTATGGGGCGATCGGTTGGATGCGTGGCTGGGTCTTGAAGTTGGAGAAAGTCATAGCCGGTGGTACGAGACAAATTTGTGGCCGGGGACAATGCTGTTGCAATTGCGGTCGAGAGATGGATGAGAAGTCTTTCCGATCGGCGCGGGCTTTATTAGCGACTCGTCAGACACTACCGAAGGTGCAATTTTTGCCGTGCTTCTAAGCATTTGTGTCCGGAAACATAGGACTGGATCGGTCAATTCGTCAGCTGCCAACCACTCTGAGGTAGCGCCTGCGCAGCCATGGCGAGCCGGAAGGTCCAGTCTTCAAAAGGGCAGCAATTGTAGTTGGGCGACCTGCGACCATCTGCGGCCCTGTGATGCTACGCCCGTTGGGTAATGTAGACGGCACGCAGGGCGCGCCTGGGAAATTGGGGGCTGGTTATCTTCTAAGCCCTCGCATTTTTTGGCGTCGATCTCGGGCAAATCTGTCGCATGTCTTCACCGGTGCGGATGTTGGCACAATTGTCATCGGGGAACGTAGGCTCGGTGCCGATATCTTCACTTTCGTCGTGGATCTTGTGGGAGGTAGGCTCGGTATCTAGCTCTCGGCGACGTTCAGGTCCGTCTTAACTTGTCCAAGGAGGGTCTCTGTCGGGGACTTGGGGCGCGTGGGTGCCTGTGCCTTGATGACCAGTGGAGCCCCAGGAATCACAACACTCGCAATTGTGTGGGCGATCTGGTCGCCATTGTGCCGGTAATCTCTGCGTCCAAGTGTTGTGCCGTTGGAAAAAATTCAATGCAAGCAGCTAAGCTTTAGGGAAGAGAAAGAAAGCTGGATTTGATCTAAAAAATCGGAATTGGAGGATGCACAATTGGCTTCAATCTCGGCGCCACTCCACTGTTCTGGTTGAGACTTCTTGCCTCAGGTATGAGGAGTGCAGGGCAGTTGGGCAGGAACGGCGAAGAAATGGCTACTAATCTCAATTTGGGCAGAATACTCATTGCGTTGAGATGTCAGGTATTGCATCTTCCATTCTTGTTTAACTTTATACCCAAACTGTCTTTCGTATTTCAGCGGGCAGGAATCCCAGAAAGAGGTTCCTCGCCCCGACTCTGCCGCCAGTGATTAGTCGACTCTATCAGACATTCGCAGCCTTCCATAGCCCACCGCCACTTGCGTACAAACCCAGGAGTCACTTCCCAATTCGCGGCGTTGTACGGCTCTCCCCATACAATGAGGCCCTTACGTGTCGTGGTGAGCTCATCGTCTCCTTGCAGAGGACCAGATCCAAGATAATCACCAGAGTACTTCACAGATTCTGGCATGTAGTGCCTGGTAATGTCCAGAAGGTCGCCAACAAGATCCCGGGCAAATTCGCGGGGGTCAAAGCTCCCCTCCCGCTTAATCAAGTTGTCCCGCATTTCCGGGAATGGAAGCGTGTCTACCCAAGTCGGGTGCTCGGCCGTCATCTGCAACTCTGTTGGTAGGAGGGATGGCGGGAGGGCCTCGCGCGTCCTCGGCAAGATGACGGCCCGGGTTGGGTGGTCGTCCTTTTCAAATGTGACCCGGAGCTGGCTGTCGGCAAAGTACGTGACTAGACCCATGATGGCGATTTTGTTGTCGAAGATGCCGCGCAGGACATTGTACTGTATCAAACTTAATAGGAGGTCCCGTCTGGGAGAAGGCGTTGACGAGAGGGACTCGTAGGCGGAGCGTAGAGCGTGGTCGCAAGTCTCGTCACCGTCCCGTGTATTAGCTGAGACCTCTAGCCGAATCATGTGTGCGAGTTGGGTCAAGATCCTTTGGTTCTCGGAAGCGACAGGCCAGAGAGGTGGCGGGCCGGTGCTACGGCCACTGAGACGCCATCGCGTAATGTCAAACGGGCCCTGGCTGACCGTTTTGGTACCCGAGTCCTGCTCTCTTAGACGCAGTCCTACATCCATTAGCTTTGAAGACCTTAGGAAGGAATGTGGGAACCGTACTGCGTGCTCTTTGGTTGGCTCTGTTCTGCAGTCTGCGATGCTGTTTCCTATCTTCACCCTTGTCGGAGGGCGCCATGGAGTAAAGCGTCGCGCGCGTCCAAGCTCGGCCCAGCCGGAAAATTACTAATCGGCCGATGCTAGGAATTGGAACCGTCCCAGGGTCCTCGAGGAGAAATGATTTGATTTGATGTAGGTCAAAGCTGGTTGTAGAGCTGGGACGGACTTGACTGTGGGAGGGGAGAATGGCTTCGGTCGGCTCGTCGGTGATGGGAGCTGATCAATCAGACAACTCAATCAGGTTAGACACCCTCAAGAGAAGAAGCCTAACCGTATCGGGCAAGAAACTGTCATCAACCGCTGAGGCTGCCGGGGTTAGGCGATGATCCCCCAAGTCCAGCGCCCCAAGTCGACTCCAGTCAATCGACTCCAGTGGATCCAAATCGCTGTTCACCATTCTGCATATGGCAATTCCTTGTCATCACACTTCAAGAGACATCCAGACCTTCAATCTCTCTGGTACCATGGCCAGAGTATAAATACATGGCCATGACTACAAATCTACCGTCGTTTCTGGACCACTCTGAATTCTTCCAATCCTCTCCCCTTCACCCGGTGCTGAAACCAAGTCCCGATCGCCATGGCCTCTCTGCCCATCGCCAAATCTTCCAATGCGAAATTAGCCACTGCCCTCCCAAAGGAGATGGTGGCCGTTTTTGTTGGTGCCACGAGTGGAATAGGCGAGTTCGCTCTCAAAGCCTTCGCGGAGCATGCCCAGACACCTCGGATCTACTTCGTTGGTCGATCTCAAGAGGACGCAACCCGCATTATTTCCGAGTGCCAGAAGCTCAACGCCAATGGCCAGTATACCTTTATCCGGGCCGACGTGAGCCTACTCAATAAGGTCGACGAAGTGTGCCAGCAGATTTTGTCCAAGGAAACATACATCAACCTTTTGTTCCAGACACAAGGCTCCATACGCAACGATAGTACGTGACCTTGCACTCGTTCTCAGCACCTCGTTTGACGTAACCAGGCTGGCTACAGACCACCTTCTGATCCTTGGCCCCCAAAGCTAATACCGACCACAGAAACCTCCGAGGGCCTCCCCATTTCATACGTTCTCCCCGTGACATCCCGAATCCTCTTCGCGCTTAACCTCCTTCCGGCTATCCAGAGGGCAACCTCCCTTAAACGAGTCGTCTCCGTCTTCGCAGCCGGCTTTGAAGGGCCCTTCTCCGAGAGCGAGTGGACTGAGTATGCGTCAACCCACAATTTAATGAAGGCCCGAGGCCATGTTTCTTCCATGATCACAATGGCCCATAACGCCATGGCGAGACAGGCGCCAGACGTCGCTTTCATCCACGAGTATCCCGGCTCCGTAAAGACCAAGTTCGGAAGAGACGCGAGCGGCGTGCTGGGCGGCGTGCTCAAGGTCGTAAACGTGTTGTTCCACGTCGTGCCCGACCGCCTGTTCTTCCAAGCTCCCGCAGACTGTGGAGAGTATCAGCTGTACATTGCCACGAGCGCCAGACTCCCGCCTGCCAAGGGTGATGCCGCCGGGGTGGATGTTTCGGACGGCGTGTCTGTGACCAGGGGCAGCGACGGCCTGTCGGGGAGTGGCAGCTACAATATAAACTACCAGTGCGAGAGTGCTTCCGCCGATGTCGACGCCCTCCTTGCAAAGGCCAAGGCAGACGGAGCCGAGGACAGGATGTGGACGCACATTTTGGAGGAGATCAAACGCATCACTGGCAAAGCTCGGGATTGACTGAGTTAGACTGACTTTGTTTTGTTGCGGCTCTTCTTGCTTTTTATTTTTATCCAACGGCGAAACCTTGTTGTTTACTTATGAATTCCTTAAGGGAAGCACCAACGGTCAATCTAACGTAGGATTAGGACCTTGTTGATGTAGAAAGAACTTCTCATGAGTGTAGTGTTGGCAAATTATTGAAGTTAGCCCTGCGCCCACTGCGCATTCATAAATTATCACCAGTTTCTTCCAGAATTCCCTGGTCTGTATTCCATAGCCTACATTAAGCTCTTCTTTAGATCCTGTTCGTCCCAAAGTGCAAGCTGCGCCTCCCTCAGTCTGGCTTCCTCGGCGTTGATCTGATTGTCCAGCTGCATGAGGTGTTTGTCGAATTTCAGGATCTCCTCCCAGACGTCCATATATCTCCTGACAGACGCAGCCTTGTATTCTCGGCCCGCGTCGGAGTTGCGCTCCGCCTCCGTGTACTGGCCTCGCCAGACCCTGGTGAAGGCTGCTTCGCTGGCGTCCATCTGTCGATATTTTTGGTCTCTCCTCTCGCGGGTGCCTTTCTGTACCGAGCGTAGAGTCTCGAGCTGGTCTCTAATCTTCTTCAGTCGTAAGAATAGTTCGTTTATTCCATCCATGATGGTCCTGAGGGGAGGCGTTTGCTGTTGAATGGTTATATGAGTTGGAGAGGGTATGATCGACTGTATTTTGGTCGGTATGCTTAGGATTTGAGCTCTTCCTCGACTTTCCTCGGCAGTTTAAGTGGTTGTTGGTCCTAAGAGTTGAACAGGAGAAAAACACGGAGGATTTCTTCTATAAGTAAAATATAGCGATTGATTCACGTTATTCGTGTCACAAACATCTTTCGGAAAGATTGCCATAGCTGGTTCATCCCGTGTGGAGGGAAGCTCTGTATCAGAGTCGGCGTACATGTGACTTGCGGAAACGTTGAACGATTTCTTGCTGTACGTATCAAAAAGGTGAAGGGACACTATGTACTTGAACTCTTTCCACGCGACTTTTTCTTTCAGATTTCATGAAGTAACATGTTAAGAGAAACAAATTTAATCAGTAACTTGCCCATCTACAAGAGGCGGTGACTGGCCTGCGAGTATTTCTTCGTACCACAAGGCCAAGCGGTTCCGTCACAGGCTCAGGGGTTGGCGCAACAAGAGGCCGAAGACTTCACGTTGTAGAGTTCGGGTGTAATCCGCTGCCACGTCCCACATGCCACGTGGTAGAACACTTGTATGCCCGGAGACTATGCGATGCCGGGGTGATCAAGTGTCGTCCTGTTCCTGTCTTCTGAGCCTAGGTATTCCATACGACACAAGAAGAGACTTGCAACAGTGCGTCACCGGATGAAGAGTTGGCGGTCTGCGAGAGCGACCCAACAGGTTGCACACCTTGAGTAGGTGGTCATTCTACAGGCTTCGCAATTGATTTACAGGATTGCACGTTCTATTTGATTGCTTTTGTAGACGCCGCCATGTAATAATTAATATGCAATACTTGCTTTTTCTTCACCACACAAAGGTGACCGGAGGACATGATATCTCACCTGTTCCTAACTAGTTATGTACTTGTACTCAGGGTAAACCCTTTGTGGCTGAGACTCAAGAGGCGGAAATCCGAGGAAGATCGATGAGCGAAAACCTTTCAACCCGCCGTTCCAGACTTGAGAGGACAAAGCAAACTAGTAAAACCCGTGCCATGTAAAGAATTCACGCAATTCCATTGGGTCATTGATCGGTCCCGAGCGAGGAACGGGCCCATGATTCCTGTTGAGCTCCTCTCACCCTAATCATAGCCATGGATTCCCCCATTATGATTGACACTTGCCGGCAACACCCTTCTTGATCAAATGGTTGATTCGGGGTCTTTCATGGGGCGATAAATAAGGTATGGAAAAATGCAAGTGAGCGTTAGAATAATAGGGACTGTATAAATGTCTTCTCCCAACTTTCCAATACAGGCCACGGTATTGATAGAGAAAAATTAATAAAAATAACATTAATAAATCATTGACGTCCTATTAGTTAGTATTATCTACTTACTATCACATGATAAGAAACAACAATTCTTTCGAGGTGACTTTGCAGTCCCTGTTTTTTGACAGCCATTTGCCGTGACCCGAGTGCGATCATTGCCGCGCATTAACAGCATTCGATTAACCCCTGTTCCTACTCTTGCTGGTCCTTCGCCTTGGCGAGCGTGATGCATGGCATACGATTCGCCCATCTACGGTACGGAACAACTGAGTTCCTGTCTTGCCCAGTCCTCTTCTGATTTTCATTGGTCTCTCTGTTGTTGGCACGGGAAATCGAGGGATGGAATGGGCTTGGTAGGACTAGATGGGAAAATAGAACGGTTTGGTCGTAGTGAGCTAATCTAGGCTACGAGATCTGCCTGTCGTTACAATGCTAGGTACGAAAGTAATATGTATTAAGAACCGTCTTCGTTGCTCTGTGATCATTTGCACAAGTATCAACCCGACTTCTTCCCTTTCCTTCGTCTTTTCCTTGATCTTTCCTTATTCTCATTCGGCTTATCTCTCTTTTTTTGGTTTTACCTACTTTTCAATCTTGTTCTTTTGCTTTATTTCTTCATATATTTCTGCCCGTTTTCATTCTCTTTTTGGGTTATATTTCTTTATTGTCTATAATCAACTAAATAGCGAGGGCCGCGGATGTGTGAGTGTAAGTGCTCTGGCCAACGAGTTAGTGGTACTTTCTGGGTTGGTCGGTATCCGAAAAGCTTCGAGCTTGGTGTGCTCAAGTGCTTGGATTGGTTGATGTGGTTGGGTTGGTGTAAGACGAGTACAAAGGAAGCTAGGTAAAAGAGCCAGTATTAATAGTCATTCGACGAGCCGCTATCCTGACGGCAAGTAAGTCATCCGTACAAAGGTTCATAAGAATTTTCCTGCCATATAATTCCTTAGGCGGACTAGGAAAGGCTGTATTTTTAACCTTTTTATATTACCGCGTTGAGTTATTCCGGGCCCTGGTAGCTTCATTTGTATTAAAATTTATCCTCTTTCTCTTACGTGCGTCTATAAGCAAGATGCGTTTCCTGCAACTTACCTCAATGATCAGTTTTCTGTTACAGGCTCAGCAAACGATATGTGTTGGTATCTATAATTTATTGGCTTATCGATTTATCGATAAACTGCAAACCTACTTCAACGCACCTTCCGTTCGAACACATGATAGTTTGCTTTTTCCCTCCGACCTCATAATCAATTCGTTGCTTCAATAAGACCTTTGCTTTGCTTCCTATCATACAGCTGTATTCACCCTGTCAACCCACAATATGCTTCACGAACCTAATCCGTGAGGATGCTGCGGACCCTGATATCTTCTACGGCGACGGACACTATCACATGTACGTCCACGTTTTAACTTCTAAATAAGCAATCTAGGAGTTGGGCCATCCGCTGACAGTAATAATCCAGGACTTACACGTCTGGCGATCGTATCGAGACTCACCCGCGCTTCTGTCATTGAAGAGCTCCGCAGGGGGAAAACAAAGATCATCTGAACGGACAGCAACCAGGGTAGGAACGATGCCATGTGGGCTCCCAAGATCCATCGCATCGGCGGCGTGTGGTACATGTTCTACTCTAGCCGCGCCATGAACGACAAGAACAGCTCCCGGACCCGTGCCCTGCGCGGTTGCGACGGCCCCAGCCCGTTTGATTGCGACTACAGCTTCCAGGGAGACCTTGTCCCTCCTCGATGGGAGCGGGGAGGAAAGGACGGCAATGGCGCATGCGGTGGGAAGTACGGGTTGGGAATTAACGAAGCACCTTTCGTGAGTAGCTGTTTCTTTTATGAAAAGGGAGAGTGAGTTGACTGGCTCTTGAGCCCTTCTTTTGTAAACTCGACATGGCAGGGTGTCGGTAAGTCTGTCGAAGAATTTCTCAAGGCATGGGACCCGGCCGTGTGATCAAATGATCGGGCTCTTGTCCATTGGGGTTGGATGTTGAATTTACTATCGCAGACAAAAGGGTAACCCCGGACGTTAATACTTCATTAGGATAAACGGCACGAATTCCGACTCACTTCGCTCATACTTCAGTGTGCATTAACCGTCCTCTTTCCCCTTGCCATGCACAGCGAACCGTAGTGCGAACCATGACGCCGTGGGCATGATATGCAAGGCAAGCGAGTACGACCTTAGAGCCAATACGCAGTCAGCATTGTGACGCACCCCTATTAGTTGCATAGGACGGTTCACGAATCCAGATGGCCTATCACCCTGACGTGTCTCCGCCCGCACCAGTCCGGCACCCACGGTTACCATGGTCACATCGGTTGCTCAGAGTAGCACCAGAACCAGCATCAGCAGCTCCACCACAATCCAATCATCTGCTCTGATTCGTGGTGATGTGGAGGGCTTATCCCGCTCTTCCTGGATGGCCTTCGCGATAGGTTCATATGGGTGTCAGCTGATTTCGCCCGGATACATAAGGTAGCTTTACCCCTCCCGACAGACATCCGGCCGAAAGACAACACCATCGTCCTGGCTTGAGCTAGTTAAGCTCACAGGATCTTCGGCTTCCTCATCACTGCGGGATATTTCCAAGACCCGTCATCATAACCTACTTCATCTCTGTTAGCCAGCCCATCGGTATTGTCGCGGGGGTCAAGACTCTACCCCGCGCTGCGTAATAAACCTAACGAAGGCATACACTGTGTTCGTGTGGAGAACCGATCGTTCTTCACTAACACAACCGACCATACACAAAGCCCGTGACTTGTTTCAGCATCGGGCAACGAGCAATCATGGGAGCTTCCCGATACCCTCGTCGTACTAAGCTCCCGAATAACCGTCCAAGTCAGAGCCTAACTGATCCGTCCACCTCTCAACCGCCCTTTGAGCAGCCCTTGGGTGTACAACATCCTGCAGCTAACCAAGCGTTTCATGTCAACATAATCATGAGCTTCTCGGAATCAGCATTCCCCAACATAGCCACGTCTGGTGCTGGAATGGGGGGGTTCCCAGTGCTCCAGCAACCACAGCCGTCGCAATCTTTCCCTACCCCCTCCCAACCAGCATCTTTCCCTCAAGCCTCCGTCTGGCAACCGACTTCCGTGTACGCGAGAGTTGAAGAGTATCCATCGCCGAGTATAGTTGTGAATACTTCCATCGCCCCCTTGGATCTCGTCAACATTCCCGCAAACCCATACCTCATCCCCCCGAATAATTCACCAGTCACGCCCGCCTCGTCTCCAGTCGAGACCACGAGCTCAGCATCGGCATCGTCGCCAAGCACCGGCCCAAGATATTCCTGCCGGAGAGGCTGCGATAAGACATTCACGAGCCCCAAGGACGTCTCGAGGCACTACAAGTCGCGAGTCCACACCCAGCCAAAGCATCTCAAGCACTTCATCTGCCGCTGCGGGTACGCGACTCCCCGCAAGGACCACCACCGCCGACACCTCGACAAGACCGCCTGCATGTTCAGCCTGAAGTACTTCAGCTGTGTGTGCCCGCATCCTCCCCATCACCTTGACCGTGTGGCCCATCTCAACCACATCAATGGTTGTCAGGCTGGGCGCGGGCAGCAGGGCCGCCCGCCGAGAATGATGCCTCGCCGATCTCTCGATTAAAACCATGTTTTCTTTGTTCAGCTAGGCGTATATAATGAGTGACACGAATTGATGGACTTTCGATTATGTTTTGGACACACCAGATTGCACGTCTTGGATGGCAGTGGTTGAAAGCTACAATGTAGGTAGTATGTCATCCACAAGAACAGTTATTTGTTTAGTTCTTTTACGATAGTTACGGCTCCTTTGTTAAATCAATATGATTTCATTCATCCCCTAATGTTGCCGCTTCTGGTCATGAATATCCAATAAGCTCTCTAAGATGATTATACACAATAATGTAGACAAAGAATATAAATAAACAAGAGAAGAAGAAGAAGAGAAAGAAGCAAACGGATCAGTATAGAACACAATAACACACATCCAGCGCCAGTTCTTACTGCCCGCTCGGGGGAGCCATCTCAGCATCAAGCGCTCTATGGCGGTCAAGGCTGGGGTTGCCGTCCTTATCGAAGATGACCTAATGGATCATCGCGAAGCGGTCCGAGCCGCAGCTTCCCGCCGAATTTTTTTTGTCGCATGGAGGAGATTCTGTTCAAATCAATCTTGGCTAGCCTTTCCAAGATTGCGATATGCGATTTCATCTGGGGGTGGGGGAATATGTACCTAGACTTGCTTTCCGTCGGGCGAGGGGAAGAACGCATTATGACCGATGCCGTAGTTCCTGCCGGTAGCAGATATAATAGGTCCTGGCTTATCCTAGGAGGAGTTCTGAAGAGGATTACTCCTATTATATTGGAGGAGACTGAGAGAATATATAGGGTCCTTATGATACGAGGTAGAAAAGGGAATCCAGATATTTTTGCCGCAGTAGAGTAGCTGTTCACAGGAAGTTAGTATATATCTATCTCTCAGGTAAGGTGTGCAACTTTTGCCGATGAGTTTGTCGGTAACGAATGGATTCCCTCCTATATAAGATAGCTTCCTCTAAGCGTTGTGCCAACCATGGCGTTTGTCTGAGCTTCGGAAATCTGTCTTCAACGTAGATGATGTCGGCAGTCTTGTCAAGTGAAGCAAGCCTCCTTGAGTCTAAACGTCTGCCTTTTGGTCCATCTCGGCGAATCAGCATACCAAGAGAGAATAGGTTGCTGATGGATGAATGCAGGCCCATTAACAACTCGTCAAGTGGTGAGCCTTGTTCCGGAAATACATCCTGGTATGCAACATCGGAATTCGGATCTAACGCATTCGGGAGTTTCCTTGTGATGATCTCGTTCACTGAGCGTTATCTGCGTTAGACCGTACTACGAGAGAAGCTATAAAAGTCATGTTAATATACCACGCTGAGCAACATCTCCCAAACGCTCCAGTCCAGTGATGATACCGGCTTTCATTTATGGAATACTCCAGAGGCTACCGATCGGCTCCTCGTTCGATTGAATGAACGAATTGACCAAGCTCTAATATTTATATATTACTTCAAGCTCTTTGAAACGCGACGGGAGTGGTGCGAGCACGAAACAAGGTTTCACTGACGACATTTCTGTTGTCACTTTTGCTCAACTCCGAACCATACCATGTACGGCACAAAATCCGAGATGGTTGACCACATCAATTTGAAACATGTTGCAAACATAACGGAATTACAGATTCCTCTACTTCTCCAAGCATGCGAACAGAGGAATCACACATTGGTCACCTCATCTTGTCCTTTCTGCCCGGATTGGAAAGCAGATTCAAATGGTAAGACAAAGAAAGCATATTACCATCATAATTCTAGACACCTGCAGCCCTTGGCCTTGACCTCAATTCCCCTCGTTATCGATGGACTCGAGATTTTAAACGAGCAGGAAACAACAGAAAGTGAGGGTTTGAGATTTGAGGAATGGGTCGCTGCAAAAATCCATGACTCTTCCGAAATGGCCAACGTAATGAATTTCGTCATGAAGCCCTTTCAGGAGATTCAGGCGAAACCCCAGATACTGATCAGCAACCTCAAAAGGAGCAATATTGGAGCCCGCAGCATCGACGCACTGCATCGAGCGGACTTAGCACTCGAAACAGAGGGGCGAGTGGCTTTGCATCATTCAACCACTCTGTGTGAATCTGCTTCATGGGCTTGGACCCAGCTTCGTCCTCAAACTAAAACGAATCAACAGCGATTGGATTAATATAAATTACTTGAGATAGAAGATATAGCCACTCATCGTGCGGTAATGCACAGAATTATCTGGGACTTTGACTATATTCATTCCGGTCCTTCCGGTGTCGATACCTTCATCACCTTGCAGAAGCGCTCTAACAATGCCCTGCTTGAAATTATGAGCGCTTTGCAAAACATTCATGCGAAATTCGAAGAAGAGAAATTTGATTCGCAAAAGTCGTAAATTACTGAAAGTTGTTTCAACAGCGACTCGGGCGGATCGTATATTCACCATGTTGCTCTTCTTGACGGCTCCATGCTATGTGTTCACGTTTCCCACAGTGGAGAAATCCACATATCTCACCAAACACCAAGCAGGAGGGGTTTTCAAGGATATGACGTGGGAGTTTGAAAAGATTGATGCCATACAAAGATCCATTAGAGTTCCAACTACCGAGTTCAGCTTTGCACTAGTTCTCCTTCATCACAAAATGGGTCTCGGCTTTTTATTCCTACAGTGGGGGTCGTTTCCCTCGTCTTCTACGTTTTGCACCGGACGACATGGGCCACATATTGGGATCGAAACAAAGGGAGTACTTCCAACAATGGATGACAATAGACAATTGAGACTTTAGCTTGAAGTCTAAGGCTTTATCTACTGTAACTTGCGTATGATCAATACGCCTTGCTCCAAATAGTTACAATGAGAAAGATGGATAGCGTTTTAGGTTTCGCAGCTTGCCGCATTCCGTTCACGAGCTGTTCAGTGGGAATATAGTCAGTTGTGAGAAAGCCCCTCAAAATAATCTGCGTCAGGGTCTCTTCAAAAGCGGGCCGCGGACAATGTAGATCATGACGACAAAGACCCTCAAACTTCGTATTTACACCGCCTACAAGTCTTGTGAACAGCCACTGCTCCGATCCGGATCTCACTTCTTCTCCACAAGTCTGACGGCAGACACGTCAGCCCCCGCTGATCTACACCAGCTCGGCTTGACGGATATTGATCCACGACGCCTGCATGTTCTGAAAGGCCGTCACATCCACCGAATCATACGAAGGCACTTCACATGACTATCCTAAGGATCCAAATACGAGACTTAGTTCATGATAGATCCCGACTTTGCCGTGACTGTTCTTTTGCTGTACTGGTCTTGATATATCAACCCACATCTCTCCAGGGAACAACGACTACTTAATCACCACCACCAGCTGTTATACAATCTGCTCTATTCTCTACAGTCACTTTAATTCAAGATTCTCTATAAATAAACAAACATAGACTTCAAAATGCGTTTCGCTACGATCGCCGCCTCTGTCTCCGTCCTCGTCGCCGGCACCCAGGCCACAGGACCCAATGCGCGCAACGATCCTCACATCTCTGACTTTCGCCTCTGGGGCTCACCCACATGTAGCGGAACGCAAAACTATGGCATCTGGACAATTCTTCAATCTGACACCAACAAATGCACAAGCCTGCACCAATATGACCCAACCGGCCCTTCTTTCATCGGCGTCGGCCTGGGTGACATCTCGGACAACTTCAAGCGTAAGTCCTGACATTGATTTGTTCAGAACTGATGTCACGTAATTATGATTAACAATGCTGTAGTCTTCCTTTTCGTTGAAGAGGACTGCTATGGAGAAGCGATCGAGGCCACCCTTGGAGGGTGTGATGCCGCGAAAACAGAATGGAAGTCTTTCATTGTCAGGCAGTAGGTGGTATGCTCGGAAGTGAGAGATCTATATGATTGGTGTTTCTATTTTAGCGTACCTAGTATCGTTTAATCTTAATTTAACAACCTGAATATGCTTTGAAACTGGGCTGCGTCAGATTGTGCCTGCTGGTAATAGTGTATGCATTCCGCTTCTTACGAAGCCGCAACGTTTGCTGCAATCCGTACTCAAAATTTACAACACATGGTTGTATATATTTATCATCTCAGAACTGGTCTATCGGATTCCTATGGTGATGCTGATTATGCACTCGATGCATTCATAGAAGTCAGGGGCATGACAAAATAACCTGGCCCACGTAAATTATGGGCGTACCACCAAACATCAGTATACGGAGAGCCTGTCCTTTCAGATACAATTTCTACAATAGTTTAATATTAAGATCATGAGATACAAACAATAAATTACATCTACGCCTCGCAACAGCTATGGACTGCACTGTCTCATCATTAACGGCACCTCCAAATGAGTGAGCCGTGACCAAAGCTGAGAACCACCACATCAATGCCCACAGCTCATTTCGGATTACTGTTGTCTATTGTAAGCCTCAGTCCAGGATTGTTCTAGAAATGGGATAGTTTTTATTCCACTAGATGTGGTAAATAAACTAACTAGGCAACGCCTGCTAATTCTCAAAGAGTAGCCATCCTATGATTTTAGTTGCCATTCTGGAGTTAAAACCCTCAGCACAAATCTTTGGCACCCTTATTAATACTCTTCACCAAGACAGTTCTGCGCCTTTCGCGCCCAGGGTTGCGAAATAAAGGTTAGTGGCGCCCATGATGATCATACGCCCGTCACCCGCAAACTGGAAGTTGGCAGCTGTCCTTCCAGTGAAGATCTTGCCAAGAAGCACGCCAGATGGGTTCCACACATTGACGCCATCGCCGCATCCCGCATAGACGTTGCCCTTATCATCACAATGGATTCCTAAAAGAGGTTCAGAATCAGTGTCAGCACTGGTACGAGAGATTCGACCTGGAGGGTAACCGAATATTTTGGTTGGGTGGCAGTTTGTGCGGATCACTTACCGTCCGCGATCCTAACAGTTACGTGGGCAAACAACTTTCGGTTCTCGAATGTGCCATCTGGGGCAACCGTAAAACGGTAACTATACCGGTTGCGGGAATTATCAGCTGATTTTGTTCCATTCTTAGGGCAGACTGTCTTCTGACTTACATTCCAGCAGGCCGCGATTGGAAATAGCCCTGGAAGGCCATTGAAGCGCCCGTCTCTGTAATATACGCATATCTTCCATCTGGTGAAAAGGTGATACCTATATTGATAGTTAGAAAGGCTAATAGGTTCTATTGTGTCGCTAGAGATCTCACCATTGGGGTTGATTTGGTCATCAGCAACAGCTGTCAGAGCTTTTGTTATCGCATTGAGTCTATAGGCTTGGTTCGGCAGCACAGGCTCAGGTCGGAAGTCTTGGAGGTAACCATACGTCACATCGGTGAAATATATGTCTCCATTAGCGGGGTTGACGGCAACATCGTTAACAGAGTTGAACTGGCGACCGTAGTAATTGTTGACAATTTGGGTAGTATTGTACGGCGCAACAGGGTTGGCTAAATAAAGTGCTGGTGGCACTCGGGATCCTTGGCCTTCACCAGCGAAAATGAAGTTTCCTTGATAGTTTGTTCCGCCTACATGAAGAAAGCACTAGTTAGAACGGCTCATCATATGAATGTAAAGTTAATGGAAGACGGGGACGAAACAAGAGGAAAACTTCTTCCGTTTAGCTTACCATTGGGGTTGATCACCGGCGGATCAAAAGGGACCACCTCCACCTTGACCTGGCCAGTTGCATCGCGGAGGTGGGATACCGACACGGCCTCGGGGACGGAAACCTTCTGGATAACACTAGAGCGGTTCAACCCTGTGCCTGCTGCCTTTGCCCCGGCGTTCTGGCAGAAAAACACCTCATCCGTGGGGGGGTGCCAGACAGGGGCCTCGTGAAACATGGGGTTGGTGCCCGAGTCGGCAATCTTGGTCAGAGTGGGATTCAATCCGATGATGTCGAGGAAGTCTTGATGGTGGACATGGAATGGTTTTTCCAGGAGACTCTCCAAGGTGGTTCCCGGCGGGATGAAGAGCTATAGAATCCTGTTAGCAACACGCTGTAATGCTGAATTACCGAATAGGATAGAATGTGAGGATAGGGTGACTTGCAGCAGTGGCATTGGCGATATCAGGTGGCTGAACAAACGGCAAAACGACAGTAGACGCGGGCAGCATCCATTGTGCCTGCGCGGGGAGAGAAATTGAACTCAGATCCATGTTGGAATTGGTGTCTGTCGACGATGATAGAAGAGAGAACGGGTTCAGGGCTTTAAGGCCGCCGGAGTAGTAGAGGAACGCGCACTGGACAACAAACGCAGTGACCAGGGAGGTAGCGACCATGACAAGGAAGGTGTTAGCAGTGCGAGCTTGTAATGACGCCATGTCTCCGGCTAGCTCGCACGACGAGAGTGAGACTAGAGCTGGGCTGGAGCTTCAATGCAACGTTGGGGATGGTGATCTGGAGGCTGCTCGCGGGGATGCAAGAAGTGAAGAGGTGAATTATTCGGCGGAGGAGCTCTTGGCAGCACCTTCCCCACCAATCTTCAGGGTCGGCCAACCTCCGACTGTGGGGCCAGAGCCAGAATGACGGAGATGGATAAATATCCAGCTTCGTTCGCTCTATGATTACCCCGCCGCCGACGGTCCACACTGTCCCAACCAAGTCATTGAGCCGGCACTTAGCTTCATGCAATGCAATGTCAGTCCTTTATGAGTGCCGAACAAGGACTCTTTGCGGGGTTGTTGGAACCTACTCAGAAGTGGACAAGGGAGAGGAAGCTAAAGATGTTTTGCTGGGGACCAATCAGAGAGGTAGGGTGTCAAGCATCCTTCTACAATGGCCTACATGTCACAGGAAACTTGCCAAAGAAACTACTGCCAAATAAGATACCGACAGAAGATACATTACTGATGAAGCCAACCTTGGAGAACATACGCCCTAAACTACAATTATGCACCGATGATCCAGAAAAGCGGTTTTGCTTTTAATGAGTTTAAAGACCACTTAGAAGCCCTTACTATGAAACTCCATGGATCTAATGTTTGCAAAGGTGAGAACCAGGGCAGAGAGATGGCAAAGTGTTCTACGAACTATCGGTTTCTGCGCCTTAAGAGCCCACACTAAGCCCATTCAAATATTCCGGAAGTTCATGTTTATCCAGGACTATGGATGATCAAAAGGAAAAATACTTCAAACAGCATAATCTAGAGAGGAGGCGATGCTTTTTATCAAAGCGCAGAAAAAATGTCCAAGTGCTAGAACCAGAGTTGGGGTCGTGGCAGATCTACAATTCCACCAAAGAACGATAACAGCTTGGAAAATTATTCAGTTAATTAGGAATTATATATCTATTTTTTTTCTCTTTTTCTCTCACATATATGCTTTCAATTGGTCTCACTTGCTTCAATTCGTTGGAGAGATATAGGGTAGGCAAGTTCAGCTTACTCATTCCTCCTTACTGACTAAGCTCAGCATTGTCTCCACCCCTCTGGATCTTGGTGGTCAGCCATTGAAACCGTTACATAGAGGCACTTACAAAGAATGCAATACAAAAATACCACAATAGATAAATAAATTGAGCGCTGGGCACTGAAACCGTAAAAAACTGTGAGGGCTGTTCACTTGTTTGATTGGAAGCGCACTCGCCGTTTGGGATTGCGACCGGCGGACTGATTACGTCAGCATGCCCGGATACGTACCTCGAAGACGGGAACCAAAATGGTCCGTCTTTCTTCCTGGCGATAATCTGACTCTCCTTCCAACACCACTTCGAATCATGCAGAACCAACCCAAAGTCCCGCCCGATTTGGTCCACCGTTGTCGCTTTGTTGCACCGAGTTCCTCGTGTTTGACGAAGGGCCAAGTCATGGCAACAAAGTCCCAATTGTAGAGTGATACCGCGACGGCACCCACTCTTCGGCTCGGCCTCGCCCAATGGCACATGCAGAATCCAGCCCCATGCATGACAGATCAGCAGACAGCATGCATGGGACAATCCTTTGTTGTTCTTCTGAGATATTTTCCCGCGTTGGACCACCACCGCCAAAATAGCTCCAAGATCCTCAAGCCGGCAAGATGCCTGGAGTTCCAAAACCGTACTGCCAACCTTGTAAGCACAAGCGAGTAAGGGTAAGTGTGCCACTGGGCCTCCATCGTAAAAACCCGCGTTAACTTGGCCGGATAAAAAGTGCGACCAGGCCTGGCCCACCTGCTCGGCCTGCTCGCGAGCCAACATCATGTGCCCGGGCCCGTCATTCGCCCTCAAGTTCGTAGCGCATAACGTCAGGCAGGCGGCCTCGACCAAGCCTCGAGACATGGCCTCTGGCTCCAACGACAACAACCACGTCCCCCGCGATCGAGCACGGGTATCCGCCGCTAGCGGAGCGAACGGGCGGGTACTGGTTGCACGGCCCCGTGCCGCCAGGGGAGTCGTCCCGGTTGGTGGACGGGGCTCATCCCTTCGCTCGTTTCGACTTGTCGTCAGTCCACAGGCCAGCCTGCTGTCCGTCTCCGACCAGGTCGCGTCTCGGCTGGTCGCGACCATAGAGGGGCCCGGGGCAATCAGGACCACGGCCATGATCTGCCTCCCGTCGATCCCAGTACGGCTGTCCCAGAGCGAATGTCTGCTCGATAGCGCGAATTACTGGTGCTCCTCTTGGTCGGATTGCAAGCAAGGCTTGAGGTCACCGAGTGTCGACACAATGAATACGTACGGAAAGGCGCTCCAAAGCCTCCAGCTTGCTCTCAACGGGCCGCGAGCCCTTAGCCCAGAGACCTTGGCTGCCGCTACCATGATCCACCAAACCGGAGAGGCTTTCTTTCTCAACATGGGCTGGTCTGCGTGGAAGGTACACTCAGATGGGGTGGCCCAGCTGCTGATCCGCAAAGGGCTGCCCAACTTGGGAGACAAACTGGACGTCACGGCCACATTGACAAATCAGGTGCTCATGGTATGTCGTTGAGTGTCCCTGGCCTACCCTGCCTGTCCTAGCTAACACCATCCCCGCTCCTTAGGCAGGATACGAACTTCAATTTCCCGATGAAAGACCTTTCAGCAGTGCGCCGTGGAAAGAAGCCTTGGAACAGATGCGGCGTATTAGTTTGGCTGATGAAGGCTTAGGCCAAGACGGGCTATGGGTTCCGATGACTGAACTCCTCGAACATTGCTTCTACAAAAGAGTGGAGTGGGCAACAGTCATCAAGTCAGCCCATACTGATCCCATCCCGTACACTGAGAGATCGAAAGAAATCTCTACCGACATGTGGCAGGCCTTGGACGAGCTTGAGGCCGGACTGCCGGAATACTGGGCTTACATTCGAAAGAATGTGGGAGATTTCGGAGAAGTGGCTGATCCTGACTTCTTCGTGGGGAAGAAATACTGGGTGGCGCCTGGTCCGAAGAGCCGCGTGGTGGCAGAGTACATCTTCAACATCTTTTACATGCAACTCATGGTGTCCCGCATGCTCTACGATCTCGGTGTTCTGTACGGCGAATCTTGGCTTGACGCCATCATATCGAAGCACCGGGAACTAAGTGCTCAAGCATGGATGCTCATCCCGCATATGATGCAGATAAACCCTTTCGAACTACAAGAATTCATGCCCATATTCTACTTATCATTCGAAGGGGCCGATGAGATAGAGCAGAAGAATATTCTCGACGCGGCGGAGCACATTGACAAGCCCATGCGCCGATTCGGCCAGAACCGGGATGAGCTGCAGTGCGGTTTACTCTCCAACGCAAAGTTTATGACGGGCAAGCCATGAAAGACTGGGCTTGATATCGCAGCGTTTCATTATGTATCAAAAGCGTTTTGCACTGGATTTCATAAGATACAGCTTCACAGCGGGACCTCATTTCAGAACCAAATACAACACAGGGGGGCTTCACCCCAAAACGGTCTCAAGCAGTACCAAGAGCGATCATCCCATCTTCTCGGTGTTCAGTTCAGAGGCCCCATCTATTCAGTGTCCAGTTCAGAGGCATCCCTTGCTCAATATTTGGAGCGCCCCTCTAGTTTGTTGACAATTTCCTTAGCCAATAACCGCCCAGTCTGCTCGCTTGGATGCAATTCATCCCACCACATGTAGCTATCCCTCTCTTCCCAAGTACAATCTCCCCTATTTCAATGGATTAGTTACTACCTCTGACATGAGACAAGGCATGGGAAAATCCTACACTCCGCAGTAACGCCAATCAGTCGCATTGGGGCACTGATGGCAATGGCCTGTCACGTTGGCCGGCGCAGTCCCGTTGAAGTATTGATCCGGATTGAGATATATCTCTTCGAAGAACTTGTACGTGTCGAAATATTCTATCCGCGCGTCCCTCTTTTGAGAAAACCTCCCGACTCCCACCTGCAAGAGGGCATTCAGCGCGTTGGCGTATTGAAACATCTAAACAACCATCAGAATACACAGCCATCGAGCGATATACTTCCGCCAGACTTGCCTGTCTGTGCCATGAAGCTCCGTCATGCGGCTCCGGCCAGTAAATTACGGGATCATCGACGGCCGAGTATAGCTTCGTCAAATGCAGAGGAATCGTCGACAAGAGGAGGAAGTTCCGCACTCCGTAGTCATAGAGCTCCTGGAGAGAGCTAAGCTGGCAATCCGCTAGATCCAGCATCGTCGTGGCATTGTCGTTTCCGGGGGCGATTGGCGGGACTGCCGGGGTGAGCGGAGGAATGTTGGGCCAGTATGTTCTGCCTTCGGAGGCGTTGGGTGCCAGCAGCGAGTGCAGTCCGAGGTCATTCGTGCCTATCCAGAGTATCGCGAGTGTGTTTGCGCCAGGGATGTCCAGCTTTGGTGGGACATGTCCAGTTCCGTTAGAAAGTACATGGTCCTCTGCGAACCAGGCGAGCTGGCCGCCCGACACGGCGGGGACGTTGAAGCCTGGCGTGAGGTCGTTGCTGCATACTGCGCCCCCGACTGCGTAGTTTTCATAGGGCAGATCGCTGTAGAACTATACAAATGGTCAATAGCTAGCTCAACACAAGCTGAATCATGATTCTTCTAGAGTACACACTCCAAAATATCTAGGGGACTTTCTTATCAACAACAACTCTCGCATTGGTACAATTAGGCTACGGCACTTACCGAGGCCAAGAGACTCGGCCCTCTGCCGCAGGGTCATCAGGAGGGTAGATGGTCTTGTAGTATTTTCCGGGGTACGTGCCGTTGCTGATCGAATGTGCTCTGGACTGGTCCGTGAAGGAGTCTCCGAAGAATACCACATGTTTTAGATTATTCCGCCACGAACCTGATCCATGGACCGCAGGCCATAGCGCGGCTGTGGTAGCCAGATATACCAGTTCTGTTCGCATGGTGTTAATCCAATCCCAAAGAAATCGCTTTGTCACTCGCCTCTCGAAGCCGCAGGCTCACCCTTACGATCGATCCCAAAAGACTTCGATGCCAAGAAGAGAGAGCAGAATATAAGTACTCCCATGATGATACTAGATCTATTATTCTAAAGTATGACTGGCATCAACGGCAGGTCGTTGCGTCGAGCGACGGAAAAACTAGTACAAGCTCAGCCCTTTTCCCGATCAGCCTAAATGTACTACCATCAACATAAGTCAGATACTGGCCACGGAACAGCGCATTACCGGATAATATTCACAAAAAGGGCAATATATGGGCTCTTCCGGCATCTCACATCCATGAAACTACATCACTTCACAAAGGGAGCGAGGCGAAGCAGTGGGCGCGATATGTATCTGTCACGATGCATTATGAGCTCACCGACCCGAGATCAAGCTGAGAAGATGTAAAATTCCATGTTAAATCTGTCAAAGTAAATCCTCCTTCAACTTGGACCTGTCAAGTATATCGGTCCAGCGTCCTCGAATTGAATCTTGTCAAAGTCCTGCTCATCGCACTTGAGCACGACCCATATGCCAACACCGCCCCGGACGGCCTTCTCCGCAGCAAGGGTCGGAAGACCGTGATCCAGCACCCTGTCCGGGGCCAAGTTCGGAACATTGAAGTCGGGCATCGCGACGCCAACCTCCAAGGGAAACGTCGCCACGGAGACGGGCGCCTCGTACGATCTTGCCCCAGCGGCCAGCTTCTGATTGTGTGTGGTATGCAGCTGCAACAAAAGAGCGATAGTTAGTGAGGGGGGAGACTTCAATTGATATGGTGGCCAGGTTTAGACATACCTCAATTCCCCTGTGTCCCCCATAGTTGTATACTGCCAGGCGGGATAGACGCTCGTTGCGGGCGGTGTCCAGGTGCAGCACGGAACAATGTCCACCTTTTGTGCCGTAGGTGTGGACACTGCCATCCACGTACTGAAACTCAATGCCAACCAGCCGTTTCTCCCAGCTGACCGTCAGCTGTACCTGCTGGACAGGTATCTGCATTCCGCGGCTGTCGGTTTTGTGGAGGAAGAGTAGCCCCCGCGTATGGTAGTAAGTCATCCGCCTTTGGTCTTCACATTTGCTGAACTCAGGACCGTTAAAAAAGTGGTAGATGCGAGTATTACCCTCAGCTGCATGACGGGGTAGAACAGTCTCCCTGCTATATGTCAAGCAAAGATGGCCGTCTCCAAGTGCAGGCGCGGGCCGGAGACTGATATTCATCTCATCCCTGGATGTGCCGAATATCCAGGTTATGTTCCGCTACTCGTTCAACGTGTTAGATTCAAAGTATTAGACACAGAAGTAATCATATGGGGAGAATCACCAAGCGTTCGTAAGGTGTGCAAGAGTAGCGCACATGCGGATCCAGTAGTCGTCTCCTCGTATCTGGTCGCACTTCGAGGCATCGCCCAAGAGACGTGACGAGTCGGATACAGGTGATCGTGGCAAAGCTGTCTCTTTGGCAGTCGCTGTACCTGCTCGCATGCACCCAGTAGGAGAATTCAACAACCCGTTCAGTCTCCTCGAGGTCAAAAGAGGCCGCCTCCTGGATCCACTGTCCCACTACTGTGCTCTGCCCACCGTGGTGGTAGTCGAGCAGGATCCCAGTGACATTGGCATCGGTGCGTGAGCGACCTCCAGCACCCTTCGAGACGCGAACACGCCGAATGTTCTCTAGAGAAGCGATGGTAAAGCAGGAGCCCTCTTCCCGAAGCATCCATCCAACATCAGTAGCGGTGCGCGTAAGAGAAGGTGGGCTTACGCGCTGAACAGGCACGCCATCTTGCTGTTCACGTTGCTCAACGTGAAACTCTTCTGCTTTTAGATCTTCAAAAGCCCAAATAGGAGACTGCGCTCATCCGTTAGGGGGGATCAACTCAGCTCAGCATGGATGTAGACCGCACTCACAGATACTCGACCAACTAGTGCTACTATTCGGCGCTCTTTAGAATGGACTCGGGGACCGACTTGTCGTTCAAATGGGTACTTGGAAGTCAACGCTCCGAAAGTATGCCGTCGACCAAAATTCGTGGTGATCTAGCACAGAACAACCAAAGTTAGAGACCCTGGTAGGATGTGCTCAAAGCGTCATCTTACCTGAATACTCTCAACCATGCGGCGACCATGGGGTCCAGTACCCTTCCGAGAGGCATCAAATGAATCTATGCACTCCCCCGCCTCGCCATCGATCATGAAGGTCTGCTCAATGCATGGCCTCAGCTCGCCCTTGCCTCGGCGTGATTCATGTCGTCCAAACCAGCCGAAGATCGTTTCACATTGTCCATACCCCCTCAGGAGCGTTTCACGTTGCCCAAACCATAGCTCGTTGCCATCGGAGTAGGTGAACAGAAAGCCATAGAATCCCATTCTCCCATGCATCACTGCCGTCATTTTACAAAGCAAGCGTAAGCGCGACCCATCATCCCCGCCGAAGGGCAGGTATACATTGACAGAGAAGTCGTCTTCCGTTTGTGGTTCGAGTTCCAGCGGTGGAAGACGTCGTGCGGTTTCGGCATCTAGGAGTCTCGGGTTCCATGCGCTGATAGGAGCAACAAACAAGGCGTCAACGACCTGCTGCTCTACCAACTGGATAGAAACAACCTTGTACAACTAGATCCGGGGAAAAGTTAGAAGACCCCCACCAAACGTTTTCATGGAAATGGGACATTACATCAAACCCGACTACTATGCCTGCGATGCCGCTCTGGGCTGTCAGTCTTTTTATACCGACCTTGTTGGAGGAGCGATGCCCCTTTCCCACAAACTGAATGTGAGTTGAATGAGTGAAGGAGAATTTCAACCCATGGATACCCAGGGGGGAACAGTATACATCGATCGAGGAGATCGTACTTCCGGGTAACAAACGAACTGAGTACAAATTGGACGGAATGATCAAGCCGGCTTCCTGTATGACTTGTTCGCCGTCTCTGCTCGCCCGACTGGTGGTTCGTATGCCAGAAATGTATGTCGATGAGGCGAGATGGATGACAGATATCTGTACAAGGGACACATCCTGCAACGCAAAATGATGCTGCTCCCGTGCCCGAGCACCAACGTTTAGCTCGCCGTACTCGAATTGATCAGGCAATTCGGGACAGGCCATCTTCTGTCCCAGGAAGCAGGTCTCGTCAACAAGCTCTCCGGGCTGGCCCTCGCCGTGATGCGTGAGAAGGGCGTCAAGAATGATGGCAAAGTCTTCAAGACATCGCCAGATTCGTCCACGGTTACGAAGGGCGAGGCAATCTCCTTCGTTTAAGCTCTGCTTGCAGTCGAAATAATTATGGAGCCATTTTCTCTCAGTATGTGGCGACAGTAACTCGGGCAATATGAGGCCCATCTCTCGCTCAGGCCAAAATCGAGAGGCCCAGAAGGGTTCAGGGAGGCTGTTCACGTGGCACACGACTGCCAAGTGGCGAGAGCTGAGACGCGCGCTGCCTACATCCTTCGACGGCAGTAAAGTGCAGATCTCGAGAATCACTTCCAAAGGCAGTCTCGTGAAACGGTCGCTCTGTTGCGTTGCCGGCTGGATGAGGGAGTGGTCTCGGAATTCAAGTGAGGAAGTCGCTACCTCGAGGCCATGTCGCGACGGATCTGCCAACAGCAGGGCTGGCATTTGTAGAGTATCCGCGGCGTGAACTTGACGCAAATTGATGGTGCCATGGTAACGGTTCTCGGGCATCAAATCTCCGGTCTGTAGCCAGGAGACCGAATTGAGGACATGGAACAGCCAAGCTCCAACCTGCTTCCAGCCAGCCTTGTGCTCTCCGAGACCGAGTTTTGTCAAGAGCATTTGCCAGCAAAACTCGTGAAAGGGAAACGGCCGGTCGGTGGAATTATCGACAACCTTGAGGTCGTGCCGTGGCAATTCGTCCAATTCGTCGACGGGGGTTTCTTTGTAGCTACGAGCACAATCGCCGGGGGCGGCCAGGTTGGTGAAGGTGATGAAACCGAGACCAGTCAGGACCGGTTCCTCGGGGCTGCGATGGTCTTGGGGCCCGCAAACTGAGGTTTCCCGCCATCTGTTAGCCCATGATCCCGTTCAAAATGAAGTCATCGACGTAACCTACCCGAGCGAGCCAGTGTTGTCCAGTGCACGTGCGGTGCACTGGCCGCTTGACCACCAAGAACCGGCCTAAAGGGGCCTCCGCAAAGGGAGCAGAATGGATCGCCCATCGTCAAGAAACTCGCGATGCGCGCTTCCAATGGTAAGGAGAGGTTGGACCGCTGGCCAGGTTGGGAAAAGGGTCGTCTGTGTGGTGGCGTGGTGCTGATTTCCCGACGGTGGAGGGGGATGACGGGATGACGGGATGACGGGGAGAGATTCCAGACGGGCGCTTAAATTTGTGCAAAACGAGCCCGATGGCTGCCTGATTCTTGAGGGGTATCAGCCCTTGGTGGTACAAGAATTGTGCTGATATGTGCGGTGTCACATTATTCAGTGCTCGCGAATCAGAGTGAGACATGCACGAGATCAGTCACAATTGGTTCCCACGAGGTGTACCGCCTTCCAAAATACCACACCAAATCAACGCGTAGTCAGGTCACGGTGTCAAGAGAGTAACCTCGTATATAAGATTTAATCCAATACTGGGATAGTTCTTACTAAATTCTAATAAAACTAATAAATATAGTATTCATATAATATCAGTCTCACACCGTGTTCTTATTGTGGTTTTAAAGTTTAGAAAGCATTTTAATTGCTGCCATTACTGATCCCTCCACCTCCCATCCTCTCTTCATATCATGCTTGCCTACTTGTTCTTCGGGAAGACGATGGATTTCTGCAATGATCTGGCTTTAAGCACTAGGCTGCCGAAAAGCCTCGAGCTTGGGGAAACTGTTTGGATTGGTGTGAGATGAGTATAAAGTCGATTAAATACTTATTCGACGAGCGGCTTATGCTGTAGCAAGTGAATTATTGATATAAAATTTTATATAATTTTCCTTCTGTATAGCTGTAGTCTTACGCTAGGAAAGCTTTGGTTCTAAACTTTCGTATTTATTGTTTTAGAATATCAGGTCTAGCGTCTTCCATTACTGTTTAACTTTGTATATGAATTCTCTTCTGGATGTAAGAATAGTACTCTTAGTATATATACCTAGGGTTAACGAGATAGAAGTGATTTTCTACTGCTTGAGCTGCAATTAATATCCCCTCCTTCCTTGATATGCCTCCCTTCTTGAAGTCTCCGCCCAAAGGCAGCCATGATCTGCTTCTTTTTCCTTCTACATTTCCAATTTGACTGTTATGGATATAATAACAGCCGCTGCCTCAGGCTGCCTCGAGCAGGTACGTCTGACATTATCCTCCGCGATCCCGGTGAATGGCATTAACTGCTGCAGCTTTCAGCAGGTAAGTCAGATCCTATTTGCCGCGATGTTGACGGATGCGATCAATGATGTGGCTGCAAGCCGGTAAGTCAGACCTCTTAGTAGTAGTAGCTCTCTAACCTACTGTAATCTATCATACATAAGGTAGGCGTAATATTGAGCCAGAAGTACATGTTTCCGGAATTCGACAATATGTAGCCGTTGACAGCGTAAATAGCCTGTATGAAAGAAAACGCATGGACATTGAACATGGTATCGGAGCACATGCAGCCACGCGCTGCTTAGGATTTCCGAGCGATGTCTCTCCACCAGCGTTTCTATTTATTCTTTAGTCATATTCTATCTCTACTAGTTGGCCCCTTCTCTCCTTTGAGGACAAACAAAGAATATGAATAACCACCCCACCTCAGTTAGTTGATTTCTTTTTGCGTTAGCTCGGGTCATATAGCTATTGTGTCCAAATCAAATCAAGTCAACAATAGGAACTTAATATGCAGGGTAGGAAGAGCTAGACGTATTTATAGAAACCGATGAGTGATGGTTGAGGATGATCGTGCTTCTCAACGTACGATCACGCGGGAAACCGAATATTGGATTGGTCTGGCTCTTGGCTACATGAAATCAGAAGAGATAGGACATTGGCTTTCTCCACTTTTTGTGAGCAGGTAGATTTCTTTCCAAGCTCAACTTTTGTACCTCAACTTGACGTTGAACCAACACCATGTTGATAACATGGACCTGAAATCGGCTTTGCACGCTTGGCCTCCCACACTCGTTCAACGACTCAGCCTCAATCGGGCGTAAGATAAAGGTGTCCGTATTATCGACATACATTGCCATACGTCTCGCTCAGAAATCGTACGCACACCAGACATATTTGGTCAGAGAAACGAGAACAGCACGGTAGGTCACCAGATCTGGTCTCGAGCACGTGCACATTTCCCACTGATAATAATCCCTTGTAGTCTTGTCTTCCACCGTCCTTCTCCCATTCACCATCTTTGCGGCGAAAACAAACCAAAAGCAACGAGTTAGAATTTTACCGGCAACAACGAAACGCACACGCTCCAAGTGACAACGCCAGCCATCACCACAAGATGGTCGGACCGGCAAAGGAGGTCATCGACAACCTCGGCGTCGACTGCACCAACGGCGGCTCCTTTTACGTCTGCAACAGCAAGCCAGTCCAGTTTGTCGGTTGCTGCACCCTCGACCCATGCAAGACATCCGACGGCAACTGCCCCGACCAGAACCTCCGGAACACCACGTTCCAAGCGTACTCGTACAACCAGATCAAGCCCCAGAAATGCGTGAGCGACGACCCGGAGGTGCAGTGGTTCGCCTGCGCCGCATCCAAGCCGCCCTTCATGGGATGCTGCTCCGCCAACCCTTGCCAGCTTGGCGGGTGCCCGGCGGACAAGCTCCATGCCGCGAAGCTGAACGACAACCCCGAGCTTGCCAATCCGTTCCTCACAGGGGTCCCGCATGAAGATCTCTCCAAGGCCGCGACTGCTGGGATCGCTGTCGGAGTCACGTTGTTCGCAATGCTCATGATCGGGCTGACCATCTGGTGGGCGAAGCGGAAGCCCAAGAGGTTCCAGGAGCCTCTCCGGTCTGAAGGTGGCGGAAAGGTCCCAGCGGTTGGGTACAGGTCGCCCTCAGTTCGGTTTCCTCACAAGACTAATCTCGGATTCGGTATGGGCCTGAAGTCGCCCTATTCAAAGAACTCCGAGTACGACACGACGCAGCAAACTCCTACCCGACAGGACTCGCCCACCCTGTCACCACAATCGAGAGGCCTCTCGCAGTGGAGCGAACAGTCAGTGCACGGAAGCAGCGGCGGGAGTCAACCTCGCGGCTATCCGCAGTCGGATGGGCGCGTACCAAGTGCCATCTCATCGGAGCAGGGGCATTCTAGAAGAGAGAAGTGGAAGCGTCCTACACCTGTGGCGCAGGAACTGCCCCCAGAGCATCAGATCTTGGAGTTGGAAGACACTTCGAATCTTACACCGACGTGGGACAATGAAAAATTGTGAAGTGGAATACGTAGAGGGAAGGGGCACGGATTGACAAGAGGAGCCTTTTCCAAGCCCACGCGTGGAGGGGAGAAGGCGATCTTTCTGGGCGCAACAATATGTTCATGTTGTCTACAGTCAAAGCATGGAGTTTGACGGAACGCAGTAATTACACAGATGTAGCTAGGTAATAAATGTTGATTGCTCTGAACATCTGTCGCCTTGTCTCTTTTTGTCCACAAACTGCGTTGGTATTGACACCCGTCTAAGGTAAAAGGTGTAAGGTCTCTGAGCTAGACCTCAGCTGAAGGGGTCAATCACCTGCGCAGAACTGCCCAAGATCCATCAGTTGTCATTGTGCGTGTGCTGGGCACTGCCACTGCACGGGCATGTCTTGGCTGAACAAAGGTTTCTATCTCATCACAATCTCTAGACGAGGAAGCACGCCACTGTTGCTAGAAGGATTGATTCTTCTCATCTAAGATCACTTAAAAATGTGTTATTTTTTCCGTCTTGGAAATTTATTGACTTATTATTTATTAAAGTGTTAACAATGGATTATTCTTATTTCCTCCCCTGATGAGCTTCTTCGCAGAGTTTGCCTTCAAATGCTTCCCGAAATACTTTCAAGTCTTGCATTTCTGTCCACTCTACCACTTCTTGGCTGGACGAACGACAGATTGAACAAGGGGTCGATCCTCTCTCGGATTATAAATAAGTTTGGATCTGGTCCAGTACATTATGATTTGGATCCAACTTCTTTTTCACCGCGACGACACATTGACTTCGGAATCAAGTCACAGCCTTGCGAGCTTGTGACTTTGTCCGCATTTGAGGGCGAACCTAGTGCCGAGGTAGAAGCAATGCCAACTACTTCACGCCTGCAGATTCCCTCCCACATCCATGCATCTTTAGATGTTCTGTCGACTTCGGCTGCCTGGAACAGACTTGGCCTTTTTTGTTGGCATGATGCGTCATGTTGTCATAATGTTTGAGCACCATAACCGACCTGGGAGAGGCCTTATTATGTTATAGTAATGGTGAGGGCCAGAGCCTTTGAAATTATTTTTAAACAAGACACTATCTCGTTTAAAAGATCTTGTGTTCCCTCTGTCTTGAATTCAAATAACCGCGGCTTATATGAGCGCAGCCCGGTAATTTGAATCCAGAAGTCGAAATCTTTTATAATAGTAGTAAGGTTAAATGGACGGAATCGAAGGGGGAAATCCACTCTTTCTCTGGGGTCCAGAGCATTGATATTCATCCACCATGAAACCAATGATTTATGGCAGTCCCGTGAGACGATGAGCATGAACCACACTGCCAAGTTGATCGTCCAGCTGTCAGCTGTCAAAGCTTTCGAAGTTTTCAAGACAGTGGTTGCTGTATGAGATGGTGGGATTATCTTGAAGCCTTAGGGCTTTCGTCTCATTATCAGACAGTAGATTTAGCAGGAACTTGGGGTTGGAGATCGCCATTCCACACGCCAAGCTGCTGCTATAGACGGCGAATGAAGCAGTTGATGAAGATATCGCGCCGCCTGATGTCGTTTATATCTCCTAGCCAGCGCCGGACCTCGTCGTTTGACGGGCTCTTGTCGTGATAGAAATGCTAGAGCTGCTTATTGACTTTTTGAGCATCTCTTAGGTATGGATACAAAGGCGACACGAATGCCTTTATGAAGTCATACTCTAGGCTGATGTGATTGATCACTTCACCGGAGCCACTGCTTCGGGTGCTGCCACCAATCTCACATCTCCAGCCGAGATTATACTGATCCCATTCAGACATCCATCTGCGCTGTATTCTCCATGTGATTTTCACGCGCTTGCCCTTTGCAACAATCTGCACACCATGCACAAACCACGGCCGGGAGCTATGCGGTGTTGGCGTACCTTCCGCCAGCCTCAGCCACGGTGGCGTTTCTCCTCAAACAGACTTGCTTGTAAGACGGCTTGAAGGTGAACACCTTTCTGCCTGCCTTGCGTACCTGGGCGCGATGTGTCCGGTCCCGGTCTGCGGCAAGCAGGTCCAGCTGCTCCTCGCCCTCCCTCCGCCTCAACGTCCAGTCACCAATATTATCTTGGTATCCAGGCAGAGCTTATTTTGTGCTCACGGAGGACTTTGTCGTATTGATTATTCTTATTCGAGACTCATTATTGTTGTTATGAGTTGAGCCTGAGCTGGAAGGAAACATGTGGTAAGAAGCGGGATATCTAGCCAGAATTTATATCCGTACAGGAGTGGGAGGCCAACAATGCGGGTGACTTTCGGATGTGGTACTTGTGTCCACGGAGAGAGAGGCTTGACAACCTCAGCTCATGAACAAGGAACAGTGCTACATAAATTACATCAATCCTCTAAGCTTGTATGTTGCTGACCTTAGAATTTCCCATATGGGTAAGCCTGGGAGTCTCTCACAAAATACTACTGTTGATGTCCATTTCGTATCAGTCCAGAGTGACAAAGGCGATAAAAGGGGCATCATGCAAGGACAGTGTCTTGGAATAAACAAAAGAAGGCTCTTTGAGATATTTACGTAATCTAAGGGAGCCATTTCATCCCTACATACGGACTCCTTTGTCAGAGCTGATCCCCAACACCGGAAGGAACACACTCGCGCTCGTGACTGTTATTGATGGACCGTTAAGCTTGTATTGTCACTGCCACCAATATTCTTCGTTTGACCATGCGTTATTAGCGTCTGATCCAGTCCGTGTGGATACTGCATCCTATGGCTCTAGAACAAAGTTGCGATCATCATTGAAAGTAGAGGACAAAGGGGGAAAGAACGGTGAATTTTAGAGGTAGCCATCGCCAATTAGTTCGACACAACCCCTCCATGGTGGCGGTTACGACCCTCTTGAGCGAACAGCTATGGATGGAGCAACTGTAACGGTAACCAAGTGGGTGGCATTGAAATTGAGACACTCAAACAATAAGCTGCTTATTCCTAAGTCTGCGACCGATGTTATCGGATTATTGAGTCCTAATAATATAGAATACTGTATTTATTGTTCCTTTCTTATGTTTAAAATTCTCTATTTCTTGCAGAAAGTAGTCGATTAATAGCCAACTCTTCGCTTAGGTGTCTCATTTCTTATGTCACCCACTTGCCAACTCCACAACTAGCATTGTGATATCAGCCGTCGTTACAAAGTTGGAGCAAAGACAGACAGTCTATCGGATTACAAACTCCCTTCTCATCATGGGTATGCGTGGAAAGCAGGCCTTCTCCCTCTCTTGAAATATTATCGAATTTACAAACCCGTCGCCCATATCATACGAGTCATCCGAGCTGGAGTCACTGGTATCGCCTTCATCCGTCTCGTCCGAATATGTCTCGTGCGCAACGGCGGTCTCTATCAAGATAGATTCGGCCTTCGATGCCTCGTCATGGTCTGTTGGTGGGTTGTCCGCGCCGACCTTGGCTGAAATAGAAGATGCAGGTCTTTCGTCAGTCTCGCCCATATGGATCTGGCTCATCGTATTCACCAGCTGGGCCTCCTCAGACACGGTGCGCTGTTCGCATTCTCCAAGCCCCGTGAGCATGCCTTTTGCGGAAGCAGCCTCTTCACTGTGGTCGACCTCACCAGTGCCTCCCTTGGTGAGATCAACCACTGATCGAGTCTCTGGTTGAGCCTCTCTTTGTTGTAGCCATTCCGCTTTCCTGTCGTCGATCCACTTTGCGTCCTTGATATTCTTTCTCTCTTGCTCTTCGATTATTTCCGCGGCCCACCTCATGGTCGGCCTTGGGCTCTGACGTTTCTTGCCCAGTGCCCGAGCAGCACGTCTCGTTGCTTTGGGCTTCCAAATAAGCTGCAGGCTCGGAATGCATCCAATCCTCTCGTACACCGTCCTATCCGGATACTGGGCGTCCTTGACGATCGCCAAGATCAATACGAACGGGATATTGGATCCGCCAACGCCAGGAGCCACGTAAGTAATAACAGCCTCCCAACGCTTTTGGCTGTTTTGGGTCTCTGATAGGATCTCGAATTTGTCTCCATGGTCGCTGGTCGGTATCGAATCGAATTGGATGAAGCCCTTGAGCTCGTTATCTGTATCCCCTAGATCCAGTAAAGCTGTACCCTCGGCAAGATTGAAAGTGAGGGCGTCGCGAACAGACCACACCTTCATATCCAAATAACGTGAAGGCTCCAGAGAGCCGTCAAAGCACGTAGATATCGGCATGCGGCAGCCATCGGGGCCTAACACAGCAACATCTAACTCGGGGTCAGGCATGACCGGTTGATTAGGGGTCAGCCAGGGGAGCCGGGAATGTACAACCTGGCCGACACAGTTTGTCCAGGACCATGTTGGAAACTCGGCCCGTCGGCGTAGAATTTGGTGCTCTTGCGGAAGAAACTTCCAGGCGAGACTGTACCCGAAAACAGCCGAGGGCGAGGCAAACCTTGCTCTGGATAGCATTCCCGTCATGCCCAACGTGCCGGCTCTCCCGGAAGGATGGTCGTGGTCCAATACGGCAATCGTCTCGGAGAATAGAATGCCCCAGAGGCTACCGACTGGCTCCTCGGCCGATTCAGTGAAGGAATTAATCGTAGCCCTTAGGCCATTGAGAGAGTCGGAATCATACGTCAAATCCCGCTTCGAATACTGCTCAATATGTTCCCAGATCGAACAAGTCCGCTTCCCTGTCCGATTCAACACTCCGGGAGATATGATTGCGGGCGAAGTATAAATCTCGCAATGCTCGCTCTGTAGGCAGTGGAACGAAACTTGATGAGACGTAAAAATAAGCTGGCGGTTTGAAAAGAATTCTTCTTGATATCTATTCGGAAATCAGTCTCTACCTCTGCAAACTTCTTATCCTCCGGAACTCAAAGTGATTGATACGTACGTCCAAGCCCGGGATTTCCACTTGCAGCTCAAGATCCCTGGGAACGACTCCACAGAAGATACCAAAAGGCGACCGTTGATAGTAGCTTCTGCTTGCGGCTCACGCTCTCTTGACGAAACACCAGGTAAGCCAAACGACGAGTCTGACCCTGCAGCCGCAACGATCGTCAATGACGCTCCTTGATAGATCGAATGCATATTCACAAGGTGGTCTCTCAGAGACTTGGAGTCGCTCTGCTGGATACAGAACCTAAAGAAGGATTAATCATGGGACGTTGGTTTGTTCAGGGAGCTTTTACCTGTCAACCCAGAGATAGCGGTATCCCAACTCTCTTACAGTTTCCATAGCGTCCTCTATGACCAAAGGAACCTGGTTAATTTGAAGTTCCTCCCCGAGCTCTGGGACCTCCATGTGAGTATTCTTTTCGGGCGCTCCCCAGACATAACTTAACGCCGCATACTCGGCTCCTTGGGGTGCAGGAACTAGCCGCCTCGTATGGCAGTCTATGAGGCGGAAGCCGCGGATCTGGAGTTGAGGCACCGGAGATGAGCATCCATTGTGGTGGTCGTGGCAATCTCTCAGATAGGAGCGCAGGAGATCCCAATCCAATGAAGAGGCAGACAATGATCGAGCTGGGGCCATAGCTTCAGCCAAGTCAAATGCCGGGTAGATGCTGCCGTAATAGGCAATAAATCCAGAGTCGGAGTTATCAGCCTTGAGAACCTTGAGAGCGACAAACTCACCTGGAGCCAATTTGGGTCCATCCAGTGATAGGGGGCCAAGTTGGGGCTCCAGCTTGGAGAATTTTGCCTCTTGTTGTACTGGGTTAGTGACCAAGTATGTGTCCTTGTATTTGGCCATTTTCCCATGGCCCATGCTGTCTCTTTGTGTCTCTGGTTTGACAATCTCTGCTACCAACTGGTAACAGCCTGGCTCGGGCACTCCACGTTCTCGAGATGGTGTGCAAAACCCGCATGTTTCGTGAAAAGATGCCAGTTCCGGGTTACCGAACGGGCTGTATATTGCTCCAGCTACCAAGCGACATAGAGGACATGGGCTTCTCAGCTGGTCTCTAGGTACCGGGCCAAGATCCATAATCTTGTGTGGCATCTTATAGCCACCCCTAAAGATTGTGTCCAAATCGATGTCTGCGCATTGATGGCAGGGAACATTTTCGATGCCGGTGTCACTCGTATCCTCCATGATTTGCTTGATTTGATCATTTAGGATGAAGTGCGAAGATGTTGGGCTTCAAAAATTGCCGAAATAACTGAGGGATTTAAGAAGAGGGGTATGCGCTTTCCTTGTATGTGTGAGTAAAGGAAGGAAGGAAGCTGGGCCAACGTGAATAGCAGTATAAAGCTACTTTTGAGGGGCGAAATGCGATATGAATAATCAAACGCTAAGAAATGGACAGCTTGATGCTATACCTATGCCCCGAAAGCTTACTCGAAGATGTACGCATAGACCTTGACTTCGCAGATTACCTCATGACCCCGTGACTCAGTCACCGAAAGCTCATAAAGTTTACGGGTGTCTATAAAGACAGCAATCAGGATGCAATGGTGACATGGTTGGTGACATGATCTGGATGGCATTGTCGTCCTTTCCGCAGACTTCGCTTACAAGTGGCGACTCCTACCAGAGGTCGAAGGTATTCACAGAGAGAAGGTTGGAGGCTGTGTAATAAGTTACTCAATGAAATTGTTGTCAGTCTGTGAGATATTCTCGACAAGAAGGAAATAAAAACAAAAACAATGTCATAACATCACAAGGTGTGAGCTCAATCTGTGACCCAAGTGTCCCTTTCCCAAATGCCCAAGTATCCTGTCCATAGTATCCTGTCCAAAACTTCCATATGTCCCATCCCAAATTTTCCTTTATCCTATCCCAAATTTTCCATCATCCCATCCCAAATTCCCAGTCATTCAATCGTAATTTCCATTTATCCCATCCTAAAATCAAGTGCCCTTATCCTAAAAATCCCAAACAGTTCGTTCTGTACCGACCTTCTATCCTGTCTAGCAGGCTACCCGGTGTTAATCAATCATCAATTCGTTATGGAAACAGCCCAGCTTGAGCTGTTAAACACTGCTCAATCATTCGCATCCCTCGAAGGCGGCCGGGTCTCGACCCAGAGCCCATTCAGCCAACGCTTCGGGATATTCGCGTGCCTTTGTAGTATACTCAGTCATCCAGCACCACTCCATCTCCAGCAAATCAAAAGCGTAAAACCAGGTGTTGAACCAGAAATCGTGGAAAAGCTCCCTGACGGCCTGGTTGCCCGAAGTGGCCAGCCCGTCCCTGCACACATTGACAAACTCCCCGTGGTGCATTTTGAGGGTTGCGATGTCCAGGTACGAGAAATCGTCACCCTCCCACGCCCTCTTCATTTTGCCATAGACGTTCTTCAGGATGGACCTCACTTGCTTCCGGTACTCTGCGGGGAAATTGGTCACGACTCTCTGGAGGGCGAACCATCCCCAACAGAGCTGGGCCTCGAGGTATCGCCGGGCGTTCTCGCAGACGACCCAGCCCAGGAAATCGCCAAGCAGCCTTCCCAAGGCCAATTTGCCATACTTGCGCGCGTAACAGCCGTTGCAGATGATCTCGGGCAAGTCCTCAATGGCAAGATGTTCGTCATGCCACAGGTGGGCGTCAAGCTTGGGGTTCCACCAAGCCTCATAGCCTCCAAGGCGGAAGGATCGCACCTCCTGCCAGGTCTCGCAGCCCGAGCATCGCCCCATGTACATGGTCCAGGGTCGCGAGTAGAGGCCCACCGGGCCCATGACGAAAACGTTGCCAATCTGACTGATCTCGCCGATGGGGAGGTAGAAATCAGGCTCTGGCATTCCCAAGAACTCGGGCAGGCGGGGGAAGAAGCGACTGTACGCAGAAGGGAAATGCACTTTTCTGCTGGTCATGATTGGGAATGTCGGGGTGCCGCGCTTGACACCCAGCTGCACCCTGAGCTGCCCTGATTGGTATCGGCACTCGTTGCACATGCGATTGTGGCGCTTCGAGCCGCAGGTAATGAGCTCGATGTCGAGAAGGTTGCGGTCAAGTATAGCGTCCTTGACGATTTGGTTCATGTGTTGGTACTGGTTGTCGTCGACGTGATCAAAGCCCTGCATGCCGACTGCGCGCAGCTCCTCCACGGTCCAGCGGTGGATGAAGGGTGGATAGTATGTCTCGTAGGGATAGACGGCGAGGCGGTACCGAAGGCGGACGAGGCGCTCCTCGTACGAGATTGGCTTCCACGTCTTGCTGCCCCATAGCTTGCCGCGAAGCGATGGCTCCCAAGTCGAGATGGGCACTGCGGCGGGCGAGCCAGCAATGGGCTTGCGGTTCTGGAGCCGCAGGATGGAGCGGTTGTCGAAGTGAATGTGTGAGCGAAGGCGCAGGCAGCTCGAACAGGCCCAGCGAAATTCTGCCCACTTCTCCTCGGAGAAGCGTGGGTCAAGGATCTGCTCACGGACCCGGAGAGTGAGCGTGCCGCCGCCGTGCTCTTTGGTCAACTCCAGCTGCAGGAGCCGCTCGACCAGCTCCCGCTTGCCGATGGTGATGAGGGCGCGGAACCGCTTGTTCGTCTGGTGGAGAGAGACCAGAGCAACCGGATCCGCCAGGCGGGCGATGCCGAACACCAATTCTGCGGGGAGGTCAGACAGACATGGGGTGGAAACATGAGACGGCGACATTGCGACAGGCAGGCAGGCAGGTCTCTTGGTCAAATTCTCAATCAACTAAACTCAGGTGTCACGAATGGCTGCTACACAAGTGATGGGGGATTGATTTTTGTGCTTGTGCGGGAGGAAGTTGGGTACGCGTTGGGCAGCTGCGATTAAATACATCTCCTGACCTCTGCATCTGCCTACCCTGGACATGTCTCAGTAACTGCATGCATATGCAACATCACATAAGACGACTGTACCATCACATAGGACCGGTGAAAGCTTCGCCTCGTTAACTTCAAACCGAGCGGCCGAGCCTTATGCAGATGACTTCGCCTTACTATCCATCGGCAACTTGCATAGACAACTACACCCTACCTTCGGTAACAGGCTCACGCTCTTCTTTACACGCCGAGAGGCTACGTATAATCCAACATATGCATAATACTACGTGCCAGCATGCCACATTCAGGCGCGGACTGATGCAGTGACCGTCGGTTATGACGTCACTAAATAAACATAGTTTGATAAGAAACTCTAGTAGGGCAAATGCAGAACCCAACCACACATATTTCCCAGCTTTTTGAAAGAGACCGAACACCACACCTTTGTCACTGACACAAACGACTGGCAACTGGCATAACAAAGGCGCACTACAAGTTCTAGAAGTTCACTTTGTCCACGGATTCTACATAACAAGTGCCTGACCCGACAAGCTGCTGGCTTTTTTCCCCCAATACACAACTTGCCTTCAATCAACCCTAAATTCGAACCAAAAGCAGCCTCTCATAAGCTTCCGACTTTTGATACCGAAATGTCATTAACTACCCTGTTTGAGTGGCTCCAATTTGAACTCCGTTCAACTGACCTACTTGACTTGCCCAACGAGCTCCTGATCAAGATTGCAAGCTTTGTTGACCATGAAGACATCCCGGCGTTACGGCGGGTGTGCCATCGACTCAACCTCGTCGCATCGCCGTTCTTGATCCATACCATCTCAGTCAAGCAGAGCCAAGAGTCTCTAGACCATGTCCAACGCATCCTCGAAAAACCACACATTGCATCTGGTGTACGTGGTATTAGGGTCAACCTGGGCCACCGCTTCCACGCTCTCGTGCAAGACAAATCGCTTTTCACCCAAGTCCTGGAGCGCCAAATTCTGAACCATTACTGGCTCCGTCAGGATAGGCTTCCCTCGGAGTCCGACTCAGAATACAACCGTCGGACTCTTCAAACGAGAAGAAATACTTATATGTGTGAATTTTTTAAGTGTGAATATGGCAGCAGGTGGCCGAACATGCGAGTCGATAAAACCAAGCCAAACGATGCCAAGGAAAAGTACGATCAGTTACTTCTATTGGCATATGAGAGGTACAAAAAAGAGTACCATGAGGTGACGCGTATTGCATCAGAAGGATCTCTTGTTCGTGCTTTGGTCAAGCTGGCTTCCTTCGCGAGGCGCCCTGTCGCCCTCACATTTGGGAGAATCGACGGCTGGTACGCGCATTTAGTGGCCCCGGGCCCGGGCCCAGAAACCACGTTCTTGGACTACATGGCGGAAACCCCCCGCTTATATTCGGTGCCAACAGACTATAGAAAGTCCGTGGAAGATGACATGGCATTGCTGGATGGGGTAATTTGGGACCTCCCAATCGCTCTCCACAAGGCAGGATGCATCATCCATGCCTTCGTTTTGAGAGATGTCCTCAAGCTCCAGGGAGACACGGTGCTTTTTGCAGATGCACTATCATCAAGCAGTGATAAGATGAACCAGCTCCGACAAGCCCTACAGAACCTAACTGAGTTTGGGATTACCCGGATGATGCATATGAAGATGTATCATGATTCGAACCACGGTACAGAACCGCCTGCGAAACGTCTGATGTTTGAGGATTTGCTACGTACGTGTTTGTCTGGGCCAGGCCTCCAGTCCATACGGCTGCGTGGTGATGAATTGTCGGATTGGGCGAAATGGGAAGATACGTCAAGCCAGGAAACATGGCGGAGTGAACGCACCCCGGTAGAAACCAATATCAATGTAGCCCATTTGAAGGACATGTCCGTATCATGCGTGCCTATGATACTATCAGATGGGAAAGAATTGAAGAAAGACTGGACCTATGTTTGGGATGAGGGACAACTGTCAAGATCAGGACACCATTGGGACAACGTACGAGGAGGAGAATGGTTTTTGTGAGATAAGTCAGAAGAGGAAACCCCTCGTGCACGTTTCTGCAGCTTGGCCTCTCAAAGAATAAAATACAGTCTTCGCAGAAGAAAACTACGAAATTGATGCCAGCATTGCGGAATGTCGATTCTGTCTGGTGGAATTGTTGGGGCTGGATCAATATGAGTTCCATGATTATACCGACTCATATTACAAGGCTTCTTTCCTTGACTTGGAGGATTACATTGCAAACTATAGTGTAGAGAATATATTGAGATTTAAAATACAAGTTTGACTGGGTCACGGATGCTTCTCGACTACTTAGATGCAACCCAGCCAGTGGTTGGTTTATATCGTACACGCCAGTCCTTATATCCGACTATAGAATTTCATTCAGTGACCCAAACCGACTTGATATTGGCTGCCTTCACCTCAATATCATTGGTACTTCCACCCGTCGAGAAAAGGTACACATCAGAGGACTCATCGCTCGGGAAAATCAGCGAAGCCAAGGTCACTTCTCCTGCTCCACCAAACACTTCAACTGAGGACCAGTCAACAAGAACACGCAATATGACCTTGCCCTCTACCGACTCGAGCGGTGCAGAGAAGACTCCCGCAAATGTATCATCAAACCCTGAAACTCCTGAAACGGTCCGGTTGACAAAGACCTCTTTTTTCTCAAAGTCATATCCCACCTGTGTTTGTTCGCTTAGGTCTGATGAAGCTTGAACTATGATGCTAAATTGGGTCGATTCAGACTCGGAAAATGATAAAACGATATCCAGCGCTTTTCCGGTGAAGTCTAATTTTGTGCTGCCGGCTGGTAGGATGTCCCAATGGGTACTACTATAATCAGCGTCACCCAAAATAGGCTCCTGTATGAGAGTCGCCTTCCCGTTGGTAGTCTTTAGCGACAGTCTTCGCGGAACCGTAAAAGCACTTCGCCAGGGGTCGGTCGGCGTGGCCCCGCCATACCTCAAGTTGGTCATCCACGCAATGTCCACACGGTCCTCCACGGGGAGACCACTGAACGTAAGGGCGGCGTAGAAGTCAGGGCCCCAGTCCACCCAATTCGACTGCGTCACGCTGTTGGCGTCCGGGGTGAAGGTTGTCCCGTCAAACTGGCCTACGACGTACTGTGTTCCAGAACCAGTGTTGCCAGCCGGGCCCCCAGGGTTGAGGCTGATTTGAACAACCCATTTTAGCTCTTCGCCTCCGTCCAGGGGGAGAGGGAACATGCTGGGGCATTCCCATACACCACCGATGGCGTTGACCGGGCCAAACTCACTAACGAGCTCCCAATCCTTCAGGTTGGTAGAGGTGTAGATTAACAGCTTGCGGAGGCCAGGTAGTGACATCACGGAAACCCATCTCTGGTTTTCCTCGTGCCAGAGGACAGCTGGGTCACGGAAGTCATGTATTTGGTCGGAATACTCCTCTGGAGGGTTGAGAATGACGGGGTTCACGCTGTCGTATGTAGTCCAAGTCATGCCATCGTCAAGGCTGTACGCGATCGATTGGGATTGCTGGTTTGCATCGACGGTCTTTCCACTTGGCAGAGTTTGTGCCACAGGATACTAAAATGTGTGGTCAGAGATTGTGTTGCCACTGTAACTAAGCTGAGAACATAACTTACATGAGACGTGTACATAGCGACCAGAGGAGCTTTGTCACCGCTGCCGAAACCACTTGTATTCTGGGCATCGAATACTGCGGTGCCGGAGAAGAACATCTCAGTGATGTTGTCTGGATATCCACGGGCGAGAAGTGCCACTGGCTGATGCTCCCAGTGCACTAGATCCGAGCTGGTGGCGTGGCCCCAGGACATGGCTCCCCACGATATACCCCCTGGGTTATGTTGATAGAATAGGTGATAGGTCCCTTCATGATAAATCAAGCCATTTGGATCATTCATCCAATTCTTAGCTGGGGTGAAATGAAATTGTGGACGATAGCGCTCAGTGTAGTTCTGGGCCAGCGCCGTATTGAACACACTGAACGCCATGGCCAACACACAAAGGTTGAATGAGACCATGGTCACCATTGTGGGAGACAGGAAAAGGCTTCGGAATTTGCTGAATAGTAGAGGATTCCAGGGTTAGAACCAGCCTCATGAACTGGTATTTATAGATGCTTCATTGACGCGTGTTTACCCCGTGGGGTCACATCGTCGGGGGATCAATGACGTAAATTGGAGCAAAGCACCGGAAAGCTTCCGGATGTTGATCGCTAAGCAGCCAATATCCTTCCCTCTCTTGACATCAACCTGCTCCTCGCATGAACCAAAGATTTCGTAGGCGGGGGTGGCGGATGGTCAAAGGAAGAACCTTCCAACTTGGATGTCTAACACACCAGAAACCACCCCATTGAGACGTAACGTGTGTGAAATGGTGGATACCAAGGCACGGAGAAGGCGGGGAATGGCACATTGATGGTTATATTTGTAGTTCTCACTTGTAAGTTGAGGATTGTCAGATGATGGAGTGTGGGGATACTAGGACGAGGGAGGGTAGTTCACGTAAACCAGCCTACCACAGCCCAGAGTCAATCCACGCCGGAATGACCACATCTGCCTGAAAGCCTCGGTTGCTGCTAAATGTGACTGACAGGGGTGCAGAATTCTGTAGCGACCTTCCAGGAACTAGTACGGCCCAGTTCCAATCATGTTAAGGAGCAAAGAGCTTTCGGATTCGACTGCATAACCTTCAATGTTGATCTACGATGGTCTGTAAACAACCCGCTGCGCCAGAGCTAGAAACCAAATGAATTTGAGATATCTCAAGAAGTAAGTGTGGGGTTTCCTACCACTAATGGTATGAATCAAAGTATAGATCCATGAAACGAGAGTTTGGCTTTCTTTCGTGAATGCTGTATTGTGCTGGGCATATATGCTTTGCTTTTGCCCGTTTCCGTCCATTGCTCGTTTGTCCCTCCATTAGAAGAGGGAAGACTTTCCTCGATGAAACTTAGAATTCTCGTTGATATAAATGTTGACACAGAGCAAATGAAGCTTGCTCTAATCTTCTCCGTAACCTTGTGGGCATAAAGCAATTAGGCAGACTCCTATAGAGTTATCGCAAGCTGTTCGTTTTTGGCAGAAACTCGTGGATTGTGCTCGCCAATGGTCCTCCTCATCTCCAAAAGACATCATGATATAAAAACAGCCCATCTTGATTGGGATTCTATGGCTAACTTTCTCTTATGAGCCGATTCGACGATCGATCTAATTCTTGGATCGTATTTTCGCGGGTTGATCTGTAGGCATGGGAGATTCAGCTCATGTCGGGTTATGGAGCCATTAAGTTTCAAATTGGATCATACCATCGCTCCATCGCTCTTTTATGTCGTACTCCCATATGAACTCATGTCAAGTGATGGTTTGATAATGCGAGGCTCTTGCGTGCCCGTCTCTGGATCGTGGCACTAACTGCCCATAACTTGATTGACTGGCCGGAAATGGCTTGTAAAATTGTCGAGGAAGAGATTTATTCTGTTTCGTGAAGGCTTCGGTTGGGAAACGAATCGTGTCTAACTTTGCGGCGAAATCGCCTCGATTGTGTCTAGGGGGTCTATTGTAAGAGTTGATCAGCTAGGGCCAGCCGGGGCCTCGCGGTTGCGACAAACTCCTTGTGTAGGAGAGTCCCCCATTCACTGTGAATTAATCCCATCCTAGCAAACATTGATTTTCTTCTCGAAAAAAAAAACGATTCCGTGGTTTTGCCCCTACTCGCTCGGTAGTTAGCGCCAGTAATCAGTTCCTCCTCCTATCAATAACTTGATGTTTAGCGAACCATTTTACGGGGTCGCCAACAAAAGAGTACAAGTATCTTTGATTGACAGAAGAGTGTAGAATAGACTTGCCACGACATATGACCGGTCTGAATGTGATGCATCGCGTCTGTTAAACTGGATGCTTTTCTTCGTTTCATCTTCGTGGTATTAGTGAGTTGCCAGCGGGCGTAGACATCGATGAGTTGTTTGTATATGACTGGAAAGGGGGGGATCAGATGCTCTTCCAAGTATTTGAGATAATTAAATGCCCAAATGAGCTTGGATAATCGGTGCACACAGATGTACAAGCCATTGATGTCGGCTTGAAGGTGAGAGGGGGTTGTGGGAGATAATTTGGCACCTCAGGCAGAAGCTATCAGAAGTCCACCACACTTTTGAAGGTCTATCAACTTCGGCTTGCCCATTTGAGAGCCTCCTTATCAATCACACCAGCTTTATCGATAGCAGGTTCTCTAGCAACACCACTTAAGACTGTGTACCGTTGAGAGCCAAACGGTAGCATCGGACCCAGAGCAATAGGTAAGCTTTAGGTAGCTAGATCTTGATTGATTCTGGATCTCCGGTAGCCGTTATGGCCTTGACAATGCTATTCTCGCTACTATATACCAATAACCTTTATACATGAGACACAGTGTTGAAGGTGATGTCCTTCATCGATTACTGGTTTGAGAATATCTTGGGCGCTGAGCGTACTGCGCGGATGATACATCAAAATAACACTGTGCCCGGAGCGGCCTTCTCGCATGCATTGTTACATATCTACTTATAAACTCCTCTGGCAAAAGATGAATGATGATTTGATAAACCGATCAACTTTGTTGTGAAAGGGAGAGCACGTACCGCGCAGGTATCTCAACTGCCCCAATAAAATACATCGACGGGAAGGCTCTCTCTTCCCTCTTTCTCTACTTCTTTCTCTCTTTCCAACAAGAAAAAATAATCGCCCCTCGGCAGCCGATTGAAGGCTAATCCATTATAGACATGGAAATCTGGTCTATGGAGAATGCATAAAGTGATGGTGGATTGCATCTCAGGAGACTTGAGACTGGGTGGTGGCTGTTTGGACGCAGAAACGGCACGCTCAATCTGATGCGCTCATGGAAGCAACTAAAATTACAGCGCTTCCTGCAGCCATTGGCAGCGCCTTACAGCGAATTAGCAGAAGTAGTCTGGACCCGAATCGGACTAGCGGCATGTGGCTCATTGTCGAAGCTATCACCCATTCTGGCTTAGCCGTCATCCAACCATTCCCAACCGAACGTCTCGCCTCTTGTATGGAACTTGGGACAGCATCATCCCTTCTACAGCATTAAGGAAGCATCTCTGGCGCTTTGATGTGGCGAAGCTATCCCGACACATGATCAGCCTCGATGATCCCACGAACTTCCCTGACCTAGTACGCTTTTTCCGCCTCGACGCAACCTTCGCGCGGAAGGAGGCAAGCATGAAATCTGCTGTGGTTATCTACACCAAGGAACAAGCCGGCGCGCCAGGCAAGCTGAAGAGATATGGGCACACCAGAAGACTCTTAGACATCGCGTGTTCGGCTACGTTGAACTATAAGATAACCAGTCTACGCGTGGGGCTCGACAAGACTCCGAGCGGTAAATTCGATAGTGACTTCCGAGAAACAAGTTGACAAGAACTGGGGTCTTTATATCGGGGAGCTTGAGGCTGTAATGGAGTTTTCCAAAGTCAAAGTGCGTCTACTGTCCCTCGTGAAGCCTAGACGTCACGATATCAGAATGCTAACGGGCCAATGTAGGATGGAGAGCTGGTTGTCAAATCATTCACCAAGTGCAAAAACCATCGCTTGCCTGAGCATCAAGTCCATGAGATTGCCTCTGGGATATTAGACGCCTTAGCTAGAATGTACGAGGGGAGCTTTACTCGCGGAGATCTGAGCCAGCCGTCAGTATGTCTCTTGCCGTTTACACCACACGAGCTAATTCCCATTCTCAAGATCAGTCTAATCAAAAGCCATCCTCCTGACCACCCATTATTGGTAAAAGTCGTCGACTTTGGCATCAGGAAACGGCACGGCTACAAAAACTCTTCCTTTGTCGGATTGAAGCAGTAGCGGGCCTTGGCAATCAGCACGAGTCAGTGTCCGGCTGTGGATTCGATGGCCTGACAGCATCATTGATGGATGAGGATCCCAGTGTTCGAAAATAGCATCCCATGCGAAAACAACCGGAGCCCCCCGGGTTACCACATCCTCGGATTCTCGGTCTTCTCCTTTCATACCCCATGGATCCACAGGAAAACAAACTTCTTGCAGATTTCTACCAGGATCGCCGATATCACACGTGGTCATCACACATTCCAAACGGTTTGTTCCTGGAAGTCAGTCCACTGGACAAGGTTCAAGCTCCACAGGCCGGGGTATAGGATTCAGCTCGATCGGACGCATGATATATCGGCAAATGAATAGCATGATATCCTCGTTATGGCTTACCAAGAAGAAGAACTTCTTCTTTTCTCCCTTCATTTACTTCGGTTCTCTAACCAAACACGTTCAAATGGCTTACACGCCCTACTGTCGCATAATTCGGTCTACTGGTAATATTTCAAGATCTGCTCCATTTCATAGCTAAAAGTTTCATCTCGCCGCTAGTTGGTACTTACTAACGTATAAATTGATCAGACCTGCCTTGTGCTTGGCTGTTCCCGGAAAATTGGTTGAAGGAACTGGCATCCGCCTTGGTTTGCGCCAACAACAATGAGGACGAAGATATTATGGCGCTGATCATCAAGCCCACCAATCTCACACCAACGGACTTTCTAGCCTCGACGGTTTCCATGTGTGTGCTCACGGCGCTCGCAATTGTTGTACGATTCTGGTCAAATTATAGCCACGCCGGCAAAGTCTTTGTTGACGATTGTGAGTTATTTTTGGAGTTGACCCTCCTCGCCGATCTGACCTCTAAAGCCAGCGTTGACCAATCCTGAGCAAAGATTTATGCATCATGGCCCTCATCTTCATGGTCTGGAATGCGGTAACATTTTACCTGCTGCTTTCAGGTGAGCCCCCTGAATTTTGATCGCAATTATTACATCCTATCACCTTGAACGTTTACTAATCTTCGACATTAGTACTAAATTCTGACCCTGAAAAGGTTGATCTTGTTTATCTCACGACGGTAAGATGCTTTGTTCTTACTGTATCCTTTTTGGGCTTGCTGTTTTAACACAGCTGAAAGCTTTGCGCTGTAGGGATCTTCGCTGCCAACTGCGCGCTGTATACCGCAAAACTACCCCTTATTTCCCTATTAATTCGAACGTTTGGTATCAAACGATGGTTACAAATAACCTGCAAGATCCTGGTGGTGTTGGGCTTCATAGGATTTATGGCGACGGCAATTTATCCTACGGTCCGGTGCAGCCCTCAGCTACATACTGTCAACCCGATGTTCTTGATAACTTGCATCACATCAATCGCAGATGTCACTATCCCTCGAGGCTCGATATCGATTACAATTGACGTACTATTATTCGTCCTACCGCTCCCGATCATCCAAACTCTAAAGCTGCCATTCAGGAAGAAGTTGGGACTGGTGCTAGTCTTTATTGCGGGAGTTCTGTAAGTCAACCAGCCACGACATAGCCAAGATCTGGATCTACAGATTTCCTAACCACAAGACCCTATGGCCCCAGGGCGATCGTTGCTAGTGCCCTCGGGCTATACTTCTCAAGCATGAAGAAGGGGGATACAGCATCAAACATCGCAAATGCTCTTCTTGTAAGGTGAGCACGCCCCAGGGCCTTCCGCTTCCGAAACATCAATGATTAGAACTTCAATTGGGCTAACTCGTTCCGTTAAAAAGCGTTATCGAGAGCAGTATCGTAGTTCTCGTGAGCTGCGCGCCGGCGTTCCACCTCTTCTGGGGCATGCAGACGGGCTCGACATCACGCATTGGCACAAGCAATCAGGGCACAAACGCAACAAGTTCGCGGCTGGGCCTCTCGGTTCGCTCCTCGAAGCGCCAAGAAGAGTTTATCAGCACACCAAGATCGATCCAGGCCACTTCACACCACTACATCGAGCTTCGGGACATGCCGGGCGCCAATGGGAGAGGGTCTACGGTTCAGGTAACAGCAGGAAGGATGGAGCGGTAATAAGAGGGTGTGAACAAGCCCGTGAGACTTGAGTGTCTAGGAAATAAGAACATAGATTATGATAGCTCAATGCAATATCTCAACCTTTTTATATACTGGGCGATCGTTCGATGTTAAATATGGAGAGCAAAACAACCCCTAACATCGCGAGTGCTCGCTTCTTGCTCGAGGCTAACAGCATATTTTTTCAACGCGAGAGTATATTACTATGGGATGTTTCGTCATTCATTATCCTAAAATTCTTGTTCTCTGCTCTGGGAAAAAAACATTCTGGAAGCAGTACTCATTCAGCTAATCCACCAAGGCCCTATCCAATTCCTAATGATCACCAAACCCTAGCCATTGAGCTCCAGATTGAACCGGACAACAAGCTGGAATAAATATCAATTTGGCCATGGAAATCTTGTTGTCGGGATTATTCATTGCGTTGGGATGTCAAGTCTGACATCTTCCATTGCTGTTTTGGTTTGTAGTCGAAGTCTCTCACCCGTTGTTGTAGAAGGAAGATATGTTGAAGGGAGGTTTGCCGGAGGGAGATACCGTATGCATCGTGTTGAGACGTCGAACTTGGCATCTCCCGTTGCTGGTCTTACTTTGTACCCGAACTCTCACGCGTAGATTCGGTGAGCCCCTCGTGCAGCCATTTGGCCTCGAGAGTTTTTTTCTGGGCCTCCGTCAACCCGTATATTTCGCTCCAATCACCGCCCTCCCTGGGCCAGAACCCTTCGCCGCCAGCACGGTAGATGTCCTTTCGCTGCCGTCTCGATCGCAGGTGGTCGTCTTTCCCCCATTCTTTGCCGGGCCGCGGGAAGATCGGCTCCGCAACTCTAACTCTCTTGCACGTCTCATAAACTTCCTCCAACGGGGGAGCCGCCTCCCTCGGCGAGGTCCATAAGACGTAGCCGAGAAACCACAAGTTTGTATCGGCGTCGCAGCAGACAGTTCGGGAGATGGAATTCTTGAAATGGGCACCCAACCACGCACGGAACGGACTATTTTGAGGCGCTCTCTGTGGGTCGAGCTGCAAGATCTGGCTCTTCTCCCAAGCGTGCATTGGAAGCGCTGGGTCCCGGAGGGGTGGGTTGAGGGTGAGCTGTCCCGGTACGAGTTTCGAGCATAAGAGGATCGTGTGTGGGTTATAGGCTCTTGTCGCAGATCGCCCGGTGGAAAATTGAGGAACGCCTGTGCTCCTGAGAGTGCCCCCTGAGGCTATCCTGCTCAGGAATGGAAGCCCCATGCATAGCTGATTTGGTTTCAAGGTCAGAATATTCCGAAAACTAGTTGTCTTGCAGCATTCTTCAGGGTCACATACCATCCAATGAATTTGGCTGATGAAGTTGACATCCGGAATGGCTTCAATTCTTTCATGATTGAGCGAAACATCGTGTAATGTAATATCATCATACGCTGTCGGTGAAGACTCGTTAGAACCGTCGCGAGTGATTGGGACCTATTTGAGGACGGAGGGTGTTCATACCTTGAGCCACTTTACGTCGCAGATATACAAATACACACATGAGCTCCTCGTTGACCCAAGGTGAGAAGGAAGAAAAGAACAAGCGTTTGAGATCCCAGTCGTCAAACCGTGGCCTGAACTCTTGCATGCGGATAAGGCAGAGCCGATGGCAGAATAGGTTGCACATGAGCTGATAACGAAAGACGGCTCGGGAGATGCGAAACTTCTCCCAGTGGTTGGCGTATTGTCGGTCCTTGGGAGCCGGACCTAGATACGAATGATGCAAGGGCTTTACCTCTGATGCCATTTGTCTATAAATGGTTCTAGCAGAAGAGCAGCTACTACTCATGTAGGCGTATTCTGCCCTCGATAGACCCAAGGAGGGCAAGGCCACTGGGCAAGTCGACGCCGCGAGGCCCAACAATTGCTTGGCAGCAGCAGGATCGGAGAGCGATAGCCTCTGTGATCCTACCAGGGCGAGTAGAAATGGAAGGGCCTCCTTTGCCACCTGGCGCATGATGATGGCGCTAGCCACTGAATTGAAGTTATCCTTCAATGCATCGCGGAAGATGGAATGGCTCAAGATAATGGGCCTAAGGTCTTGGATAGTCTTGACATTAGAAAGAATATGGGCTATAGTGTGTAGTGGAAGCCTCAAAAGTGGCGGTAGGTCAGTTGAGCTCATCTTGGCGAGACGAGATGGAGGTGGAGAGATATGGAAAAGATCTAGTAGTTGGAGATGGAAGAGATTATGTGAGAGATGAGATCTAGTGGTGAGGATATGGGAAATCAAGTCGTGAGAGATGGGAAATGAAGCTGTGGGGGATAGGGAATTAAGCTGTGAGAGATTGAAAGTCAAGTCGCAAGAGATCGGAAAAGGCTGTGAGATAGGAAAACGAGTCGTGAAAGATGGGAGACCAAGTTGTAAGAGATTGGAAATGAAGCTGTGGCAGATGTAAATGGAGTGGTGAGAGAGTAGAGGAGGAGTAATGAGAGATAGGAGGAGGAGGGAGGAGAAGTGAGCTCTCCCAACAAACGGAAGAGGGGATAGAGCCCGATGCTCCTCGGGTCCACATCGGACCAGCTCAACGTCCTCTCAGAAGTCTTCGTTGCATTTCTTGAACTTGGCTGCAGTATTAGGTGACATCATGCCATTATGCATCACAGGTAGCACAACATAAACAGGTCTGTCAGCAGCTCACCCTTTCGCGGGTTCGCCTACCGAACTTGATGGTCAAGCCTCCACCCGCTCCCCGAGAGCTACGTACCTACTCGCGTCAGGGACTTTTTATAGCATATGTGTATTTGGGGATTACCGTAATGCTGTAGCCTGGTTTATCTTTAGATTACAAGGCTACTGGTATAATTACAGTATTATTTTAGAGGGCTATTAGTACCCATATTCAAATGATAACAATACTCAGAAGGGGCATGACAAAAGATAGCTGGATTATATGGAAGGATCAACCCTTACGATAGCTATCTCGGCTGCTAATATAGCCGCAAGCTGATGCTGTAAAACCCCCCTGGCGCGCCTAGGTAGGTAGGTTGTATTTGCGGAGGCGGTCGATATCACGCCAGGGCTCACGCACTATTCCTCTTCGATCAAATCTTCCACCCCAGCTTAACTTGAAGCACAAGGGGTGAGAGTGAAGTCAGGACCGAAAACATTCCCAGCACTTGATATGTCGCGTTCAGGATATCGCAATGGGTCCCGTATGGCTCAACTGGGCTATTGGGGCGAGTAGAGGCTTGTGAATTCAAAAAAACTCTGTAGGTATCCCGTACTTTAGCAGATCATCGCGACAAGATTAAATGTAGATATCAAATTCATCACATCAATATCTGTTAAGTTGCATAGCAAATTCCTCCACATAAATTTGTCCGAGATTGAGGTGCCACAGGAGGCAGCGGATAAGCTAGGTGGATGCGACCAAATTGATGGCTACAGCCTTTAGGAGCTCCGAGCAGGTAGTTCTGATACTGTCTACTGCAATCCAGGTGAACGCAGTCAACAGTCGTACCCTTGAGCAGGTAAGTCAAATCCTATTTGTTGTGATGATAATGATTCCGATCAAAAATATAGCTGCAAGCCGATAGGTTAATCCTCCGTAACCTACTGTAATACATCGTAAACGGGAGTATTACCGGGCCAGAAATACTTTTTTTTTGAAAGCTGACATATTGTATAGCTGACAGCATATGCAGCCCGCATGCGAGCGAATGCTTGTATTGCAAATGGTGCCAGAGCAGCTGCACGTGTTGAAGATTCTAACATGGTATCTAGACCGCTGTCCACATACTGCCTCCACCCGCGTAGGTAGGTAACAAGTCAATACCTACAAAGCAGTCCTAAGGGCAAGCGAAGCTGCGTAGGGGAGTCAGTGTGAACAGGATCTTAACTGACCTGCTTGAGGTAGCTCGAGGCAGCAGCTGTTGATCGCATTTATAGGGTCTGACTTAACCGGCTCAAGGCTGCAGCTGGTGATACTGTTCATAAGGGTGCAGGGAAATAACATCAAAAGAGAAGAGAGATAACATCATACGCGCGTACATAGGTAGCCAGCGATGGCAACTACGAAGTCACGATGAATCGGCTGTTAATAGAGTGGTGGCGGGAATCAACCTCTTCTTGAATGAATGTTCTGGTTCTATGCACATCCATCTCCTCCCTTCAACGCCTAGAATCCTTTGTTCTCCGAAACAAACACCTTCTCTTTATTTCCTCAAAAATAAATACTCCCGTCGGAATTCCAACAGTCCTCTGAATAGACGTCAGAAAATATGCTGACATGTACATTCCCCTCACAGAAATGGCCGAGCCCGCAACAAAACCTTCATTCAGCTCACTCTTCTGGGCCGGATACCGCACCCATCCAACACGAAAGAATTCCTCGGATTTTTATCAAAATTTTGTCGCCCAAATAAAGTCAATGCGGCGCTGTGCGATGCGCCAACCTGAATGATTGAATGGCACGTGCTACACGTGAGCCAACCCTTCAGCCGCGCCCGTGTACACGAGTCAGTCGAACCACATGAGCGGGGTCGCGCAACGCCTTCTCGGATGCGCGCGGACATACCCTTGCTAACTGCACCTAACGGACCCGACCGTGGGTTATGGCTGCTGATCCTGCATCTCCTGCAATGCGTCGCATGATGTTCCGGAAGAGAAAAGGTGGCGGATCTGGCGTTCCGCGGATCTGCTCGTGCTCGCCATTCGAATCCCCCGATACCCCCTGTGACGCCCTGTCCGTGGTGCGTTACCAGCCAGAGAACCCGGACCCCCAGAGGAGATCCAAGTTTTTCCTTCTCCCGCGGGAGTTGAGGGTGCAGATTGAAACAGAATACCTTGCCGAGTACCTCCGCGAGGCCGCTGCTCGCTGGCAACGCCTCGGCGGGCCTAGCTGGAACGGCTATGCCAGAGGACCGGCTTGCGTCGCGCCGTCTCCCCTGTCGCTTTCTTGCCGGCGCATGTACGACGGAGACATGGTCCCCCGAGGAAGCATGGGGTTGTTCTGGACGGCGGGCCCGGGACAGCCTCACGGGCCCTGCCGGATCGCTCTCGTCGTGGAGGGGAGGCTCTGCTGGAGACGTCTCGAGCGCCTGCGGTTCGTCAACGAAGCGGACAGGTTCCACACCGAGACGTGGAAGAACGACTTCTTCTTCACCTTGGGGAAGGCCTGGAATTTGAAGGAGCTGGAACTCGTCTGGGGGCCAAAGGTGACCATCCTCCCCGACCCGAGGAACGATGACCACATCATGAGGCAGCTCCAGAAGCACACTTCACTTCGCATCGTGCGCTTCCGGGGCAATGTTCCGCGGGCATGGTTGCTGAAGGAGTCCAGCGCTGGCTCTCGCATCAAGTACGTCATTCAGCCTCTGTGGTGGGTGAAGAGGGACTGGGAGGACGAAGAGCAGGAAGATCTTCAGAGGGCGGCAGACGAAGAGGTGCACTCCAAACGAGTCGAGCGGTACGAACAGCAGCTGGCTATATTTTCCGCATCGTCGAGAAAGGATTCAAAAGCAAGGTCTTGGAGGCGATACCTCAAACTCTTTTGAACGGTGCTGTTATCTCGCTTTCATGTTCTTATACTGCTTCCTATGTCAGGTTGTCTGTCGGACAAATTTCAATGTTATGTGAGGAATTCCGAGCGCTGCCACCCGTTGTTGGTATTGGCCCCTACCTCCCTAATGTCCAGGTGTGCCCTTCTAAACCTTGGACCTCCATACCTTACCCTGTAGGTACATACCCAGGCACCTTAAGATTTCTGACTTCTGAGGCACAGTGGTCCTGGATGGACGCTACAGCCGAATTGGGCACGCATGGCCCACATGGCTTTTTCTTCACCCAATCAAGCCAATTAACTGCGCTGAACTGCTCGAAAGTCATGAACACAGGAGATGGCATGAGCTCTCACTGACTGTATGGACACCACACTTTGTCTAAGCTAAAAACCTGAGTGCCGGTCAATGAGATAAATCTCGGGGCCAGTGTAGAAGTACTATTGCACAAACAAGGGAGAGGTGTTTGCGTTTGGAGAGAACAAAGGATTCTATGCGTTGAAAGGAGGAGAACGAAGGCACATATTCATGATGGAATAGGTTGATTTGGGAGGCATGGGCCACCACTCTCTTAATGATCATTTCAGGCACTATGGGGTTGTGTCTCGAAATATTCCATCAACTATCGGATGTAACGAAACAATGAAAATAAAGATGCAGAGAGTATGGCAGACAACAAAGTGAATGATTCACTGCCTGTTCTAATGCATGAGATGGGTTCAAGAACCCATTTGGAACTCAGTTTGTTTGTTCATAAGCAGTATTAGTACATCTGATTCTGGCAGACTGGATAGATTGTCAAACCGTAGCCATATATAACCTCTAGTTAGGCCTGCCTTCGCATAAATACATCCCTCGTGCGTTTCCTCGTCGTGGTTTTCATTTCCATAACACTTAACCTAGAATCATCGTTGCTAAAAGATCAATAAAACTTGACTGCTTCAATACAATATCACGATGATGGATAACCAATCACCACAACCAGGCCCCGAGATGGGGCAGCAATTTATACAGGCCTGTGTCGACCTAGGACTAACCCAGGACGCGTCGGCTTTGACCAAAACATTATCCAAACCGCCCACTCGCCTAGTTCCAGTCCAGGTCAAAGGCTTGATTAATCTGCAAGCCAGGCATATGGAGCTTTTCCAAGCTTATGCCAAAAATAAGCAGACGCAGGAAAGTTTGGTCGAGTCACTAACCAAACAACATGACTTTGCCTCCGATGCCTTGACTAGAAGAACCGCGGCCAACGCAGCCATGAGACAGCTAATGAGCGAGCAAAGCACAGTTGACCCACAATGCTTCGCCATGCGTCACACTGACGCATTGAGAGAAGTCCAGCTAGCCAGGAAATGCGAGGCTAGCTTATCAAACTTGCTCGAAATCGGGCACGAATGTCTGAAGAGGACCACCCACGAGGGGGGTGATATCGTCCTTCAACTCAAGGTGCTTGAGGTGCGGCTGCAGGAAGCAGACCCGAGCTTCCAGTTGTACGATTATGGTAAAGTTAGCACGGAATTCGAGGATCAGACAATGGCTTGAGCTCCCCGGATACTTGGCATGTCGGCCCTAGTCGTATCCAGATCACTCGTGCGTTCAATTACCACCCCTCCGGAAGCTTGACTTGAGCCTCGGACGGCCACCGACTATGCAGGGCTCCTATGCGTGGCGTCGAGGTTTCAGGGGTTGGCCGGAAAGGGCTTCATCTGTGGCATTTGATTATAGTTAGCGAATGTACTCCCCTTATTTCCAAATATTCACTCAAGCATGATGGTTGATGTGTAATTATTGAAATAAGCTCGAGTGTACTGTACCTGTGACACTTTTCGGCCATGCAATAGGATGTCGCCTTCGCTGCTTCTTCTGGCCTGTCCGATGCATCTCGTTGCTTCGGCTGATTAGCCCAGTAAAAGTTATCCAATGAGATGCATAAATGGCCGAGTTGCTTATATCACAAGACATCGCCCCGGTCTGTGAGCACGGCGCTTAGCGTTGTGACCGTTGGTGATAAGGAGGCTGGTGACGTCCGTTGAAGAACATGGTGGGGGCCAGGGGATGCGCCTGTGATGTCGGATCTCGCAAATGCAAGGTCGTTTGAACCTGTGCCGTAAGAAAACATGGATGCAACCGCGGGCTTGGGTTTCGAAATGCCGAACATGAAAGCCTTGTGCAAGGCGCGCAAGATACTCGTCGAATCGAATGTGAAGAATGAAAGTATAAGGCTAATGTGATCTTGAAGAAAGCAACCTTATATTGATTCACTTGTGGCACTTGGGGTGATCCGTGCAGAAGGAAGCTCGAGCCAACGTTCATGGCCCCTGAATCCTTGCGAATCCTTGGCGGTTCAACCTCATCACCCTTCCATCGAGGGAGGCTGTTGGGGGCTGTGGAACCGGAATGCCCACTGCTGCCGCCTGTGCTGGTTGTTGGTGCCGCCTAGAAACCTGGGATTACCACTGTCAATGTCACCCTCTCAGCACTCGCCCAACCAACCAACAATGGATGGCACGTCAGTTTCGCCTCGCCAGACCTACACGCACCTTCCACTTAACATGAAACGGGAAACAGGCGGCAAGATGCAGCCGCGAGTGCCTCGTTGGGGTCGGCAGCCTGCAGTGCTCCCACTGTCGATACGAGCGCCTGTGCCTGCTTTGGGGAGGCACACACGCGGGGCCCGGGAGAACGTTGGTTCAAGCGGATGCCTTCTTGCTCCTGGAGGATTCTGCGACCTGCATTCCGACCAGCGGCTTGCTACGCCACTCCCTGCATTTGGGTAGTGCCTGTATCAGAGCTTGCCGTTCTTGCAAGACTGTTGGTCTGCCCTGCTGCGGCGAGGCTCGTCACAGTACAGTCGAGCCTGCCGATATATGTACATGCTTATGATCGCAGGGACAGTCGCGCCTGCCCTGCGTTTGTCTCGCCAAATCCCAGCCCAACCAACATCATCCACCTGGGACGCCGCTCAGCAATTATGAAACCGCACAAACCAACCATCCTCATCATCATCTGAATCTCAAACATCTTGAACTCCTACTGCAGCCTACGTTATTATTTGCATCCGTATCTTTACCGCAATGCCTCCATCGCACCCAGACCAAATCAGCTTGGATTATGTTCCTCTCCTCGCTTGCTCCGTCGTCTTCACCTTTCTCTCCTTCATCGTTGTCGTCCTGCGGTTTCTTCAACGCATCAAGATAAGGAGTCATTGGTACGATGACTGGACTGCGTTTGCTTCGCTCATCTTCTCCATTGGCATGATGACAACCACTATACTCGGAGGTACTCAGGCCCATGCTGGTTACGCTGCCGTCACATACTCCGCCTTGCAGCTGGGCAGGTTTTCAAGGGTAAGACTGCCAGGACCGAAATATTTGAAATCGTCATCTCCTCTATTTTGCAAAATCACATCCCAATCATAGCTGCGGTAGAGCTGACCGAGGTCGTCAAACAGATCTTGCTGGCCTACAACGTCCTCTACAACTGGAGTCTCATGGCCTCGAAGCTATCCATCCTGTTCTTCTTTTACCGAATGCTCGTGGTCGACACTAAGCTGCAACGGCTTTTGCAATGCGTCGGTGGAGCAATCGTAGCCTCCTGCATTGCCGTCACCTTAGCCCTGATTCTCTCAAACAACCCCATCCAGGGAACGACGATAAACAGCAGCATATTTTGGATCTCTACGGCCGCTCTTAACCTCGTCTTTGACATTGCTGTTCTGATGGCCCCCCAGGCCAATATTTGGAGAAAGCACATGCCCATCCACCGGAAGAGCGCAATTGGTCTCCTCACCCTGCTTGGTTTTTCGTAAGTGAACAGCGTCTTGTTTTAACACGGGTCTCCCGAATTATCGACCAAGGTATACTAACCTTTGAACCCAACAGTGTTTGCGTATTCGCCGCCGTGCGTCTGGCGTACGTCTCCCGTGCCAACCTAGACAACATGACCTTCGAAATCATCAAGATTGGGATCTGGAGCTGTCTCGAAGCAAACTTGTCCATCATCTGCGCATGCCTTCCCTCGGTCTATTCCCTGTTCAGGGGCCCGAGAATCAGGGGTCCTTCTTCTCAAGCAAACATGTACCGTCGTCACGAGCCCGTGCCGTCCTCTGATAAGATGTATCATGAGCTCGGCTCCGGCGCACACCTCTCGTACCCGGGGAGTTACCATGTTAGAGTGCAGTCACCTAGTGTGGGCAGCAGAGACGATCTGACCCCCCTGGGGCCGATCCGGGTAGAGAGAAGCTATGGCTTCAGCGTGGCAGATGCACACCCTTGAACTTGCCCCTCGATTCACTAGATGTCATCCTTTCTCCTAATGAGTCTCCTAGAAACGTATCAAAATTGCTTGCTTCTCTACAACACGGGGGCGTCTGGACAGTGAGGTGGATAGAAGGCTTCCTGAGCTAAGGCTTCGCAAGAAGTAGATTCCTATAGCACTTATTGCACTTATTTCCTAATGAAAACAACAATTTATCATCGCTTCATGTCTCGTAATCAGATGCTCCGGTAATGAACTCCTCCAGACCCCAAGCTAAGCCTACCCAACACTTAATCGTTCTTGCTCCAATCATGCAAAATCCCATTAGACTGGGAGAATCGCTCTGGGTCTTCCGTTGTAGGGATCATGCAGTCTCAACAAGCACTCCTTAGGAATCCGCGAATCTCGACGAGCTTTCAACAAAGGGCGTATGTAACGAGTAGCGACTTCGGTCAGGGGGTGGCTGTATGTCTGTGCCACCTTTTCTGCGGTTCGGAAAGGGAGGTGGGACAGAATTGCCGTGATGATCTCGGTAGGCATTGACTCGAGCGTCGCCATGTTTTTCTTGCCGTGGCGGAGGAAAGTTGGGCTCGGGCTTTGGAGTGACTACTCAGCTCGGGGTGTAGATTGAGCACTTGTCTAGGCTGTGCAGGTCGACAGCTTCACCGACCGATCTGACTCACGCTCAGCTCTTTATACACAATCAGACATCTCGATCGTACGCCTCGATTTCTCACTCGTAGTAGCTTTCGGGCACAAGAGTGTATTGTGCACGGCCACGTCAGCAACGCTTGACAGTCTCAAGTGCCGTCAGCAGCCATCTTACGTCACATGCCGGTGAAAGATTGAACTGTACAGCCCCGGAGCTACGCGAATGTCTGCTAATAGAGCTGAAATGAGAGTCGTGTAGCCAATTCGAGGCGTTTGCCACTCAATAATGGAAGCCTTGCGTTCCAGTCACTATTATTAGACACAAGGTTGTTGATCTAAGCGATTTGTCTTTTCAATCAGGAAATTCTCCCATTGTCTAGCATTGCACCAATCTTTTCTTTGCCAATTAGACCACGTCATGTTAGGCTCCGATGGCGAGGCCGAGGTATTTCAAGAACAATAGGCTGATGATGGCATGTATTAGTGGCCAGGTGCAGGCAGTGCCTCCTCCTACCATTGATGTGTCAAATCAACCACATTAGCCCTAAATTGAATATGAATCTATTCTTCCTAAATCAACCAGATCGATTTTCCTTTTTTTGAGGTATGGCTGACATCTTTCATTGATAATCAATAATTTATCCTCATGTTTTCTAGTTTTGGGGGATTTCGGCTGGTGATACCATCATGACGTACCTTCCTAGGCAAGCGACTGGCATAGCATGGCACACCAATCTCCAACGTTGAACTTCAACACCATATCAAAAACAATGACCCTAAAATAAACACAATCTCAAGTCAAGCATCATAAATTTATTATTTTCTTATCATTGGCATGTCACATAATAAATCAGCCAAATCAAATGTCATGTGAAATCAATGAAAGATCTAATGGCTGATTGGTTACCTAAGGCGTAGCCTTCTCTTTTAGTGGGGCAGCCGCGCAGCCATTGGCTGAGCGGACCTCGACGATTTGAGCGAGGACGAGGAAGAGGATGAAGAACTTAAACACATCCTCCGCCTTCCGCAGCCTCCATCCCCATACTCCATCAAAACTTCCACAGTTGACAACCGCCAACAATTACCACCTACCTAGAGTGATCCAGAGATTTGGGCACCTTTCGGGCCCGCTCGCTTCTCCTTCTCCTTCCTCTTCAACAGGTGCTGGGATGTGATGCTGGCGATTTCACCGGCATATGGTCGATTTGGGCAACGAAACTTGTGGTTTTTGTGTGATACAGACGTTCGTAACGAGTTTGGGTATGCTTCCAGTATCCTCCATTTCCATCCCCACCTTCTCCCCCGAGTGTTCGGAATTCCTTTTTTTCCGAAGTAAGGGCAGGTCAAATCCACTTGGGAACGAGCATGATGATTGGAAGCCCACCTAGCGTTTTCTTAAGTCGCAAGCCGTGAGTTGTCACCTTTCTATTCCAACTGTGAACTTCTCTAACCTACGTAGATTCGCGGGAATTTTCGAGAGAGAACGGAAGTACAAGCCAATACAACACTAGATGACGAGTCTTCAAATCAGACGGCTTAGTAGTCTTGGGTGTCTGTTCTTCATGTTGGATGGGACTGTTCAAAAGGTTCAGACGGTCACGGTCACGTTGATTCCAGCAACTCCAGATGCAGCCTCTCCTCCACGCAGATCAGTAGCCATGAGAATCATCCAGTCGAGGAAAGGAGAAGCGGAATAAACTGCAGTGTTCACCAAGCATGGCCTCTAGCTCCACCTGCTCCCAGGGAGTTCATAACACCAGGAGCCGCAAGGTTTCAGCACAGGAGGGGTCAGTACTTGGTATAATCCGTGATGGAAAAGCCATTGCTCCCAGAAGACATGTTTCAAGAGTATGCTTCTGAATTTGCTTTGTTGAGTGATAGTCACGAAGAGTGGTAATTTCCCTTGGAGCATGAAGATGGAGACCGAAGATGGAGACTGAGGATGGAGACCGAAGATGGAGACTGAAGCACAGAGATAAAAAGCTGAGAGATGCAAAGTTCAGAAATGTAGTTGAATTTGACTTGACTGATTTCTTTTTGATAATCTTTCCCATGTGAAGTCACTTCTCACTTTGAATCCTGTATCAAGGTCCGATCTGAACCCACAATACTCGGACTCGTGGATCCGTAATTGCAGAAATAGATGGCCAACGTGCTATCAACCAAATAGAATGGTCATGTTATTCGGTCCCAGAAGAAGACAATGATTAAATATTCTGGGCTACAGAGAAATTCCCATTACAGACCATGACGCAAGAGGTGAGGAGATTGTGAGATTACCCCGCAGGAGTCCGCGTCCAAGTGCAGGTACGTGGCGGACAACAACAAAGGGCCCCTCCTTTCCCACAACAACAACAAACCAACACGCTTCCCTTCCGGCAGCAACTTCACCAGACCACTTCACCCTTTCCCAAACCTGCATCATACGCATCTCTGCTTTCTTTCAAATACGTCGTCCTTCATTTAAGGTTCACACTACCCATCATCTTCACTCTTCAGGCTCCAGCTTCATTCTCGAACAACCAAAGGAAACTGAGAAGAATACTCTTGATTTCTCCTCCATCATGGTCGACATCACGAATATTTCGTTCCCAGTTCCTCATGTGACGCCTGAAGCAGTCACGGATAACATCTTTCCATTCTATGTCAATATGAATCGCCAGAGTATCAATCCTCAAACAAACTCTTCTCTTTTCAAGCTCTCGGCGGAGATCCGACAGCAGATCTACGGCTATGTCTTCCAGACTGTGCCCAACAAAGGCAGGAAGTATCCGCTCAGGAGGTCTTGGAGGAGGCCAGGTTTCGAAGCCCCTCCCCGTGTGCACACCAATCTGCTCCGGACCTGCAGCCTCGTCTACTCCGAGTGCTGGGCAATTCCCACAATGAACACTACCTTGATCATCCACGAGGGGTCGGAGCAGGACCGCATTCCCGGTGACCCCATTGCCTCGGCGCCCCATCCGTCACAGCTGCTGCTTGGCCTCCCAGCTTGGCAGGTACTCCTTCTCCAGCACGTTCACATCACGCTCACACAGTTCCAACTCGAGAGTGGTGTCCTTGAGTCCTGGTTGTCAACCCTCCATAACGCCAGAGCCTCGGCTGGATACTACGTTCAACGTTTTATCAAGGCAAAGTGTTTTGACACCCCGCAGCTTCAGGACTTCGCCCGGACTGGGCTTATGGACTTGAAGATCAAATCCCTCACAGTCAGGATCAATCGCCAGGACTGGTGGTTCTGGGACTACATTCCCATCGAAGATCCCAAGATCAAGAACGAGGCAGACCTTGACGATGAGTTGATGAGCTTGGACTCGGAATCGGACGAAGATGAACTAGAGCACATCCTCCAACTTCCGCAGCCCCCTTCGCCATATTCCGTGAAGAACTTCAACCAACTCCACCCCTTCGCGAATGACTTCGAGATGACCTTCGCTCTCGAGACCTGGCGCGTCAAGTTGTGGGAGTTAGACGCTGTAGTCGCGCGAGTAAAGAATTAGATCTTCGAAGCTCCGGGGCCCGACGGCGAGGACGGCCCCGAAGACAAGCCAAACTTCATGGTGTGGGATGGGAAAGTCCGCGAGGAGAGATGGAAGAAGGGACGGAGCGACCACGGCATATGGTGGATGACCAACTCCGGGATGGAAGAAGAAGGCAGGCATATCGAGGCCCGATACATCCGGTTCGTCCAGGAGCGCTTCGTCGAGCCCGCCAACAACCCCCGAAAGAGAAAGTGGGAGCAGCCTCCTCGCATTGAGGAGTTTTAACGAGCAAGCTGCCCTCCAAGCGCGTTGCCCTGGTGATCATTGTAGGAGTCATCGGCGAGAACGAACTTATATTGCGGAGTTACGACGAGGTAGTTGCTCAACGACAGCTTTGCCTTTTATTTTGAAGAATCAATCAACATCAACGAAACAACATTGCGCAGTAAGCGCTCGAGATTTGGAAAGGATCAACAACTTTGATCTACGATGCCCTGGGAAGAGGGCATGGAAGAATGAATTGAATTTGCTACGGTGCCACTTGGCTTATGAGCACTATCGAGGAGAACCATCCAGAGCTGGCTTAATGCGCGCTGAATCTTGGAAGAGGACGAGTAACAATCCAGATCTACTATATCTGCTGTAGGATCAAATAACTGTATTTTGAAGAAATCATCGATGAGAAAAGTCCTGAGCTATCTAGGTATTTATTGCTTGGATGAGTCTACAGCTAGTGCCCACGGCACATCGAAATGCAGTAGCCAGCCACAAACATGTACTTAGATAGCAGATGCGTTCTCACTAGCTCTCAGAAAATGGAACTCCATAGCTACATGTTCATCGCCTCCGCTCTCCTCAGACGGCGGTCTGTGTATCAAACCCGCCAGATTGATGTCTCTTACATGAAGTATTCCAGGCATCCACCTCTGGTTCAGCCTTCTTGGCCGCACGTTGGGCACGAAGCTCAGCTATCTGCCCAGGGGTCCGAGACCGGGCTTGGTCCTTGCCCCTGTTTAGGTCTGCAATCTTTTTCTCCAGTCTCCTTGCTGCCCTGGCTTCAGCCTCTATCAGGGGAGCGAGCGGTTCCATCGCAACGCTTCTCAAGATGTCGATCGTGGGATGGTGTTGGTTGGTAAATTTGTGGGCCACCAGTAGCAACGCGGCCCTCAGCGTGAAATTGGCATCATTTCCAGCGGTATGTACTTTAACGTGCGGGCAGCAAAGTGTTCTCAACACCACCTTGAGTTCATATTTGTGACACTTGACGGCCTTTTTGGCAACTTCAAGCGTATCAATAATAGTGATGCGTGGGGAGAAGGTGAAGCCCAGCCTCACCAGTATGTCGAGTTCTGTATGCACACCGTGTCCCATCAGTATGATGTCCCGATCCCTGGGGATGAGGCTCTGGATCTCCTTTAAGACTTGGGCTGGTTCTATGATTGCCTTTGTTCCGAAGAGAACATTGCCTGACACCTTGGATGTGTAGTCGGAAGGCCCCAAGATCAAGTTGTGCGTCGATATCAGCTCTTCTGGCAGGGTTGTATGCAACTCCTCCGTGTCGAGAGTCGCGAGGCCGACTTGGCCTTCTTCGCCGTGAATAAATCCAGTCACGAAGTTTTTGGTATGTTCAAAATCAATGGCCAGCAGGATGGGACGATTGGGTCCAGTCCAGTCTCCCTCCAGTCCCAGCGCTGCTCGGAGAACATGCAACCCCTCATCCGAGGTTCCGAGTTCTCTTACTCTTGATTTAACGGATTTGTGGACCATTGCTTCTTTGTTCGCGTGAGTGAAGTGGGAAAAAGTCTGGCGTAGCTAGAGTTGACAGAGCACCTAGCCTCAATGTCAGTATCTCTAACAATGGAAGGTGCGCTGTGAAGGAGTCAGGCTGTGGTACCTGCAGGATTTTGAAGAGTTCGTTTGCGACGATATTAGTGAATTGTTCCTTGAGATCCTTGAAGAATATGACGTTTGAGAAAGAAGTGCAATCGGCTGGGTTGATGTTGATGCAGAGTGTGGGAGAAAAAGGCCAGCGAGATGGCGTTCATTATGCTTGAGCGGTGATAGTAAACCGCCAGGCTCGTGGCTTTTCAAAGTTCGTCGACAGCACACCAAGAAAAGAAACTCCAACGTAGACCTTGCCCACTCTCAAAGCTTAATTGGAATTCTCCAGATCGTCCCAGTCAGCTGCGCAGAACTGTTCGAGAACCAGGACTTTTTTTACATGGCAACCTAGGTGCCGTTACGTGTAAAAGCCATGCACAGGATGATCCAACATCTCCTGATTACCTTTACGACCTGGAGCGCATGAAACCTGGCAGGCTAAAGTCAAGAAAATCTAATAATGAGTCATGTCTATGTCTATCTTATTGTTATACAACAAAGTGAAACCTAAAACATTATCGGTATATATGCAATCGCTGATTCAAACGCCGCCCAATGCCCCCCGTCGCTCTATGCTTCCGCCCCCTGACGCCCGATGCAAAAAAGAATGAAAGTCTAAAAAACAAAACAAAAACAAAACACTTTTCCAGCCGCCCTTATCTCAGAAAGCTTCTCATGCTACCTTTGAGTCCCGGACTCTTGATAGTCGCCCCCTTGATAACCAGGAGATCAACAACCTCCTCGTGATCCTTCTCCATGGCCAGCTTCAGGGGCGTGTTGCCCTTGTTGTCGGCAATATTATAGTCCGCGTCGTTCTGCAGGAGAAACTCGACCAGCTTCGCGTCTCCCGCCGCCGCCGCGATGCTGAGCGGTGTCTGCCTCTGGCTGTCCTTCGGGTTGATGGGCGCGTGGTGCCGGAGGAGCATGTCCGTGACCACCACCGACCCTCTCTGGGCGGCCAGATGCATGGCCGTCGTCTTCGTTTTATCCGCCGTGCTGACGTTGGCTCCCATCTTCAGGAGCATGCTGATGATGGGGACGGACTCCGTCTTCACGGCCGTCATCAGCGCGGTGCAGTCCTTCTTGTCGGCCGAGTTGAATTCAGTCCCGATGCTCAGCAGGAACTTGACCAGTGCTGGGTTTCCGGTCTTGCAGGCACATTGCACCAAGCCCTGCCCTTCAGCATTCACTGCCCGCAGATCCGCGCCATAATGGATGAGAAGCTTGATCAGCTCAACTGACTCTCGCCGCACAGCCTCAAACAACACTGGCGCGCCGGATCTCGTCATCGCCTTGGGGTCGGAGCCCTTCTGGAGCATGTACTCTATGACGTGCGCGGGCTGGTGCTCCATCGCACAGGCCAGGGGCGTCTCGCCTCTGTTGTTCTTCGCCTCCACGTTTGCACCGTACTGGATCAGCCGTTTAATGACAGCGCTAGAACTGGGCTCAACCACCGCGGTATGCAGCGGCGTCGAGTCGTTCATGTCCAGCGCGTGTATGTCGGCGCCGTGGGACATCAAGACCGACACGAGGTCCGCAGACCCGACAGCCCCGGCGTTGTGAAGCGGCGTCTTCCTCCTGATGTCCACGACCATCTTGGCGCCGTTCTGGAGCAGGAACTCGGCAATCTGCGCCGGCTCCTTGGTCATCCGCGTCATCCACAGGGCATTCTGCCTATCCCAGTTCAATATGTTCGGGTCCGCGCCGTGGAAGAGAAGCATACGCGTCATCTCAAGCTTGCCGAGGTAGAGGCTCGTCGTGTGCAGAGCCGTGTGGCCCGTCCCGTCTGTGCTGTTGACATCGGCGTTGAAGCCCGCGAGGACGTGGACGGCGTCGCACTGCCCGGAGGCTGCCGCTGCGTAGAGTGCCGTCTCCCCACCGCCCTCCTTGTACTCGAGCTTGGCACCGTATCCGAGTAGCAGAATCAGGCACTGCATGATGCTATCTCGGCTCCTCGTCACGGCAACGGTAGGAGTGTTGTGCGGAGCCGCCGCCATCGCCAGGGGGACGCGTCCCTGCCTGTCGCAGGCCATGGGGTCGGCGCCGTGCTCCAGAAGCAGCTTCACAAGCTTGTCGTTTGCGTTTTGCGCTGCGATGTGCAGGGGGGTCAGGCTGGATGCGTCACGAGCTTCGACGTTGACCCTCTCCGTATCCAACAGCGTCTTGACGATCCGATAGTTGCCCGCGGTAACTCCTGCCAGGAGGGGGCAGCCGCCGTCCTCATCCCTGTTAAGGTTATGGAAGCCGCCATAGCTGGCCTTGGCATCCCATAGACATTGGAAAATGTCAAACTGGCCGAACGCGGCGGCTCTGGTAAGGTGGTGCAGCCGGACGATGTCGACTCCAACGCTGGTTGCTCGCTGGACCGTCTCAAGCTGCTCGTTCTTCACGGCCCACGTCACCGCGGATCCGTTCTCGTACAAGTGATTTCTCTCGTATAGGTGTACAACCGCCGCACTGAATATGGTCGAGTGGGTTGCGCACAAGCTGCTCAGGTCGGCGTTGCTAGGCACAAAGTCCAGTATCGTCTCCAGCAGCTCGTTCGGTAGCGTCAAGAGTGACATGTTGCATGGTGCGCTGGTTGAGATTGGTTTGGTAACATGAAACGGTTCAGTCGATCCCAGCTACCTCTTTGAGGGTCTCCCGTGGCTTAACATTGTCCCCATCGCGACGGCGGACCGTGTTTCTATGTATGTATGGCCCGAGTTTTTAGGGATCTGCTGGCCGAAGCGTCAGGATTTGCTTCTAATTTTAGGGGGGGACTGGCCCTAAAGCCACCCAATTATGGAAATGAGTCAACCCATCCAATTCGAAAGACCCTGGTCTGAGCTTGATTGGTCCCTCCGGGGGCGCTGGAGGTTTCATGGAACGCACTAAGCCACATCCAGAGCCTTCTTTTCAGGGTTCTGTGGATGTTTTATGATGTGCCAAGAACAGGGCCGTCGCGTTTTGGCTTCCCGGCTCATCTCATCGTCGGGGCCCATGCGGTTGAGCAGATCTGGGATGCAACGTGGTTCAAAATAGCAAGAAGGAAGCAGGTCGGGCCCGCCGGCGTACCAGAGCTTCGGGGCGTCGGGAGCCACGTCCTGTCGTGGAGAGCATCGAGCTGGGGTCGCCAACTAAGCTCTTGTTGTCCCCCGCTTGGTGTCGCTAGAATGCTGTGGGTTCGGGTAATGTGCTAATTAAGGACCTGGTTGGGAGAAGAGGAAATGATGATGGGCTAAAACGGGCATCCCCGACGACCAACACCAACTATTGATCCTTGGGCCCGGGTGCGTATGTCGGATGTTGGCGCCGCGTGTTGCTATGTCTTCAGCCTAACAGACTACTGTTCCCTCCTGGTCAAGATATTGTTAGCATTCGTTTATGCGCCCAATAATCGACAAAGTGTAGGCGGAGATATCCCAATTGGGTCAATACCTTCAAGCACAATAAATGGCTGCCGCAGCCATATGGCTCAGTGATGCATGATCAAGGGCGCAAAAAGCCGGGCAAAGAATATCACAAAGTAATCACGCCTGAGATGCGCGGTGGTGTTGGTTGGTGGTGTCGTGGTCTGGAATAGAATCGCTGTGATTGGCGTAGCAATTTTTAGGCGTTGCTCTCATTGATGGCAGTTACAGTGGACTCGGGCCCTAAATATAGCTGCTGATGGCGCTAGGACAGGTACGAATCGGGTAATCGCTATGTCATGGGTCCGGACCTCTGCTTATTGTCCGCTGTGGCCAAAGGGCAACATATGCCGACGCCCTACGGTCTGTTTCCAGGAAAAGAAAGAAGTAGTGGCTTTTAGGGAGCACAGTTGTGTAACGTTTGCATATTAGGTATCAAGTAAAGCGTACACTTCAGGTCGCCGTTGTGCATGTTACTACCCCCTTTCAACACCACCTCTTTTGGAAGAGTGGGCTGGATTGGTCAGTCAGGTGAAAGCGTCAGCATCTCACACGATCAATTTCTTAGAAGACTGATCGTACAGAGAGGCAGCACGATCGGCCACACGACCATTGCTTACACCTGTTAGTGCGAGTAGAGATTGCCACTCGCTTGACCCACTGATCCACCGACACCATCGAAGGGCCATCCGTGTAAGTGTCCTCCTCGTTCTAAGCGGCAGCCCGAAGCCCAATAGAGCCGATGATGGTGCTTTACACCGCTCTTCAGTTTGAGAATGTTTGTATCCGTCTATTGTAGAATTTTGGTCCACTGATGCGGATTCTGGCCACGGGTCGATGGAAGTTTACGCTAGAGACCGTCGGAGAGATCGAGGCCGCGTGGGGGCATGTCGAGGCATTGGAGAAATCAAATCAGTCAACAGAGGCTTAACTGTCAATTTTCTCCAACGTGTTAGTTCCAAGTATACTTGTGTTAAATCATCGAATAAACCTTGGAACGTACCGGTACCGTATTATCAATATTGGTATCTCCATGAATAACATCTGCCGCGTTTGCTGTGCGAGGCGAGCTATTGGGAAAAGGCTTCTAGATAAGGAGGCTTGCAGGAGGCTTGCATGAGCAAAGGTATCAGTTAGTCGGCATTTCGAGAAATTATATATTTTGTACAGGTAGAGAATTATCATGGAGAGAATCACTGCCTCTACATCGAGTGCACAGCAGGTTATTGCCAGTCGGCAGGCGGTGAGAAGGATAATGGCGGATAAGGTAGATCTGGCCGGGAGGCAGGGACACCCCACGCCTGCACTTGCCCTGCACTGGTTGATACCTACCCGTAGCTTATCAGATCTTACCTAGGTACCTAATCTCCAGATGTCTCGTCATTAGGTAGATGCCATTAAAGTGCAACAAAACCCTTCATTGACAGTTTATATGTGAGGGAGGCCAAGACGCGAGCAAGGAAGTGAGAGAGCTACCTATACAGTTATGCGGCAACTGCTGAAAAAAAAAGTGGGGTTCCCAAACACCAAGAATTCAACAACTTGACACCATACCCAGCATCACAACACATTATGAAGTTAGCTATAAGAAAGGAGTTCAGGAGATTAGCTGTCTGTGAAGGAACTGCTAGCTATATAGGAAGTTTAAAGCCCTATCTTATTATCTCCAAGGCCATCGCCGCCGATATCGTCGTTATTGTCGTCGCTGTCTTCTTCTTCTCCTTCTTCTTCTTCTTCTTCTTCTTCTTCTTCTTCTTCTTCTTCTTCTTCTTCTTCTTCTTTTTTTTTTTTTCAATTGATTGTTGATGCTATCTCCTAGCGACTTGGTTTGGGTCCGCACAGGAAATTCCTCTTCTTCTTGTTCTTCGTTGCTGTCGTTTTCACAAATACAGTCTTCCTTGGCTGCTCCTCATTAACCACATCGCACAGCCGCAGCAGCAACAGAAGCAACAGAAGCAGCAGCAAGAGCAGAAGCAGCAGCAGAAGCAGCAGAGGACACCATCACCACCAGCACCACCAGCACCACCAGCACCACCAGCACCACCACATCGCCTTCCATCTTCACCTCCACCTCCACCTCCACCGCTATCCCGATCCTGCTCCTCCTCCTTTCCCACCCCTGTCCGTTCACCGAGTAGCGCACACACAGGAACATGGTCTTGCTCTCCAGGTTGATTGTGTCCGAGAGCTTGATGGAGAAGGTGAAGCGGTTTCTCTCCCTCCCCTCCCTCCTCTTCCTCTTTGGAAACAAGTCGGAGCATGGGGATGGTGCGGCCGATGTGGCCAAGTTTCTTGCTCAATATAGAGCGCAAAGCCACAAATGTAGACATCTCCGGTGTTGTCTCATACAAATGAACCTTTGCGGAAATTGCCAACTATTCCATCTCTTGCAAACACAACTCAGCGCTGCTTGTCCACCATGGGTCAGGTCACTTCCCTTGTAGGGAGCTGGGCCTTTGGGCCGGTCCGGGGCCAGTCCTCCTCTCGTCGGCGCTGAATGCCCGCTCGATGGCTCGCTTGCGGAGTTGCCCGGTAAGCCTCCGAGATGGGCGAGGTATGCTGCGCTCCGAATTCTGGGCTCTCCTGGTCTTGAGCTACGAGCTCCGTCGCATAGCAAGGTTTGTTTGGCGCCCGGGGGAAGATCTCGGTAGACTTGTCACTGGTAACCAGTCGTTGGCAGAAACGGGGAACCACCTGCAGGTAGACTAGACGCTCAATCAGCCCAATTGCATTTTGTCAGCATGCCAATCGTCCGCCTCGCATTCCACCGGCGTAGGCGCCTCTAGGTGGAGGTGCCAGCCCGCCTCCGCGAGGACCACCTCTTGGGGGATAACCACCTCTGCCAAGGGGGACCATGCCCTCCACGTCCTCTCATCGAGCCGCCTCCTCCATACATGTCCATACCACCTCGTCCATGACCTCCACGGCCTCGGTAGGCTCCCCTTTGGGATCCTCTAAGAAGAGGTAGCCGACGAGGAAATTGCCTCCCCTACTGTTGCAAGCAACAGTGTTCAGTTTGTGGTCGCTCAATCCGAATCGCTGTGTCTGGATGACAATATGGCCAACACACCTAATGCTATCAACATCAACTCTCTTGTTGGGGCTGAGTTGAAGAGACTTCTTACCGATGATCTGTGGGCTAAAGGCAATGTTGAACGTTGCCTGACCACACTTCGCATCCTATCATCAGAACTTGGCCCCACCAGCGGAAGTCTGAATGGATCGAAGGCCTCTGCGGCCAGCTCGACGTTTCCTGTAACATAAAGAAAGATCAGCCACTAGAAACTGAAGATAGATGAAACGAGGCACTCACATGGTAGCAGCCGAGATCCCCAGCCCACACCTTCAAGTTCAGGATGGACTTTCTCCTCTTCTCGAAAACCAAGTCTACTCCCACGAAGGGGTACACAGTCCTTCTATTGGAAAGGGTTAACAAATGGAGGCCAGAGGGAGTTCAACGGGCTAATAGGTAGACACACGGGTCGGGAGTGCCGTAATTCAGCTTTAGCCCGGACGGACAACCAACCATCAGTTGGCGGCGAGGTGAAACTTGACTTATCAGTTGATGCACAGCCTTGAGTCAGGAATACCATATATTTCGGCTCTCCTAGATGCCGGGAGTCCATCATGAGCGTGCGGTCGGCTCTGTACGGGACAAGTAAGTGACGAAAATTCTCATGGACTTGAAGATTTCCCGAGATCTAGAGGCCTTTAGTTAGATGTCGTCCACTGTTTGTCGATAGGTAGTGATTCGATGAATAAATGTAGGAGAAAGTACTTCTTGTTGGAATTCGCAAGCGGTTGCTATTCAGGTTCTAGAGTTTGTCTCATTTGCGGCAACTCTGACCGTGTACGCCCCTGGACAAGATGCTTAATGGTACCGGACCTTGGCAGGTGCGACCTACATACAGCACGTAGGCTACCAACCTGAGGCAACTATTGAACCCAGTGCACCTGTGGGAAATTTCCGTGCAGTTGATTGGCTGCTGGACATCTTTAAAAGGGATCCTCGCTCTGTTACTGTTATCCAGGCCGTTCCTTTTCTTTCCAACATCTCACAGTCTTAGTTTCACATCACTGGAATACTATTCAACAACGCCATCTTCTTTCTCGCAACCAGAGCCCAAGACATCTGATAGAGAGTTCGACTTTAAAATCAATACAACAATAGATGATTCCAGAAGCAGCATGTCGACATCATGAATGCCTCGCAAGATGTCTGCGTCGTCTCAATACAGCAATTGTCCGGTATGTATGCCACCCCGGGAGACGCTGCCTTGGATCCTTTGACTTGCATATCCCCCGAAGGCTAACACTTGGAATTTAACCTAGTTCGAAACTTCTACACCAAGGATACACTTGTGTGCCGCCCAAAGAACCTGGCAAACTCCTCCTCGACCACCAATACTGTCTGCGATCGGCGCATCTTGCCCTAGATGCACTTGCGTATACATGGGGTACCCTTCTAGAAAAGCCTTTCGCGGTGGTTGCTGCTGTTGCTGCTGCTGTTGCTGTTGTTGCTGTTGTTGCTGCTGCTGCTGTTGTTGTTGTTGTTGTTGTTGTTGTTGTTATTGTTGTTTGTTCCTCCCCAGGGATCCCCTGGGGAGCCAACCCCAACGGTCACGGAGGAAGCTTGAGAAGGCGATGAAGCCGACAAGATAGCTGAGACGGCGGGGCAGGTTGAACTTGATTCGACCGTGGAAGGCGAAACGGTTTGGATCGGGGGGACTTTGGTGGGAAAACTGGTGTGCGGCGTGGATCTGATTCTTCACGTTTGTTGCTTTGACTTGGGACAAGAGACGGACCGAGGGAGGGGGCAAATTGGGTGAAGACTGTTCTTGAGCAGCAGGCTGTCTCAGGGAAAGGCGGCCGGGGTGGCACCAGCACTCCATGCTGCCCCTCTCGATGGTCGGACCCGTCAACTGAACCGACATTGAGGAAGAGTTGAATGATGTTTCGGAGAATCATCGATTCACAGGAACAACATACGGTAGAGAGTTCGAGTATAAAGTTAAACAGCAATGGAAGATGCCAGACCCGACAACTCAACACAATGAATAGAGACAAGAACAATCAATATATCACCCCAAAGATGATCATCCAAGACATTGTTCTCAACGTGAAAGGCTGTAGAGGAGATGGCAGTCTCGACTACTGTCGCAGTAGGCAGAGCTACTTCCCAGAGATGAACTATGTATGTGGCTTTGCAACCACATTCCAACTTCATCATCGTATCTATAATACCACACGCTACCCGAATGCCTCATGATCAGTAATACAGACAGACTCGTCGACTTTGCTATCCGTCGCCAGCAAACTATTGTCCCATATCAATGGTGGATGGGTGTTGGGATTCAGCGAGACATAAAGCCTCTGGTAAGTCAGTTATGCCGATATTCGGGGGAACGTCTATGGCTAGATAGATGTGTTGGACATCATTGAGGCAAGAGCGAAAAAAAAACAATTCATAGGCAAGTATCTACTTGCAAGCGCGCAGTAACAGAACTCAAAGGTTTCCCAGCATGAAGAAGGGGTTGGGTATGTCCTTTCTTTTATCAGGGGCGCAAGCGACTGTCGATGACATGGAAGTCACTACGCCAAGTCAACCTGGAACAATCTCACATTGGCATCAGTCTTGGAGCATGGAAGTTGTTTGCATAATTCTGTTATTCATTCTATTCTTTCTTTCTTGTCGATACTTGGTACCTTGATTAATAAATAATTCCAAGATAAGCAATATGCTTCCCTTTCAAACGCTAGAAAATCCACAAACGCCGTCATACATGGTCCTGCCCTCCCGGCATAAACAAAGTTCATTCCAAGTCTTTTCTTCTTAAAAAGGTCCTATTCTCTGAAGTGAAAGGGTTCGAAACTGCGCATGCCCAAGGCACGGCACAACGGAGAGAGAACTTAGTCCTCCTCCTCGTCGTGGCCGAGCTTGGCGGTGGCGATGGCGTCGTTGGCCCAGAGACCGCCGCGGAGCTTGTTGACAGCGCCGTAGGCCAGACCCTGGGTGATGACGAAGGAGAAGGCGCCGAAGCAGGATCGGAAGCTGGTGGAGACGGTGTTGACCTGGCCGGCGCCGACCTTTCGGAGGGCGATGTTCAGGGCGCCGCTGACGAGGCCGAAGCACAGGTGTCGGAGCATGGTCATGACACCGAGGGCAACGAGGAGACCACGGAGCTAGCCAAAGTTGTGAGCATTAAGTTAAGGCTAAAAGGGGGAGGATCGTATGTAGACTTACCGACTTGTGGGACTGGGCACGGGGCTGAATAGCGGTGTGCACCAGAGATCCAACAGCCCAGAAGAACAGGAAGAAGTTGAGGATCATGTCCATGACGACCATGGGCTTGGAGGAGGTCTTGCCGGAGTAGTGAAGCTCAGAGCTGACGAGGAGACCAATGTTGAGGAGGAAAGTGAAGAGGAAGCAGATGATGGCGACGGCGCGAGGTCGGCGGGAGGTGCCCTGGACGAAGCTGGCGACGTTCTCCTCGCGCGAGATGGTGCAGACGTACTTGAGGCCGACGGCGAACTCCATCTGGGCGACGAGGAGGAGGGAGAAGACCAGGTACATGAACATGTCAGTCAGCAGAGGGAACTGCTGAGCCTGGAGAACCCATGAGTCGTTGCCGTCCTGCTTGTCACGCTTGGCGAAGACAACAACCATCAAAATGGGACCGATGATAGCGAAGAGAATCCAACTGCAGAAGCAAAAGTCAGTCTACAACCTTTTAAAACTGGAGAGAACCGGAGAGATACGTACAGACACGCAAGACCGCCAGCAGCCTTGAACCACGGAACACCTGCACGGGCGTGATCACCCCTGCGCTTGATCTTGAAGAAAGCAACGAAAGCCAGGATGGCGATGATGATGCCGGGGAGAACAGTCAGGGCGAGAGTGACCATGTAGGCAGCGACCTTGACACCGGCCTTTGCGATCTCGTCAACCTCGGCGTTGTCGGACTGGGGCATGGCGGTGGAGGCAGCCTCGGCGGCGGCGGCAGCAGCGGATTCGGACATCGTGATGGATTTGCGTTAGGACAGAAAAGGGAAAATAAAGAGTAGAAAGAATGAAGAAAAGAGTTATAAAAGTCGCACAAAATAATATAATTAAAAGCAGATCAATCAATGACCTTGACGAAAAGAAAACTTGACCAGCAAGTTGTGGTGTTGCAAACGTGGGTTTTTTGGGGGGTTTGGATTGCTCGAACTCCAAAGTCGAAGGTTGGACCAGCGGCGAGCGACGGGCGGCGATATATAGCCATTCGCCCTCAGGCCAGGCTCCGTGCCAGAGCGTCGAACGCCCCACTTGAGGCAAGGAACCGAAAATACTTTGCTTCCCAGGTGGACGAGATTACAGGCAGCACAGACGCAGGTTTGCAAGGCCCCTTCCGTCTAGGGTTTGGGCTGCCAGCGTGAGCGCCGTGGTGCCTCGCTTCACTTGCGGTGGCCCCGTCTGCGGTCCACAACCTCACTCATCCCATCCCATCCCGATTGGGGCGAGTGATCGATATAGAGCGTGACGTGATCCGACACTCAGAGTCTGAGGCCAGCTCCGTCGTGCTTCGAAGCTCTTTGTCACCGCGCGCAGCAGCCAACCGAGGAGCAACAGCCGATCCTGGCTGATCACCGCCAATGGATGCGTTGTTCCAGGCTGCGTCCCTGGGCCATCATCATAAAAGCGGAGTCCGCCCTGTCCTTCAGTGAGTCCAACGCCCTATTTAGGCCTCGCTAAAAATAAATATAGTGCACCCGACAGGGGACGGCTCACCCAAAGACCAGGCCTCCCTTTCCAGTGCGGCGCTGGTGGATTCCAACGTAATATCGTCGCCTGGCCACCCACCGCCCATCCCCAGGCTTCATTAATTACAGCTCGCGGGCAGAAGTCGAAGAGCATGGAAGCAGCGTCACGGCTCTGGAGCATGGATTGTTAGAGCTTCGTCGCAATTCAGATGAAATCAATTGAATCCATGTACCAGCGATGCCATGATGTGAATCTCGATCAATCGGCTATCCATCCCATCACATTCCCTGTAAGGCTGCCGCTCACTGCGTCCTGGCTCCGAGCACCAGCGGCACATGCCAACTTTGGTGCAGCGGCGTTGCGATTGATGTGCTGTAGGATTCGCGCAGGTCATCATCTCGCATCCACTCCATCGCCATGTCATCATCATCTCCACCGCTCCCAAGCACCTGTTCTCCAGCCACTTCAGATGCAAACTCTCCACATGGAATCGACCGCGGCATTTGAAACAAGCGATGGGCAGATGTCGCGTGCGAGCTGCCCTTTCGTCCAATTTCATCGTGGCCCAGGAGGTTAATTTGGTGCAATTACCAAAGACCCTGGTTGCTTATGCCTCCCCGCAATTGATGGACTCGATTCCATAAATAAGCTCACCTCAGCCAGAGGCTGTTAAGTAAGCATATTACAACTACCTACCCTAAACCTAGTCTCAACATTGCACATAGGAAAGTTTCGCCTCATGACATTGTCTTCTTGCAAACGCAGGTATGGTAGACTAGAAAAAATGGACATTTGTTTTAAGCATACCAGAAATTAAATGATGCGTAGCTGAGGTTCTTTGGTCACCAATATGTGAAGAAACGAAAGAACGCGAGTTTTGTTCATAACGCTCCAACAGCGTACAGCTTCCACTTACATCCACTGTAGGGAAGCTGAAAACTCCCGTTCCCGGCTCTCGGCCCAACCTACCATAACTAAGATAACATTCAAAATATTAGGAGTAAACCATACTTTGAATTTTACCTGCGGAGCGCTAAGGATTCAACATCTCGGATGCCGGAGAGACTACGCAAGCAGACATCCAGAGAGCAGAGAGCCTGGGGGACAATTGCCGACAGGCCGTACCCGCAACGGTCCCCCGGTATCCGAGAAGCAGGGGCTTAGATAAGCAAGTGTGGTAAGACTCAACTCTGGCAAATCAAAGGTCCCCCAAAGCAAAGCAAAACCTTAAGAGTTACGTTGAACTCGAGGGATTAAGAACAATAGTAATTGAGCTATATTGTTCTTTTCCAATGATACCCCGAAGTGCAACCCCCCCGCGACACGACTCATTGTTGGTGCTCGAGGGTGTGGGTGGAATGCAGCTCTCGCAACCTCCAAGGCAGGCCTTCCAATCGGCCTCTCTATGCTTATGTCCGGCCACGCACGTGATTGGAGGAATATGGGAGGATGGGTCTATTCTTGCCCTTTTCTGGGTGGCACTTTGCATCACTTGCATGTGTGTGTAGCAGCAGGTGGAGGGTAACACCTTTTCCCCTTCAATTTCTTTTCTAAACCTTCAATCGGTGGTGGTGGTGTGGTGGTGGTATCAATGGCACGTTGAGCGGGGTGTGTTCCAGAATGGTAGTGGAATTGAGAGGGATCATGGTTTACCTAATTTTACATTATTGAGAGCAAGTTTCGACAATCAGCTACCCCGCATCTCCTTCCATGCCGCATACTTGCGATATATATCCTTTCGGAAGACCTGTTTCAGCTCGGTGACTGCGGGGACGTCAGTGGGAATCGTAGCTTGCACGGCAACAACACCGGTGAGGTCGTTCTTCCGATCAGCGAACCAGGCGAGCGTCATGCCACCGCCCCAGGACAGCGTGTGCTCCCCGTACCACCCATTCTCATCCTCC